AAGTCTTGGATTCTCTTACATTACAGGGGCGAGTCTTTTCTGGCCCTTCTCTCAATCATTTCGTTAAAATTTAAAAATTGAAACCCGAAAACCGAAAACCGAAACTCAATCCCTGAAACAATAAACAGTTAACACAAGAAACTCAAGACTCACTTGACGTGATTGCCTTGAAATCAACAGATAAACCGTCTTCGTTTTGATAAAAATCCCTTTCAAGAACAAGAAAGAAAGACACAGATTCACAGGTAAAGAATTTGGGTTTCATTTTATTGGAATATATAAGATAAACCGCTCAAGCTCGTGCAATATATAAGGCGTAAATGTGGTGATCATGAAAGTCTGACACTTCAGAACCATCAGCTGTCGAATCAGGTTAGGACGTAATTTCCGTAAAGAACTTCCTCAATCTAAAGAACAAGCCCTGTTGTTGCTCGCATGTGACGTCGGGCATCTCGAGGCATCGCTGACTTATCAGTAGTTTGTGATTTATGATATCTCTTCACAAGTCTGTTTTTAGAACCAATTCCTTGTATTATAGCTCTGTTAATTGAGTTCGCTTTGGTTCATGACTAGCAGGTGACTGTACTCTGGTCTAAACGAGTACCCCTTAGCCTAAATGCCTGAGGGCCTATATATAATAAGATGGCTAACATCACGATTTTTCCAACAATTGACTTCTTTTGTCTTTTATACTACATCATGTTTTATTTTAAGGCCACCATAAAAATGGGCAAAGTGGCAAATGTTGGTTTTAGAACAACTGACGGACAAGTTTACTCAGTTCACTTTTTCAAACAAGCCTCCACTGTTAATCTTACTGGTGATTGTGGTAACAAATGTCTCTTTCCTCAAGGAGATTTGGAATTTAGAATTTATTTACTTAACCATTTTACCGCAACAGCGCGTGGCGCCAATTACTTTAGGTCTGCCATAGGCCCTTCCCCCATGAGAGATAGACCACCTCACCGAGGACTACGTCGGCTACTCGTTACGAACGGTGGATAGGTTCTGTAACGTCCCACATAATTTGTATTTGCAAGGGTTGTGAGACGGGACCTTATCCGAGAATTGGACTAGAACTGGGTCTAACCATTTGCAGATGTCTTTACAAAGGCAACACTTTCTCCTCCGGTTATTTAGATATAAGACTTTGGTTGTTGGTCTATCCGGGATTTGAACCATTGGCCTCCCGCGCCCGGTCCGCTCGGTAAACCGGCGTTTATCCAATTGAGCTAACAGGGCCGTGACACTGAACAAAATTTATAATTACAACCAGAATCCTTTTCATAATAAACCTGTGGTCTTCTAAGTGCCCGGGCGCTTATTTAAAACTTTGGCTAAGGAGGGGCGCTTAAGGAGGACGCTTAAGCAAGGGGCACTTATTAAGTTTTTCTTCTAACGAATTGTAACTTTATTTCGACTAAATCTTTAGTAGAAAACCAAAAACTACAACAATAAGCACTAAAAGTAAGATCAATACTGTATCAAGGTCTTTCGTTTATTAAAACAGTGATTGCCGGGTGAAGTTAAGCTTCGTAGGCTGCGTAGTTCCATTGTACACTTTCAGACATGAATGATGAAGCTGAAGCTTAAAAAGTGATAAATCAATAGTGGCAATAGAAACATGTTTTCCTTGTATCGCTACTATTGTAGTATTTGGTGAGTATTTAACAAAGGGAGGAGGGTGGGGTTTGGACGCTTATTCGAGAGGGACGCTTGTTTTATATTATGGCTTAGGTAAGGGTGGGCGCTTATTCGAAGAAGACGGCTTATTAGAACGTGCGCGCTTATTCGAGGAACTACATTACAACAATTTGAACAGACTCCTGGAAGTATTATACCCGAAACTATTGCCGATAAACATCGGCTGGGCTGCAAGGTGCTTTAGTTCCCTCGATTTTTCCAAACACAAGTTTTCCATTTGTCTGTTACTAACTTCAACACGTTTCGTTTAACCACGCAAACGGTGTCTAAAACATGACTAACATGTCAAAGTTCATAAGGCAAGTTTTCATCGGTGATTTAGTTATATTATGTTACGTTCAAGCAGGAGCCTATGATAAGGGCTCCTTGTTCAAATTCATTTCAATCATCTTTCATCTTGCAATTGATTTTGGCGAGATGACATATATTCGTAGTGGAACATCATACCAACTGATGTTCCCTTTATATGTTTTCTAGAAGAAATACCAATGGAATCCAAATTATAAACTGACTGTCACTTATTGAAGATCTTTGCTTAATCAAATTTTTAAATCTAGGACAAACGTGGGGTGGGGGTGGGGGGTGGTTTAGCATGTCAGACTTACCCCGGTCCCTCAGTAAAATTCTAAGGTTTCTGTCCTAGCCAAAACAGTGCTATTTCCTTGCACAACATTTGTCTCTCCCTACCCAAAGATGTACAACTGGGTACGTACCAATGACGTATTTATCTGTTGTAAGGGGGGAGCAGTGAGTATATGTTCTTCCTTATACTCCTACATGTATATGGCTCTTGTCCATATGCATAAATAGGCACTTTCGCGTAATTCTGCTTGATTACCAGCCGCTAGCTGTTCGGGCCTGAATGAACCCACGCTAGACCGAACCCGGAAGACGGCGGAAATCGAGCCTACACGTAATGTGATAGAGCCAATCTCTGAAGAGAGAACAATCTAAATGACTCGTCACTCTCGAGCCAAGCAAAGATGTGTTTCAGCCTTGTTCCCAATGGTCCACGGCAAGTTCGGATTAGGGGTGACGTAACTGGTCATGCTCGTCGGGAGGAGTGGAGAGGAGAAGTGTGACATCACGTCATCATGGCAGCAAAATTTCTGGATCTCAACAATTTTTCACAGCAATTTGCATTGTCGAACGATGGAAGAAAGGTATGGGCTGGAAAAGCTCTACTTTTAAAAAGGGAGATTAATATTTCGGCTAACAAACTTAGCCTTCCTCAGGGCCAGAGCTACACCGAGAGAAAATATCTTTTGACGGCCATTTTACGCGTTACGTGGACCTCTGCATTCAAACAGTTTTTCCTATTTAAGTCATTCAGTACAAAATCTGCAATGAGAATAACAACAACAGGTGGCATGGAGTGACATGACGATTTCGTGTTATATCATTTAATGCTTTTTTTGGAACTTTTTAAGGCTCCTAAATTCGGCATGGGATTTTTAGGGTTAATTTTGGGTCCAGGGATTTATTTGAATTTTGGTTGGAAGCCTAGGGACTTTTTTGAGTTTTTTTTTATTTTTGCCTCCATTCGATCATTCCCGTCTCTTAAAGTTCGGAGTATCCCCCTTGGGCTCTAAGCAACATTGGAGGCGTATGGAAGGGAGAGGGTGAGGTACCCGTTGGGGCGATGGGGGGGGCGGGGGGGGCCTATGTGACCGTGAAGTTAGGTGTCCTTGATGGAGTCTCCCTTTATGACTCTTTCAATCTTCCACCGTGTCACAATCATTCAAGCAATCGCATCCCTTCTGTTCCAACCCATGAACCACAAAAAGACCCCCGCTATCCTTGTATAAACATCCAGAATTTATGGTAATTGAAAACATATTAGTTAAATTGCTGTATAACAGCGAATAAAGCCGTTTGAAAGAGATGGCACTGAGCTTAACGTAGCAGGCGGTTGGAGTAACTAGAGCTTGATCAAAGGACCAAGGAATTTGCCATCCTGTGAGATAAAGGAAAAAGCTGTTTACCGACTTTTAAGTGATTAAAAGTAGACATTGTACGGCTTTTAGCTCTGAGTTGTATTAGAGGAAAAGCAAACAAACATTAAATTTGAATTATCTTCATATTTTTGAAGATTTTCTAAGAAGCGATTGAAAAGTGCCACGCGCAATCACTTGTTTATTTTACTTACACATGACTATTTTATTACTCCATTTAAAGTCGTGACTTCTCACGTGAAAATATAAAGAATATAAACCCAAAAGGCACAAGGTTTGGGATATATTTATCTAAATACTGCTCTGAAGGAATATGCTATATCCATTATGATTCCTTACATACTTTAGACATTTTTAAAACTTATACATTTGTTAAAATAGAGTATTAAATGTCGCCAAGTACCATTTTTACTACCCGATTGTCAAGTAAGTACCCCAGGTGTAATACCGATTAGCGTTTGATAGTAAGACATCTGTCTTTTTATTTGCCTAAATCGATTCGATTTTTACGGTTTCCTGTGAGGATTATAAATATTCGAACAGAAAAAATAATTGGAAGATGTAGGGTATGGTAGATTTTAAAACAAATCTGCGATGCGCAAGAAAGAATCGTTTGTAACATCTGTCTCGTTGTATTGAATTGAAAGTCTTTTTTACAGTCATTTTCGTCCCCGTTTTACAAACCTTTGCCGCTTAAGCGCCGACGTTTTATTAGTGAATAGGAAATCTCAATGGGAACCATTTAGGTATTTCCGCAAATAAATTAACAGCACATTTAAGTTTCAATGTAAATTAAAGTTTCAGCACTTTGAGCCATTTGTCACAGAAACCAAGCTGGTCACCACAATAACGCTTTGTAATGAGATAGTCTTATCGCGGGATAAACGCCGCTTAGCCTAGCGATCCTGGCCTAGTGATGCTGATAATTTTTTCGATGAATTCTAAATCTATGCGAATCATGCCTGTGTCAGGTGACCGCCCACAACTTTTAGTGCTTAGCCTTATCTGAGGATCTAGTCGTGTTTAAAGAAAGTTGTCTTTATCTGATCGTTTGTTTCAACTTTGGCTCGCTATTAAAACATGTGGCTTTTGTGTGATTTCCTCGTGAAAGATTGGCCCCCGGGCTAGGTTAATGACTGGATTTGTTTGTCGTGGGGTAATATGCATCCCTACAAGAATGTCCTCAATCAAGTTGGTCTATTAGTGATGTAAAACTGAGAGTTGAAGGTATATACAGGAACTATAGAGTTCTTCATTGTCCTGTTTAAATTAGCTCCCTGACATTTTGAAACGCGTTTGTTATTGAATGTCCCTATCCGATTTGACCATCCTTTGGCTCCAGGATATAATTGGGCATAAATATAGTCGGAATATTTTCACAGCAAGATATTTTCCGTGATATTAGATCATATATATTTTTATTTTGTGCAATGTGCGTTCAATTATTTCGCCAATCAACTTGAGGAAACCTTGGGTAAAATACTCAAGCCAGTCAACTTTTCATCTTAAACGCAGTAACACTGTTTGACTAGAGTACGAAGTACACGCAGGTAAGAAAAATAATGTTAACGTGTTAATGGGAAAGCACTTATCTTATCCCCTAATATCCAATCAAACGATATCATTATCTTTTGAAACTAAGATTAAATTGTCGTCAACAACAAGAGTACGTCGTTAAACTGTCAAGGGTCGATGGTTTGAGCTGGCCCAAAAGTTAAAGTGACTTTATCATCTTCAACATGTCATATGAATTACACTGGAGGAACTGACCGAATTGAGCCGAGACTGCAACAGTGGTAAAACTTCCTTTAGAGCTTTCAAAGCGGGTTCCGTCTATGCTTTGTCTTCAAATGAAGCTTAAGTGGGAGGGAATGAATCTCAGATGAGACAAGAGGGAACTTTTTTTTTTATCAGCTCGACTTTACCGGTAATATCAGTTTTTGTTTCTGATATCAAATATTTGATTTAAGGATACAGGTTATGATTAGATAAACTGAGTTCAGTAACGTTTCTATTAGTGATGAATCAACAGATGTAGGTATAAACCTCCGTGTTCTCCTTACCACAGCTGATTCGTTGCCTTTACTCTATCTTCATTGTGGCCAATGGTAAAACCGTGAAGAAAACAGTCTCAAAATTAAACCATGATGATAATATTACGTAATGCCCTCCTATTGGCGATACCATAAGATTTCGTCCAAAGACTCGAGACCTATAGAGGTGAACTAAATTCTGTGTAACCCAGGCATTTCAAGGAAATGGCGCTATATAAATATAAAATTATTGTTATAATTGTTACTTTTATTCCCTTCTTTTTTACCAAAAAAAAAAAAATTATTACTTAGTGTGCTTTAAAAATATTAACATCTAAAAATCAGCGTTGTAATTTACATTTCTATGCCATTACCACTCAAATGCAGTAAATTCCGATTGACGAAGAAATCGTTACTTTCACGTTTTAGTGCTCAGCCCTAAGATAATGGAACAAGCCAATTCTGCAAATTTCACCATCGCTGCGTTGTTGGGTTCAGCCAGGCCTCAGCAAGCACTTATTAGGGACACAGATGTGTTTCATGAGAGGCTTCACGAAGCACAGCGTAATCGTCTTCATTCACTGATGGGAAGCGATGAAGAAGAAGACCAGGAGTCTGCACAAATCCCAGGTAACATTTAATTCTGTTTACATTCTTTAGGATTGACAAATACTTATATGAAAATAGCGCTTAACAACCCTGACTGTCCGCATGTAACCTTGTAAAAAGTCGCCTTTTGGAGGCCAGTTTTCATTTCTCCAGAGACGTAACTACAACTGAGGAACTCAGCGGCATGTCAGTACGAGCTATTACAACAAGTAGTTTGGCGATTTGTTACCCAAAAAATTACACCCGACGACGTCGCCACAAATAACTGATTTCTTTAATTGTGTAGTAGGGATTCATTTATTAAAGTGTACTAAACATTTTGGTAGCTAACTAAACATATGTTTTTCAGTGATCTTGACAGAACCGGTAGGCGAGGTTTTACAACGAAACACACCTTATAAGAAAGAACCTATTCTTGAATTATTAGGCTTTCTCAAATCCAGCCAATTTACCCAACTAATAATTTCTTTTTATTTATATTACTTTATAATATCAACTGAAAAGAAATTTGTCTACGAAGATACAGAGCGTATTATGTGTTTGTTGGAGAAAGTGCAGGATTGAAGGTGTGGGGCCGATGTAGTTTTAAATTTGCTTTTTTTTAACCAATGTCCCACTCACACCAAATAAACTTGTTTAATTAAAGCAGGTTTTAAAAAATGAAAAACATTCACTGAAAACTTTTACACATAGGATTCAAATGAACTTAACCATGCACATAATGCAGTTTTTCTAAATTTGTAATGGCCAAACGTCAGTAGCAGCTTTTACGAGGGAAATTGTTCAGTTAAAACTGTGTTTAACTACACAGCTTTGTAACATGTTTAAATGGGGTATAACACAGCAACATGACTTATGAAAATACCTTGCATTTATAGCAACATATTTTTGAAAAAATAACAAAATAGCTTTGATCATGAAAACATAAATTTAAGTTCTGTAATAATAGCAACAAAAGAAATCTCGACGCCGTTTTCTGAAGCCGTCAACTGCGGTTATCGGTCTACAATAACGGCTCTGAAAGTTAGAGTTACCGTTATTAATAACCGTATTATTGAACAGTATTATATAAAATTTTAAAGCTATTCGGAAAAACTACAAAGATTGGTAACTGCTACTGTTCTCCAAACCGTCCGTATGAAAAGGGTGTGGTTGGAAGTGTTGGAATGGCATCTATTTGTTAAATTTTCTTTCATCTCTAACTAAACTTTTAACCAGCAGCTTAGCTATTTAAAAAGTTGAACTGTTTTTCTTTATGAATTAAGAGATTTATTAATGTCTAGAAACCCAGTCAACGGTCCTGAATTCTGTAAATTAACATCACGGTATTTCCTTAGAATACATTTTAGCCCGAGTATCACCCTTAAAACGATTTCAGCAGGGACTTTTTACGACGGTCACCTAACAATGTTCAAATTCATTTTATCTCAGTGACTAATAATCGAGCAGTGGCATCCAAAGGAGAAAACACTCGCGACTCAAAAACGGCAAGAAAGCCACCGAAAACAAGACGAAAGAGGACAGCATTTACAAGTTTTCAGCTGAAATGCCTGGAAGAAAAGTTTATGATGAACAAATATCTGACAATTGCCGAGAGAGACATGTTAGCAAAATCACTTCAACTCAGTAACAAGCAAGTTAAAACTTGGTTTCAAAATCGTCGAACAAAGTGGAAGCGAGAAAACGTTGGAGAAGCGATACATTTGGCTTATGAAATACAGAGAAGTGGTATTGGACCTTACCACCCTCCTTGGGTTCCCTTATGTCATTGCCCACCCCCACCCCCACCAGTGTACAGAATGAACACTATGTACTCGTGTCCTACTCCAACTTTTATTCCACCTCATGGAACACCATAAATCAAAATTAAAATGCATCTTTGGTTTTTGTCTAACAGTTGAGGCTTGATTTAGCTGCAATTGCATTCTCACGGTACAGACAAGCCAATGGCAAAGGAACTGGTTCTATCAATGAGGGCTAACCAGTTCAACTCCTGCACTTTCTCACGGTCATAAAATGTAAATCAAGAGTTGCCCATATTTTGCAGATAGCTATTTGAAAACTGAATGATCCGGCTTTCCGATTAATAGCGTGAGAACCGTAGTCTAAAGAGGACAGAATTTAGGGTGTTGTGAAAAATAGCTAATTAATTACTGTCAGAACCTAAGCTCTTTTGCTCTGCCGCCAATGTGGATATAAAATCCAATTGCACGAAACACATACATAGAATGAGAAATGTGCTTCTGTGTGTTCTCAGCTCAATTAATGTGGGAAAGTGGGTCTCAGTGTTATTAAATCAACGACCGATATGCTATTTTCATGGTTAGTGTTTGAAAAGTAGACCAACCCTTACAATGGGGGAGACTGACTATCGAACTTAGACTTAGATAATCGGTCGGCCAAGGGTTTGCATGGGGTATAGGTATCTACTGAGCTCTTTTTAATCGGGTATACAGTTGTTTTTACATTACTCAAACTCAGTTAAGTAATGAATTGGACTAATGATTTTTCGCATGAGTGTGTTGGCGAAGGCACGAACGTATGTATAACTGTAGTCATATCAACTAGTTGCAAATATTTTGTGATAGTTACATTACAGATGGTATAAAGTAGGTTGTTAAAACTGATACAGTTGCAATTTTTTTTGTGCGTGGTAAATGTGACAGTAACGAAGCTCTTTAACCCTTTAAGGACTCTGTAATTGGAATCGCGCTTAACTAAACAAAACCGGTATTTGCTTGCTTTGGTCAAACCGCAGTTGTGTAAAGATAAATGGATATCTTGCTCATAAAGGCCAAGTATTAATAGCAGATAAACGTCAGTGTCATAAACAACTTTGACACTTTAAAAAATAGATTTTTATCCCCTGGAAAGGGATTTACCAGCTGGGTAGCAAGAACTTGGGTACTTCACTACCTAACTGGGCCAAGAGACACGGAAATCCGATTAATAAACCGAAAAAGGAACCAATATGGGTTCCTATCCTCTGACCAAAATCCTTTTCAAATAAAATCTTTCCTCTTTTAACTGTGCTAAGTGTCAGTTTTCTTTCCTTTTTGGACTCGAGGCAGCGTCATTGATTACCGGCTCTTCAGGCTTGGTAATACTTGTTGCTTTTCTATCGAGGGAGGACTGGCAGCTATTTAATTGAATGATCATTTCGCCTAATTCCTCCTCGGGAGGAAGTTTTAAAACATCTTATTTCATGCAGTCGATATCCATAGTGATTAGATCCCTAAGGTTAAGAAATATCGTCATATGAATTGCACCTTATACCGGATATCAATAACTACTAAAAAGGGAATTGCAAAGAAAAAAGGTAGCAAAACCTAAAGAGTAAAAAAAAAGTTAGTGTAAGAGGCTATATCGCTGAGATATTGCTGTTGCAGGGTAATTCCGTGCTGTCATTACTTAGTGCCAGTCTCTCGTGTTAGAGCTTATACCCGGCCGACCGATACACAAATGCTCCTGTAGATCGAGTGACGAGCTTCATGTGAGCATCAAGACTTGACAAAACTGACCCAACCCTTTTAATTTTCACTCCATGTGCATCCTTGTCGTGCGTAGCATTACAGACCATGAGATAAAGGTTCAATGCCTAGCATAGTCTTTAATTGTGAAAGGTTTGAACCCAGGAGTCATTTCACAAGTAGGTTGAGTATGATCGTCCGGGTGAACGCAGTCCTGAATAGGACTGTTGTTGTTGACAGTAACTGACTTTTCCACAACCTGTGCGGTATTCATTCATCTTAGAAAAAACTGAAACATTATTTTTCTGGAATTCAATGAATACAAGACACATTTTAACTTTTAAAAAAGATAGCATAGCTCCTTTAAAATCACCCCCTCGATAAAAACGGACTGATGTAAACAATCTCAAAAAACACCAAAAACCATATAACTTCCCACAATAAACCTGTAAGTTCATGTTACTCGCTGCATGTGGTCACAATAATTGTAGACACCTTGTTCTTTGGAACAGATCTGATGTTAAAGAGAACAAGCGATATGGGAAGACATTAACATGCCCTGAAGGCTACTCCCCGTATAATGGCTCAAACTGGGAAGTTCCGCCAGAAAGGGGTATCTTTTTTCCCTTTTTCAGACTCCAGGTACATGAAAGTGTAGGGATTTCACTTGTAGAAGTACATAAAAGGGTAGAGAAATCTGTCATTTTGGTCTGTAAAAAGGCGCAAAAGGGTTAGCAGATGAATTTTGTCTGTGAATGAGTCGAGAAAACTTTCTGTTTTTGTGATTAATTCATACTTTAAAGACGGTACATTTAAAGCAGTTAAGGAATGCAAAGTTGTAAACTACTGTAAGTATGTGAAAGGGGTGCCATTCGTTGACAGAAGGTGAACGAAAGGGTTACCTTTTTGGAAAGGGTTAGGGGTTGGATCTTGGGGCGGAGCCTACCCTTATAAGACTTTTTTAGTTCCCAAATGCATGTCTTTGCCCTTATGTCCTCTTAGCGTCAATCGCGGACGGATATTTACTTTCAGGTCTGTGGATGAAATCCTACGCATGTTGATAATATTCAGATGAATCCTCTTACTCGCGCCCGATGACCTCTGGCCCTTCGGTCCTCCCAATACGTGTTTCGTGAACATCAGATCCGTTCCTAGAACCGTGCTACCAGCATTGTGGCCACACCAGCGGATATTCAACTCTGTTGGAGTTGGCCGGATTTAATGGAGTAGTTTTGTGGTTTTGTGTTTGGTGTTGTTGTTGTTGTCACGTTTTGTTTTGTTTTGTTCACATTCAATTTCCATGAAGGCTGATTTTTTAGTACTTTATTTCTACCTTTAAGATTGGATTTTACTTTGTTAAGTTGAGCTTCCTTGGTTCTCATTGTAACATGTCCCTGTCGGTTTAAGCCAGTTTGCGTAACACCGCACGAGAATCATAATTTATCAAAGGGGCAAGAACTTTCGGTAAATTGTGCTGGCGCTAGAATCATGAGCGCCTTTTGGTGAACAAAAAACACTCAGACACTCATCACTTTTTTTTCTTCACAGTGATTTGTGCCAAATAAAACTGAAAAAAAACAACAACAACTAAAAATGAATTGGCCGGACGATAAACGTGATCGATATGAAGTTAGCAATTTCCGTTCTCTCTTAGAAACTACACTCTAGTAGTGAGTGTACGTATAGGAAACACGCGCCAACTGCTGAGCTAAATTTGAAATTTCTCGACCACTTTCCACATTTTACACTTCAGGAGAATTACACGTTAACGTATGAAATTTCATTTTCAAGACTGATTATACAGCCCAGCACCTATCCAACAGATCCATCTCTGATTGGCTCACTGAGCGGTAACAACAGAACACACGACAGAAGGCTGTTTTCAGAAAATTATGTCATGTTTGCGTTATGTACAGTACTATTTCGCACCAATATGAAACAATACTTGGTTATTTCAGTGGCTATAGTCAACTAACCTTTGAGCCCCTCTGCGGGTATTTTCATTATAACCTGAAAAGGTATAGTGTGCTATCTACCTTCGATTAGCTCTTCGATTCGTCCGCGGATGTTTTCAAGGTATCAAGCATGCAGACGCAAAACAAAGCGGGGGAAGAACAGACCAGTCACAGGGTTGCATTGTACACTCGGGTAGGGAAACACCTATAGCGAGGCACCACGGACTAACTAGAGAGCCGCTTTAGAACGGCAGTGCTCAGGTCAACTCGAATCAGATTTTCTTTGTCTGTTTTAAGGACGGAGAACGTAACAGGATTTTCTAAGCATTTGTCGTGCGCTCAGCAGTCTTGTTCAGAACGGTTAAATGTAACAAAATATTTATTTATGTTCTGGTCTTTTTCGGCCAAACGCATTCATTACCAGGGCCCTCCCCTCAGAACGACGATAGCGAGGGCAGCGAAAACGTCACTTTTAAAATGAACGCGTTTTTTCAAACTTTGTCGCGTTTATTCATATTCGCTGAAAATATCAAATGTAGGCGAATTTCCCTTTGAGGAGTTGATTTCTTGGGGACTGTATTCAAGAAAGTTTAGAAAAAGAATGAAAAATTCGTTCCATTGTTTACGCCCTCCATAACAGGTTAAATTTGGCATTTTCAAGTCGTAGTCGTGCAGAGAATGCAACAAAAAGGCGTGATGCACGCGTAAAGCTGTTGGTTTACTAACCTAAACCTATTGATGGCTTTCACAGTGACGTCAGCAAATTGTAAAGTCAAAATAGTGAGATTTTAAGAATTCTTATTTACACTAGGTTGAAGATAAACAAAAATCAAATCTTTGTACAAATTTTCATTCCCGTAGCATGTTTCATTTCGAAAATACAGCAATTTGAACTTCCGAGTTTTCACAGTGCGTGACACCAAAGTAGGAATGCTGACTCGTTGAAAAAAAGTATCTACTCTTGATTTTCAGCAGTCAGCTGAGCAGTATAACCATTCCAAGTATTAGAGGATATTTTATGCGCACGTATGCTAATTCTCGAGTGAAAAGAAGGAGCTTTTATACAAAAAGTGTACTTCAGATGTTTTTGTTGATTTTCCGCGGCCACATTGGTGCACCAAAACCGTGCACCAATATGGCGTCTCCATACAAAGCTCTACAAAGGTGCGGGAAACGTTTCGGCAAATAACTCTGAAACTGTGAGCCACAAAGGCCTGAGACTTGGACAAATTGTTTAAAAATTAGTCTTTCATAACATTTCATTTTCTTCGCTTCTTCCACTGGACGGTTTCCAATTTATTTTGTTGTTGCGTGACAGTGAAAACGATCTATTGCCTTTTTGACATTCCTGTCGCCGTTGCCAGCTCCCAAAAAGAGGGATCGGAAAAGGTCCAGCATCAGCAAGGTCACTCTTCTCAACAGACACCCAGGAAACTTAGGTGCAATAAATTAGCGATGCATGGAATGTGACTTCAAAGGTTAACCCTCGGACGTACACGGGGGGGTGGAGCCCCTCCCCAGAGTTTTTAATATGTTGCAGTATTTCGAAACGATTTTGCCTTAAGTAGAAAGCCTTTGATCTTCCGCCAACAAGACGAGGTATATTTTATGGTGGTGGCGCTGCTGGAGGTCTGTGACGTCACCAACAATGGTGGATTTTACCAAGAATTAGAAGTCAGGTTACGATCGCGATAAATGGTCATCCACAAGCTTTATTTATATTGTTGAAAAAAGTTGAAAAAACATGCATTTTCACTCAAAAATGGCTTGACCACCTGCTTCTTATGACGTTATGTCTCGTAACCATAGTAAATGACGATCACTAAACTTGTCTCAAAACGTGCGCGAGGGAACCCCTACTTGTACCCCTTCTCCTCCTAGTACGTCCAAGGGTTAAGTTGTGACATAAGTAATACAGCGGAACCTCGATACAGTAAAGTTCTCGGTATAACGAAGGGAAGACGAAGGCAATTTTCTTTACCTCAGTAACATTCACACAAGCTATACTTTTAGTCGTAGCGATTTCTCACCGATGCAGATATTCTTACGTGAAAATGTGCTTATCCGACTTGAGTCTTCGATAAATTCATCTATTCCACTGAGCTGACTGGGTAGTTAACTGGAAGCCTCTCAAGAAGAGACACCACTTTGCCAAACAACGAGCCTTTAAAACAATAGATTCTTGAGTTGAAGTAAAGGAAACATTCCATGAAATAGTTTATGAATAACGCAAAAAGTTTCACTTAATATCCTGAATTTAAGCATTTTTGTTCGCTTTGCAGCGCGTACATGGAGCGGGATCAAGAAAGCAAAAAATCAAAGCCAAAAGCCGAATGGAGTTCTGCAGAAATTTCGTGAGGGAACAAGCCATGGATCCATTTCCACGGGATTTAATGAAGGAATGGAAATTCGTCACATTGTATGTTTAGAGAATGCTGGTCCGTTGGAAAATTTTAACGAAATGAGCTATTAGGGATTAAAACAAGACCGGAAAGGTGCCAAAGGACCTCCAGGTGCAAATATGGCGGTTAACGATTTCAGGATATGTCCCGCGTGATCGGGTCCCAGCCCAAAGGGTTCTTCAATCCGGCCATTCTTTACGGGAACAAGTTAAACAGCTTATCCCAATCTCAAACATAAGGTGTGTTTCTTTCGGCGAATTAAAAAACACATTTTTGATCCTAGATTTGTCAGCTTTCGAAATTCGAAATTAGATCATAAACTCCTTAACATTTCGCAAATGGTTTCAATATGCGGTCTCTGAAGAAATGTTGTGTTTACGGTTTTATAAGATGGTATACTGGTGTAGAGAATGATCCGGCGATCCCTGACGGTAAGGCGCATAAATAGGGATCATTATAAAGCGCGTAAGAGTTGAAAATTATGCAGCAGTTGCATCTAGTTATCCCTCAGTTCAGCTTTGACATTCCGTTCCGAAGCCAAATTCGTATGTCAAGGCAGTAGAGCTCTTGAGTCAATCATCTAGGACGGCTTCTATGCTTTCTGTGGTACCCCGCTTACCCTGGTTCAGCGGAGTAACTTCGGATCCTTTAATTTGCATATGAATAAAACAGCGTAGATCTGGATTTGGATTCTTGAGCGAATCCTTTTTGCCGAAAAAAGATCAAAAATAGGGATTTGGATTTGCCTAAAGAAGACCTCGTAAGGTCTAAAATCCGTTTTTGGATTCGTCGAAACTAGAAAGCACCCAAAAAGTGACTTATACAGAAGTTCTAGATCCATTCATCTTCGGAGAAATTGTGGAAGACAGTGACTGTGAGTAACAAAGAGCACGGTCAAAATTAAGGCACCAGGCAAGGTTGGAGAAAATGTGGGCCACTTTTATTAACAACGATCTTTTTTCTACATCATCACTGAATTACCTGTTATTTACAAAAAGAATTCTCAATGTCTCATCGTAAAATCCCTACATCCTGTATTTTCAATGCAATGTCAAATTTTGTCCCCTCTTTCCAGTCGAAAATCTCGCCGAGTCTTGTCATTGAAATAAGCCGACGATAATGCAAAACCCTACTTGGGCAAGTCAAGAATAGTACGTTGCCTAGCAGCGCTCTGTCTAGACTGAGTAGCAGGCACTTGCTCGCTCGCGCGCCCGGTTCTTTCTTACGCCCACTTCTACTTGCAAGTTCAGGCTACCGGTTACGCTCTGGCTGAATTATTATTTTCAAGGTACAACGATCTGCAGCCGTACTTGTCGAGTTTTTTACCAGAGCTAGAGAGCTGCATTCGCCTTGTCCCTTCAGACTGGGGATCAGTCGGGGTAAACTGTCATTGAATGAAATCACTCACTAATGGTTTGGGTTGGATTGATCGTATTCCAGAACAGAAGCATAGGGAGATTGGTAGATAAGTCGTCTTCACGAATTTCTTGTAAGACAAGCTGTAAAGCTAGCGGGGTGAGCCTTTTTTAAAGCCGTTAAAAAGGGCAAAGGGCTTTTTCCTAAAGCCCAATAAATTTTTGTAGCTGAATTCTTCCTTTATGTCGATTTATGGATTTAGGAGTCGCTGGAATGTAACTTGTAACACACCTGACCATTGTATGTCATGCGGCGCTAAAGATGTTACATCATCTTTAGTTAATGCCAAAAAATTATAATGGGATTTCAGAGTTAATTCCACTTCCTTGAAATCATTAACATTGTCCATATTAAGCTCTAACTCGTTTACAAACTATAGTTGAATATCTTCCTGCAGACACTTCAACGGACACCTCTCTATTACGAACAGTCACTCGTGCAACTGGGGGTACTTTAGGAATTTCTGAGTGGGGATGTGCCGCTGGGACCCTTGAACCCTTCACCTATACCAGAGCTAGTTCAGCTGAATTTTGCTACCCTATACTAGAGTAAACTACCCAAATCCCCCCTATCCTAGAGTAGCCGTTTTCCTAGTCTAGATAAAATCTTCAACCAACTGATCAGTTTCCTGAAAAATAATACCCTATTCTAGACCCAAACGCTCTGATTTATATACCCTATCCTAGAGTAAACTGCTTAAAAACCATACCCTTCACAGCGGCACATACCTATATAGCCCATATATGGCAGTATGCCCCCCCCCCCCGGGGGGCTGGATGCGGACTCCTATGTACATAATTTGGACATTTTAAGCTTAGTTAAAAACATTTGAGAATTAAAACATGAGCGCCTTTTCTTTTATTTTGTATTTTAATTTCCTGTGTTCCTTATCATTTAACCTGCTCTTATCCTTAGGAGTATTCAGTCAGATGAGTCAGTGCTTTCTCGCACTAAAGAAGTTCATCTTGACCCGTAAACTAATAGCCTGTGTAACGATGACCTGGTTAATGTCTTTCATTCTCCACTTTTAGACGCTTTAATCGCCTCTTAGTTAAACCACTTTTTCAAGAGCAATAAACGATTATAAACAAATACAAGATCAGACCGAGATATGACTGATCTCCTTACCCCATAATAAGCAAACGGCTTGGAAGTACCAAAACATTTACCAATTATTCTTTTCGGCATTTAGTTTGATCGATTAGACAAATTAGAAGACTGAAAATGGGGATAATCCTATGACACAGTCAGAAAATAGTATGTTATTATTAGGCTGGGATTTTAAATCAAGTTATTTGGGCAATGGCACGCGACGTTTATCGCCATTATTTTGTTGAACCTGGGGGTCCCCTCCCTTGTCATGGCTGTAAATGCCAAACCACCTTAACTTGCCTCTGATCAGGACTATCTGGTCTGAGAATGGTATCGAATCTTACCCTGAGTTTTGGTCTGATGGAACGCTACAAACTGCAGCCTCTCTAATATATAAAGTAATAAATGGAAAACTGCAAACTCATTTTAGGGCGTGTGATGACACTTTCCAATTAAATTCTTAGTGGGGGAGTCGAGGACGTGTGTCCTCAAATGCGTGTCTATCATCAGCTGCGACACAGAGAGGATTTACATGTTTATGGATAAAAACACATAAATATGTTTTTATCTTTCTTTTCGTTATTAGAGATTTTAATACCATTTCGGCGGTTGATTATAATATTGTAATGTTTTTCATACAGGCGATTGCTGATTTTCCCACGGCCAATAACGGTCTACATGCGATTATACACTAGACGAAAACACTGGAAAAGGAACGAGGCAGGGCCTTCTTTGTTTTACATCCTGTTTACCTACCATAAATTACCCACCCAGTGGATTTACATTGCCCTAATTCTTTTAAAGTATATCAATTATAATAAGGAAAGTTATTATAATTTGATTGTTAAACAGCTCAGGAAAACATCGTAGGCGCAACCTGATAATCACGGGGCCTGATCACGGACTTAAAGACAATTGTCTGGCGAGGGTGGGCTTGACATTTTCCACCGAGCTATTAATACCACGTTCCTTTTTGTGTTAGTATCCCGATCACGCAACTGTTAAAACTGTCTTATCATTTCTGATTTCTTATTGTTAAGTCGACTGTTTGAGGAAGAGAGTACTTTATCAGGTCTTTGCACTCACATCCTGCACCATCTTGGACTAACAAATGTTCGCTTGCTTGAAGCGTTTTGTTTACATGAAAGTTTAGAACCGGAAATAGATCTTCATGGCTAATTGATGTTTTAGCCGACGAAGCATTTGATGATCTCATTTATATACAAAATAATATCGTGTATCAGAGCGCGTAATACATGTCTGTTTACAGTAAACTCCAAGCATTTACCGGCCCTTTGTCTCACAAAGCGGTCATAATTGAAAGTTACCAGACTTCATCGCACGCTTAATTGGCTGTCAAAGAGATTAGTATCGCCCGGCCGGATGTTAGTACATCAATATTTAGCAGTTACAAACAATTATTCCCGCTCTTGTGCGCGCAGGGCGTAATCACCGTTTCGATGGAGTCTTTTAGCATAAATGCTATCTTGGGAACACCAACACGCAAACGACAAGACACAAACGCTGTTTTGCAAGAATCAAATTATGGAGATGACCCTGGAATTCAAAGGGAAATAAAAGGTTTGTGATAATTCGACATTCTATGAAACATCATGCCGGACCGACAAGCCAATGAAGGATCATAACGTGCAATTGCCATGCCCAAATGTGTTCTGTTGTGTAGAAAAACTTCCTTTGTGTTTTTGTAAAGACGTTTACAGTTTTACGTCAAACTGGGGTTCTTTTCTCTGAATTCAGCATACAATAGATTCTTTTATTTCGAACAAAGGAAATGTTTAAAATTTTTTCAGCATCATTTTGCTCTTCATAAACAAATTAAAAACAATTTTCCTTGATCTTCCATTTACAGAGCACCAGGGCAAGGCTGACATAGTTAAGGGCGAAGATGATTTCGTTAAAGAGGCAGGATCAATTCCAAGACAAGAAATCCATATGAATAAGGCAAGAAGAAGACGAACGGCATTTACGAGCAGTCAGTTGAAATCTTTAGAGCAAAAGTTTCGGGAAAAAAAATACCTGACGATAACAGAAAGAAACAATTTGGCCTCGAGCCTCCATCTAACAGACACTCAAGTAAAAACATGGTTTCAGAACAGGAGAACAAAATGGAAAAAGCAAATGGCGCCTGAATTTGAGGCAAGCTTGCGCTGGGAAGAAATAAACCCCATGCTTTGTCCGATACAAACTCTGTTTTCTTATTATGGACAATTGCCGCCACCAATTCCTTACCGCTTGCCGAATGTTTTCCCAAATTTTTGTCCTTCATCTAACCTACAAGTTGTCCCATCAAACATGTCTTTACATACATTTGTAGCACCAGCTCACCCGCTTAATTGAATGAACGTAGACACAAGCTGATTAAAGCTGCTGAAATACGACTATTGAAACATTCATTCTTGAGTTCACCCGCCTCCAATTGAGGTTCTCAGAAACAAAGTGGCATGAACTGAGAGACTGTATAATTAACAATTAAACATAACGCTCAATAAAGATGAGAAACTAAATGCGCCCCAAAAGAAGTTGGCGAAGCCTCCGTTCACGCATTGCTTTATAGTTCTGCTCTTCTCGGCGATGGAATCGAAAGCGGTAGAACGAAACTTAAGTAGACCACAATAAATAATTGAGGTAAAATATCATTTCCATTGTAAAGGGAAACTGTACAACCTTTTCCTCTTTAGTTTCATGATCATAAGCTGTTCTCAGAAATGATTTGCACAATTTGCTGTCTATCATCAGAGACATTGCGAGCTTTTCATGGTTTTTCTCTGCATTTTCGGACACCGCACAGACTGAGATCAACTAAGGAAGTATAGTGTCGGTAGTTTTAAGTGTCTAACTTAAGTATAGCTGATCCCACGCTTTGTAAATATGTTATATAGTTAATGAATTAAAACAAAATCTAACTGCATGTTTACTTATTTATTTGAATTGTGCCATTCGTCTCTTTCTTTCGGCAAGCATTGCACGCACTAGTTATACCACCGAAGTCTCCCGTCTTGAAGTCAAGTCGCGATCTTGTGTCATAACGGTCAGAATGAAACAGAGAAATGTGTTGTAACTGATGCGTCTGGGTGATCCCACAGCATTCTTTGTTCAATTAATATAATATGTGTTTTCACTGTCCCTGTTAATAAACTGCAAGTTTAAAAGAGATCACCAGCAAATCATGAGTCATTGTTATTACGCAACTGAGAAATGAGGTAAAGGTCCTCGTTGGACACCCTTAAAATGAAAGCCAGCTATCGCTCGCGATCCCCCCATAGTGTCCTTACCAGGAATTGAATTGTCATTCACTGAGTGATCTACACTTTCCAAGAAATTCTAAGAATTCTATCAAGGAATACAAATTAAAACGTAGTTTAAGGCAAGATTGTTTTTTACAGGGCCCAATTTGCAGTATTAGTGGGATGATGATACTAACTTGGCTATTTTATTCCCAGAGCAGACAATTTTATTAAGATCAATTATATTCCACTGGATCTTTTATGGTAGCTCATTATGCAGTTATTTCGTCGCCTTTAAGGCATCCGAAACGGCAAAAACTTTTGAATTTTCTGAAAGGAGGAATTCGAAGAAACAAACTGTACTAACAAGACCCACAAAGCCTGCACCGACTGTTAACTCACATTATGGCCTGCCCCGAGTATTATATTCGTTATGAATACGAAAACGCAATTGCAAATCGCTCTTACGCATCTGCGCACTGTTGGTTGATTCATCTTTCAGTCATGGACATTTTTTCTAAGCGAAAGAAGGAAACTGATATAGATGAAAATTCTAATAACTTCTTGCTGACAAAGCTGATGAAAATTAATCAAATCTACTAAAAAGTGGCTTTTCTAGAAACACTCATGGGCCTGAAACATTTAGTGTGCTTAACGTTATATTAACCATGATTCGAAAATTAAAAATAATAAAATTAAATGTTATTGATCACGGTAGATCGGATGGCATCCAGGTCTTCCCCAAAACTAAAAACCGTGGTCACCACAAACCTTCATTAGTTTACGGCAAGTCCAGAAAATATTCGTATTAGTATAGGTAAAAGTATGATTTGTAGTGATATTTGGCATAAATACCACTCGTGATATTTCAAAATTGTTATACGTAATTTCACGAGCCGTTAGGTGAGTGAACTTTGAGGCAATTTTGAAATATCACAAGTGATATTTATGCCAGATATCACGTACAAATGATACTATTATTTGTTTATACTACTACCCGCAAAACGTTTGTAATGTAGGTATTTCAAATTTAGCTGAAATACCACTGCTCTGAGCCAATCAAATCGCAGAAATTTCTCATGTAATAGTATAAACTAAACAACTGTAAAGCTGATTTACTGCTGACGAGTTTTTATGCACATTTTCAAACACATTTTCAAACAAGTTATCGTGGGCCAGACACCAGGTGATCTAGAATCACTGACATTGCAATCATTGCCTTTTTAGTTATTCAATATAAGAATATGTAAAATTTATTCTATATCCTAAGCCAAAAATGAGAGTTTAGTGCCAAAGCACTCCAGAGAATAGACTTTTTCAGTACACGCTCAAGGACAGTGTTGAATGCACTACGAGCTAGTTTGTCGGTTGGTCAAATTAACCTTTTTAAAGGGACTGTGTAGACATACTTTCTGCTTGTAAGTAGCTGATGTTCTTTGCCCTGACCAATTAGCTTGAAAGCACTGACAGAGGTAAGACTTCAAGTACAAAATTCCTCCGAAACGAAGAAAACGTTTTAGGTTCTGAATAAGACTTTGGAAAGAAGAACATTTAAAAAATGGCACGGAGGTTTGGAGCAATAGTGATTTCCTTAACGAGAACCAATGAAATAATTTCATTAGAGTTGACTGAGAAATGCTGTTGTTTTTGTTGTTTTTCGTTCAAAAATGGACGATTGTTGGTGGGCTTTTAATAAAATTTATATTTTCTTCATGGGTTAAAAAATTATATTATTTCAAGTCCCTAAATACAACTTGGCTTTTGTACACGTAATTTTTCTCGAAAGGAATCTTGTAATGCAAGTTAACTCGGATTAGTGACTACTTATTACCACATGGCGGCTTTCGTTACTATTAAGGATACTGTTAAATAACTTTCATCAAAACAACCCACTTAGGCTGAAATGCAGTTAATGTGGTATTAACTAGTAATCAATATCCGATTGAAAGGTCAGTTTAAGCGTTGATTATAGACTACCGATCTGCTAAGAATTTCCTTATAGCTCCAACAAAACTCCCCCATGTCCTTGTGTTAGGCTTGCGCGGTACTTTTGTCAAACAAAAAAATACTAATAGCAATGTCAAGATTTTTTTGAGAGCCCTTGAAAGCTAAAGCTTTATTTTCTTTCCTGAGGATGCATGAATTGAAATATTTCTTTGAAATTACACCCACCTCGCTAACGGCACGCGAAGCGGTTTTCCAGTTTTCATCATCAATCAGTCAATAAAAAAATATTATTTAAAATGATGTAAAAAAAAAAAAGAACTTGGTCTATTCGCTTTTCCTTACCAAACTTTATCAAACTCGAACTCTCTTACCAAGGCGGTGAAAGTCATTTACATGAAAAAAAGTAAGTGGTAAAGAAAAAAATTCTTTTTCATTTTTTAGGAAACGTACTTGTAAATGTACATGTAAAAGTAGCTTTTTACTTCTTTGCCCTGAGTGACTTGGCATTTAAAAAAAAAATTAAAGACTGAAAGTAAAGCAAACAAACAAAAATATAAACCAACAAACGTAGTTGGTCCATATGAATTAAACACGAGGTAAAAATGTTTACTACGATTACCACGGATTAGACAATGACGACAATGCAGCTGCTGGGTTGATGGAATGAATAACCAGAGCTAATAATACTTAAAACCAAAATGGATTAATTTTACAATGCTTTTGGCACCTGGACACTTTTTAAAACGTGATCGCGGGCTTCAACTGCCAGTTACGACAGACAATGAACACATCTACATAATGTTTAACGTAATAATTTCTTTATTGACATCTCCTCGACCTCCGCAATGTAAGACCATGGCCTCTCACTCAGACGCTCCTCTCAGTTGCTTCCTTTGGTTAAATTCCTTTACAAATAAACAAACGTGTCGTCGAAGTCAGTACGTGGGCGTGCTGCCCCGTGCCCTTTCTGACTCGTAACATATTTCTTTAGTTAAACTTTGAAGTTTAAGTCTATTTAGCATATCTCTTTATTGGCGTGAGGTACGGCATGAAAAACGTTCAAGCACAAAACAATCTTGACAACAAAGAAGAAAAAACAAATAGCATGGGTTTTGGTTGCACTGTTTCAAGATTCACCTCTCCAAGTTTATTTGGTTTATGTCAATGCTCTCTTACCTTTTTTTATATGTAAATGGTTGTACATCTGCCAAGTTTTTATTTTGCCGTGTTTCTCGTACGTGATATGTTGCACGAAATTACACACAGCTAGCGCAACAAAAAAGAAGAGACGAAAAATTAGACCAATTATGTGGTAGCAAGTTTTTCAATTCACTTCTCGACGTTTACTTCTGCCTATCTTTAGGGTTTGTGGAATTGTTGACTCAAGGCATTTGGCAAAAACAGGATAGACACTCTTAAACAGGTGGAAGGCATAATGTTCAACACACGTTAATCCACTTAAAAGCAAAATATCCAAAAGAAAGATGGCGAAACTATAGTGACGTCGTAAAAGGGGGTCAATTGACTACACCCCAATTTTTTTTTATAGTACCACACTCTGAGAGATTTCTCAGATCATCCCGCTCCCCTTGAACGGTTTCTAATTGGCTCCTTAATTCAATTTAGGTCGGATTCATTTGCAAGTTAAATCCAAGACTTTGCGACACTGCGAGACCGTGGTTTCAAAATTATTTGAGACCGAGACTTAATTAAGCATTTTTATCATTTCCAAGTCCGAGACTGTAAGCACCGAAAATTTAGGGATGGCGGTACAAATAAAGGTTAACAAAATGACCGCGCCAATGGAGACTAGTATAGTGGAAGCCTATGCCAATATTAATACTGCTTTTTCCGGCTTGCTTTACTGTACTGTAAGCTGTACCCATGAACTCTGAAAAACTCGACCCCTGAAGACCGTCACAGAAAGAAAAAATACAAATCCGAGACTCCTACTCCGTCAGCAAAAAACAAAAAGATGAAACTAGATACGCAAAAATTACCCTCAAACGAGACTTTGAGACCCATCAGAAACGCTTCCGAGATTTCGGCCTCGTTCGACTCGTGGAATGGATTTGATATCTTAGTCAGTAACGGTTGTTGTTTCTCTCGTTATCATGCACGTACCGAGCGTGAAGATTCAGGTGCCACTTTTGGTTTTGTCTGGAGTATAAAAGTTGATCCATGGAAGAGGAAAAATTGCTAACACGGGACGTGCTTCGTGAAAGAGGACCTTGAACAATTAAGAAGCACAAATCAGGACACTCAATTTACATGCTGCGTCAGTAAGGAAGTAAGCACACCAGGGAAAGATTTTTCCGGGATTTATCATTTAAGTCGTTAAGTTAGTCGGGTCTACGTGAGGTGATTAAACATACTATACGACTATTTTTATTTCTATTTTTGTAATGAGTCTATAAATTTCTCATGTACCAAATTTAAGCGCCTCAAGGATAACGCAGATGGGCGCTATAACCTATAAAACTGCAAACCTGGAGATCGAGGGCTCAATCCTCCAAACCAAACCATATACTCAAGAATTAAAAATAACCTGAAAAGAATAAGCTACGCTTTAGCGAGGTGGCGGTTTGGATGACTACGTATAAGAAATTGCGGTCCCGTCTCAAGTAGGGGACTTTAAAAAGTGGTCTTGTCCTTTCTGTCGCTCGTATTGCATTCATGCGCCTAATATACTCAGGCCAGAGACATCGGTACTGACATAACATGGTGGGTTATCTTGTGCGGTGAGTTTCATCATTATACCCTAAGGCACAAATGCTGAATAAACCAAAACTTGTAACATACGTCAGCGCATTGACTCTCAAAGGGAACAGTGGTCATGGGGGCTAATAGTGTAGATTGGCAACATGCCACACCTTGAAGGGACAATCCTTGGAGTTACGTGACAGCACCCCGCGGGCTTTTAGCTATAGGGGCCTCAGCTTAGAGCCGGAAAGAAGTCGTACAAGGACGGAACTCGGTTTTCACTAAAACTTACCGATCTTATCGCCCGAAATCTCAACGCAATCCCACAACAATAACTTAGGTGGCATTGAACGTTTGTTTTAGTGATAAGGATGATCAGACGATTGTATTAGGCGAGTTCCGTCCTTTTCCGGCCCTTTAAAGCTACCCCCGCAAAATAAGATTTCAGATTCTGGTCACCGTAAAAAGTTAATAGTTAAGAGAAACCTTTTTCCGGGGGAATGCCCCCCATTGTTTCCATTCAGCGGCTGGCTGTTGAATTTCGCTAATTTTTTGACAGGAAAATCCTTTTCGGAGGCAGCAAAGAAAATGAACTCGAAAAATTACGATTTTTACAAGTTTTCGAAAAAAAGTGTCGTTTTTATGATTATGATGCACTTGTTCTGCAAAATGTAATTTGTTTACTCAAAAACTAGTGGCTTCGCGATTGACTTTTTCTACATGTGTTTGAGTGTCCCATAATGAATTACAACTTTTGGAGGTTCTAGATTGTTTTAGAAGAGGGAATTGAATGCCCAAGAAGCTAGCTTGGAGCTAGACGAGAACCAAGAAGAGAAACTCAATGCACGCGGGAAGTCTCATCCTTGGCCTAATGTCACCTAGTTTTCACATATTTGCTTATTTTTCCCTGAGTTTTCACACATTTACTTATTTTCCCCTCGCTTTAAAATGTAAGCGTCTATGAGCGCATTCGAAGTAAAAGAAATGAAAAAGAAAAAAACTAAATGTTATTTAAAGGTAAAAATACCATTTTTAAGTCAGTAGGCTCTGTACACTCGTTTGGTAGACTTGTAAATACTATTCTTAATTCGCATTAAAAAGGAACTGGTCGTTAAAAAAGGCGTGACATGAGTACATCGAAGTTGCTCATGCACTCCTGGTAATGGGCTCCGGCAAGAGCCGATTACTGGTTCCGCATAGTGAACCCTGGTCACATTTAATAGTGGAAGACGGAGTGTTCCGGTTAATCACTGCCGGCACTCTAGGTCCTTTAATTAGAGTTTCCAATTTAATCTGTCTATCCTGATAAGATAGTTTATAACTGCTTGAGATAATATTTCTGAGCGTTTTAAATGAACCTTCTACCAATTTCACTAATTAAAAGCTATCATTTAAAAAGGTCTGGTACCAGGATGATTTGACTTCAAGACACGCCCACTTTGCTTGTCTCAATGAATGTCCGTACACTTCAGGCGACGAAGGAATTGTGAGAAGCTCATAATTCGATCGCTGATTCAGTTTTGGTAATTCTTCTGTGAAGTAAAAACATGGCGATAGGCCACCGAAAATGAATTTAACGAGAAATGAAACAAAATTTTGAAAGTTTGGCAAAACACACATTACTTATTCATAACTGGAGCGAGATATTATCAAAGATTAATAAAAGGTCAAAAACTTCAGTAAATGCACAGTTTAAACTTGAAGAATCAAGGGTCTGACGCCACTTTGAACTAAGAAAAAGGACAGCCATCTAATTATTGGACATAAGGCTAAGGACAGTTTCTGAATGAGTTAGACTAAAGACACAAGAAGATAGTCTTCAATATTCATTGTTATAGTGTAAAACAGGACAATGAATTGTTCATATTACAATCTTAGCTTCTTTGTTTTGCTTCTGTTTGTAACAAACGGTGTTTATTGCAAACACAAAGAAAGGCGAAAGAAACAAAAAGAGTCTCAGAGGAAGGATGTGCACTTTTTTAACGTCAAGCCGTCACACATGCTTAGACATCTGCATATGAAGCAAGAGACTCTCCACACGAGTCACCATAAGAACAACAACCATCAACAACATCATGGGAAGTTACACGCAGGTAAGTAAACGTTTGGGTGGGTGCCTCTTGCGAAATTCATCTTCAGTTAGTGTGCTACAAGATAGTACAGTTAATTCTCAGATTTTATAATTTAGTACCATTGCTCAGCATACGGGTGGAATATTTACTCTGTTATACTAGATGTCAGGTGATCCTTTACCACGTTTTATTATATAGACACGAGTGTTTTACTGGAAAATATACCTCTCGTAAACTTCATAAAAACTACATCCGGGACCCGAGTGGTTTATTTTCCATAATCTCACACGTGAGTATATACATGACGTAATTTCGGTAATTTCCCTCTATTATTTTATCGATGTCTTTTTGTCTATATAATAAAGAGAACATTACACGGCGGCTTGAAGATATGAATTTTATTTTCTCATGGCAAAAACAATATTTTATATTGTTTTGCCACTCGAGAAAAAAATTCATATCTTCGCGCCACCGTGTAATATCATCTATATATTGCACTAGAGTTTTTCTTGATGGCAAAAATTACGTTTCAAAAGGAAACATAACTTAAATCCTGATAAGCTCAGTTGAAGGGACTCCGCCGGGCGCCACCTTTTCTGCTGAATGGTAGGTCGTGAGAGTTCAAATCCTGTCCGTACCATCAAACAGGCTTACAAAAAGTGATAAGAAAGTGCTAGCCGTGTTGAAAACCTTGTCTCAGGTCAGATGATCGCTCTAGGGCGGTGACGTTTATATCCCGTTGACCTTGCATCCTTAGTCCTTACACATTGATTAGAGAGATCATTAGAAGGAGACGTATGGGAACCCATGACGTTGTTCGAAAGAGTAGGAGGGGGGTAGATCCTCTTGGCATGGATCACTGACTTGCCCGTTGACGCACGTGCTGTTAGAAAGAGTACTTATATCGTAACTAGGCCGCCGGGTGTGATTTGAACATGCGTGCATGCTATTCAATGTCTGCAGGCAAATCAGGCACTTCTTAAGGCCTGATGTGCCGCTGATTAGTGGACGGTTTTGAACGATCGCGCGATAAGAAAACTGAATGCAAGTGACTATTTACGGCATATAAAGGGCGATTTTTCAATAATTTTCATGTTTTATGTTGCAGCAACAAACATAATTTCGTTAATTAATTCTTTTGGAATACGCGTTTTAAAACCTTTTGATTTTCTCTAGACTACCACCACCCAGCAGGCCTCAAATGCCGCCGAGTCAAATTCATAGTCAATCGCAATCTCCATTTGAAAAAGAAAGCCACGGAAACCTTGAAAAAACGAGTTCACTTGAAACGTACGGGGACCAAACTGCACAAGAAGTTCCTCAGTGGTGTGCATGCAAAGAGGTTCCGACTGTAAGTAGATGCCAGTGTCAGATCAATATGTTTCATACAACGGTGTTAAGTACGTCATTTGCTGTCCAAAAACCAGTTATGGATTCAGAGCTTCAAGAAAGTGGGGGCCCGCTTATCCAGACACTGACAAAAAATAGCCCCTGAGGCGGCTTACCAACCACCCGGGGTGAAATCTTGATCATAAACATGAAGGTATAAAATTTAACGTGGTGGGAGAACAACCCACTACAAAGCATACAAATCAGTCAGCAGGGGAAGATTAAACAGATAGAGCAACTAAAGCTTCCCGCAAAAAGAATTGTACGAAGCATTTGATTTTCCAGCCAGAATTTCCAGTTTTTCCATGAAAATGCAACGTATTCTTTGTTAAAAAGTGATTTTGCTTTACCCTGCGAGCTTCAGTTTGGCCTAAAAGTAAGCTGGGGTCGAGCCCCACGAGCCTCTCCCACAGATCCGCCAATGCAAAATGAATTTACACTCGGGCGGGATGTCAGAAGACTTTTTGTTCCTTTTTTAGAGGATGTGTAGTGCGGTTTCGGGTCACCATTCATTTTAGTGGTTTCAAAATGACTCTTGTATTTGCCTTCTTGCAGACCTAAAGAAGTAAAACTTTTCGAAGATAAGGATGGTAACTTGGCAACTTATATTGAAGACTGTGTTTCTTCTGGTAAGTTTCTACAAATCTACCTACCGGTAATTGCTTTAATGTAAATGGCATATTAGATTTTATCAAAGGAACTTCTAGATCGGCACTTTCATGAATATTGTCTGGAAAGTCTCCACAGTCTCTGCGGCGATTTTATACTCTAACAAAGTGTGGACTTTAACATGTCTTCTTCAATTCATATATGGATGATGTATGCACACTGATTTAAACTATTCCTGTTCAACTGTGCCGTTAAGTTTTCAAAGTCACAATTTTTACGCCAGTGTACACTGCCTAATAAAATTTGCTATTTTCTTTGGAGAACGTTCATCGAAGAAGAATTTTTTCGAAAGTGGCCAGGAGGAGCTGTCTATTGGTATGTTTTACAATTGTTTCGATGTGGTGCTGTCAGTATGCTTATGTTAGTGAAAGCCTTAATTTAAAATTCTTCCACTGGAAACCATGCACAGTTACACACTACCGCGAAATTTTGAGGCCTTTATATGGCTGTACCAATAAACTATAATCGTGTAGGAGATTTGGCGGAATTCATTCAGGTCCTTGAAGTAGTTGAAACTATTGAATAAAATGCGATGAATAAATCTCTTCTTGGAAGAATATCTAATTGTACTTTTTTGCTAGAGCAAATGCTGTCCGGGTTTGAAGTACAGTTGTCTGTTTTATTGACTTTTGGCTCATTGCATCCCATCCGATAGCTCCTGCCTTTGAAGATGACAAAAACACGCTTCAAAGTCAATCATCAGAAGATAGCGGTAAGTGTCAGAAAATGATAATTTTTGAAGGCTTTTAATCATCCCCTCTTCTCTCGAGAGCTGGATTTATCAAATAACCTACAGCATGAAAGGACTCAGCTTAGAATTGGAATCTTTCACCAGTGTTTCAAGAGCCTGTAGGATCTTGATCACGATTTTCAGTTAGGAAACGTCAGTTTACCTGTGGGGAAAGGGAGGGTGGGGGCATAAGGAGAGTAAAGAGCCTTTTTCGGGCTTTCGTTCTCTGAAGCTGAAAAATAAAGGGAAAAAAGGCGGTGTCATCGGTTACGGGCTGGCTGTGTGATGTGTTGAACTAAAATGCTCGTAAGAAAAAGGTAATTAACTGCAAAACTCAAAGTATATGCTGAAAGATCAGGGCGAACCGCAAAGAACAACCTAATCAACCAATGAGCGAAAGGCCAAGGCTAAATTTTAAAAATGATCTTTTTTTGGAGTTGATCTGCTGACAATTTAGTATTAAGTGAACATGACCTGGTTCTTGCAGTAGTGAAACATGATGACACCTCTGAATCTATGGAAAATGGCATCAGCGAAGATGGAATTCTTCCTGCCTCTGAAGGTATTGTACACAAAAGCTATCTGACTTTAAAAACAATCTCCTTCACATATGGTATTACAGAGATCAGGCGTAACTTGCTTTCTTGAATCACGTCTTACGTTCACGGACATCAAAACAACCTTATTGATATATTATAAGTGAGAAAGAAAGGAAGTTTTCCTAGTTTTGTCATAATGGAATGGTTTTGAAACCCGCCATATACACAATATATATGTTATATGTTTTTTTGTTGACGGTGCACAAAGGTTAGATACGTATCATGTTCTACCTAATACTGATCAATAAAAGCGTTCCATTAATTCATTACGTCACAATTTGTAAACAAAAAACAATCATATGGCTATACCGTCAGGCAGCTCCTAACATAAACTGGAACACTGTAGTTTTTATCTTTAATGTTTGCCGTTTTTCACTAACTGAAGTTTTATCCTGTCAGCTATATCTCATGTCGTAATATACAATTTCCTTTGGATCAAGCGTTATCTCAGTCCTTGTTTATCGTTAACAGCGGAGTATAAGACATGTCAAGTAGACTAAAGTAATAGAAGCAAATTACAGCTGAAGTTAGTTGTAAAGCAGTAAGAACTATCTAGCACAAAGTTGGAAATAAACTTCCGTGTCTTTCTTTTGATAGATTCCTTGCTACAATCTGTGTCTGATTCAACGGAAATACTAAAAACCAACGCAGACAAGGAAGGTAAAGGAGAATTGATCAGTTATGGCGCAAAAAAAAAAACAATGAAAAAAATAACGATAGAAGCTTTATGTGAATAAGAGTCAAAAGTTAATTATCCTCACTTAGCTCAAAAGTTTTGAAAGTTAGTAGGTCAGTCACAGGAATTACAGAGAGATTTCAGTCGTCTTAAATGTGGATTTTAACCTGAATGAAATTAATTCCTATGGTTGATTTCTTAAAGAATCTCAGTTTTTTAATGATGAGCACGGTGAGAAAGAAGATCCTTCTGCCTTTGGTGAGTGAAAAATACTTATAATTAATTAAAAGGTTCCGAGTACTAAGCAGCGTCCCTAAAAGTCTCCAGAGACAAGATTTGCAGGTACTGTAGAGTTTGTTGTTTGTATCTAAGCCGCAAATTAAAAGCCTGGTTGTATTTATTCCTGATCCTGATCACCACATCATCATGAATTTTTTTTTTCACAAATACAGTAAACAAACATCAGATCAAAGACTTCTGACTTTTGTTCTCGCTTTCGATTCCTCTCAGTTCTCGCTCTGTCAGGTTTTTTTTCCATTTGTACGTGCGCTTTTGCATCTCCGCGACCTGTGGCAAGTCTCAATTCTTTAATCATCTTTGTTATTTAAAACTGAGCAGCCGAAAATGATTTTAATTACTGATTATGTCTGAGTGATGATGAGTAATATCTACATGCGATTTGGACCGGTTGCCGTTCTTCTTTCTTTTCTTCCAGCTGGTGTATTTGAACCTGAGACTCTAAGCAACCCTATTCCCAAGAAGGCCGCTGAAGAGGCAACTGGTAAGTGCTAATACATGATTCTGATACAAAGAAACCTTGATAAAAGAGTCTTTGCCTAACAACTTGTCACAAAACGCACTCTGAGTGTCAATGTATATAACACGAAAGTACTTATTGAAGACTCCATTTTTACGTCTCCTGCTGGAGACGGGACCGCAATTTTATCGTGTGGTCATCGAATGAACGCGACGGATCTAGCCGTTTGAGGGCAAAGGAAGTACCTTCATTTCTCAGTTATAAACCCCGCGACCTCATCCCACTTTGCAGTGAAGAGCTCTACCGACTGAGCTAGTCCTGCCGCGGTAAGAAAAGTGTTAAGGAACTGTCAGGTTGTCGGGGCTGCGTTTGATAAGCGTTAAACGTTATAGCCTCTATCACCCACAACAGCTCGCTTTATAAAGAGTCTTGTAGCACGAATTCGGGGACAAGATTTGACTTAAGCCTTTTTCGGAAAATAGCTACCCCGGAAAGCTTCATTTTACAATTTTACACTAGAAAAGTCAATACGGTTATTTTTGTTGAGGATGGTTAAGCCCTTTCCTGGCTGGTAAAGGGTAACACTTTCCCAATTCGATGGCATGTTTCCACCCCTAAGACATTCTGAGACCGTTCTCCTCAAGGAAATTTCTCAAGTCTTCCCGACATCAAATACTTACGTGACAGTGAAAAAGAGATGGTTCGCCTCTTCCCTACCCGAATTCTACAGTGAATGTTGCACCACTACCTGTAGCTAGGAAACAATAAACACCTTAAAGTTGAATGGAGGTTTAAGGGGATGTAAGGGGTTAAGACTATCGTGTTCTCTGATTATGTACCGCATTTGGTAACAGCAAGCGATTGAAGAGGTATACGACGCCTCATGATAATTGGATGATATTTCATATTTTCAGAGATGCAGCGGTATTTCTCCTCAACAGGATTAAATAACCTTCCTCAGTTCCCAAACAGTGTAGGTAAGATATAGTTATAATCAGCAAATAACATGGATCTGTCGACAGACACTGTTCATGCTAAGAATGACCTAAGGTTTAGCAATGCCATGAATCTGAGTTTGATGCAAGACTACGGAGTTCAATGCACATTTTCTAAGAAACACCTTGTGCTTGTTTTCATCACCGACACGCATTAGAGACAAAAATCAAAACCATTGAATAAACGAAGTCAGAGGAGAAGAGGGAACATAAGTTTGTAACCACGGCTTGATTCGTGAGTTATGGAATAATGAGGTTGAACGGCTCCGTGTTTTACTTGCTAGCAAACTGCAATATCTATGTAATGAAGTGGTTTTTGCTCATGCATTTTTGTACAATTTGCACGGCTGTTATAGCTGTAAGAATCACGTAAAAAGGAGGAAATATCAGATACCGTTTATACTTGAGAACCAGGTGTGGTAATATCGTATAAATTTGGGATCAATTAACTGTTAACATGTTTGAATCACTTTAGATATGACGCCTTATTCACATCCACCAGTACACAATGCAGAGTCGGCTCGGCATGTTAATCAACCGCCACTGACCTCTTCAGGTTTTTTTTTTTTTACAATAATTGTGATAATTTAAAGATAAATTATTCATAAAAAGTGAGGTATGAAGTTTTCAGATGCGCATTTCATCAATTAAGTTGTCTTGAAAAAAACTGGATACTAATTAAATTCATTAACATAAAAAAATTAATAAACTGTGTAAGGTTATTGACATAAATTGTTAGATAAAAAGTAAAACATCCTAAAGTGCCTATATATCTATTAAAGTCAAAAAGTTACAAAATCAGTTTGTAAATCTAATTACTGTTAATTAATACATATAAACGATTTCAAAATAATTGTGTTTTATGAAAGATTTAAAAGTTAACTGCTAGTCAATGAAGAGAGTGGTGGAATATTAACTCTTGCTATTGATTGATTTGTTCAGTACATCGTAAACGCACTTGTGTTTTGTTAAGAAGAGTATGGCCTTACCAGTGTGCAAACTTAAATTTCCCGACTCTGGCGTTTACATACATTCTAGTGAGGCTAGTGAAGACACTAAAAATGATCACGTGTGAGCCGCAAGTATAACAGGAGCTGATGCTTATATAAGGAAGCTTTTTAAAACAAAAGACGTTTTTGAGCGACGCATGTCAGCCGGATGGGTGTGGTCTTTTCTCTTATGGAGACGATTTGCTCAAAAATGTGGGCAAAACCACTGCCCAAAATGATCACGTGTGAGCCGCTAGTATAACAGGAGCTGATGCATATATAAGGAAGCTTTTTAAGACGTTTTTGCGCGACGCATGTCAGCCGGATGGGTGTGGTCTTTTCTCTTATGGAGACGATTTGCTCAAAAATGTGGGCAAAACCACTGCCCAAGAAAAGTCCACTTCTGGATGACCTACGTCGCTCAAAAAACATCTTTGCTTAAGCTGCCTGTAGCCTCCATCTTTCCTTGTTTTTACTTAATTCATTCATCAAAGAAACACTACACGCCTGTTAAGGCCCCCGATCAAACTCTCGATTTGTGTACAGTGCCCTCGCTTTAAGTGCATTTAATGTTGCCAGATTGCAAGACACGGTCACTAAAATCAAGAGATGATTATGTGATGTTTAAAAATAAAGAACAAACAATGAAATTCAATTGTTATTGTAGACATAAGTGATGTAAGAAACTCAGCCCCTCTTGGACAAGACGTTTCGCAAGGTAATATAATTTTATTGTTTAGTTCGCGAGAGTTTCAGTTTCATTTTGACGCAAGCGAAATGTTTATGGTGCATGCATTCGTTTAAAGGGTAGTAAAAAACAAACAAACAAGCAAGCCACACGCACATGATTTTCAAGTATTCTTGATATCAGTGGCCAGACAATTTCTCTTTTTAACCTTTATGACAAGCCCCCGAAAATGAAAATGCAACGATATGGTAAAATAAACAGCAGACAAATTAATATCTGCAGTCAAAACATAATTTCACCAGGAACTCAAATTGTCTTGGTATCGATTTTGCTCGCTGCGGAGACCCAACCATTTACTCTTCCTCAATCTTCATACCGCTGAGACGAAAATAATTTGGAGCCAGTGCTGAATGTAAGAATTGGGAGACAGATAAACTTCGTCAGTCAATTTACTTTAAAAATGAAAATAGAAAAGTTATTCTCATTTTATTTTCTAATTTTAGGAAGCTTTGAAAATCCTCTTAAAGGCCCAGGTAGGCACTCAGAAGGTGAAAAAGACGGGGGGACATGAATCATTATTAGAGTTAAATGAAGTAGTTAGTGAACATTATGGTGATGAGCCATAAGGATGTAGATGTTGCCGGAAATAGAAAGGTCATAAAGACACAGTGCCGCTTGTGGATGGTAATAACGTTCACGGATTATGATAATTCATCAAGGATAACGGACGACATTGAATAGTTTAATTACACTGAAGTTGCTCGTTATGCTGTAAAAAAGTAGCATAATATATCAATCCTTTCTTTAATATTTCCAGACATATCTCAAGCCCGATTCATTGGAAATGCTGACGAACAAGGCGTTGGTGAGGTTCACAATAAATAATTTATTAATTACGTATTATTTATCTTTTCAATAACAGGCGCTGAGGAGCACAGTAATTATATATAACTATTAATACAACTAATAAATATTTTAGTACACAAAGTAATTTTCTACGGTTTGGGGGCGCAAAACCAACAGTAATTAGAGACCAGGCAATAGATTCCATGATTAAGTCGATGGTGATACAAAATCAGGTAGAAGTGAATTACAACTGGTGTTTGCTTTCATATTCGGCTTCTGTGAAGGTTTTTTTTGTTTAAGAGAACACCAGCCACTGGAAGTCTATTTGCACTACATATTCAGGCAGGCGTCCTTCCAAAAGGATACATTTTTTAGGCTTGAAGTATATGAAAGGGTAAAGATTTCATGAATTGAAGTATTTAAATGAGTAGGGAAATCCATGATTTGGGTCTGGATGCGAAAAAGTCTCAAAGACGTCCTGGTTATTGATCTTTAAAAGACTGTACAGTGCATCTACATCATTTAGAAGGGATGCAGTGAGTGTTCTAAACTAGGTTTGTGAAGTAATTGTTGGTTTTCACATGACGTCACTAAAATTCAAACTACAAAACTATCGATCCTACAGAGATTTTACTTTCATTATGTATTAGAGCAGCTGAAAACTAATTTTCATACAAATTTTCGCTTCAAAGGGGTTCTTAGTTTTGTGATAGTCAAGAGTACGCTTGAATTTCTAAGCTTTTGCGTGACGTGGCACTTATATGACGGCCGAGAGACCTGTCATGTAAGTTTAAAAAGTGACGTATTTCGGGGAATTTTGCAATCTAAACAGTTCATGGATTAGAAAAAGAATTACCTTTAATGTTTACGAGTTCCTCGAGGAATAAATACACGCTTTTTATCAAAACTCGGTAACAGATGTTTTTGTTGGTTTCCGTCCGCCATGTTGGTGCCCATCCAGGTGGGCAACAGCATGGCGTCTCCATAAAAATCTCTATAAATTTGGGTAAAACATTTCCTACGGATATCTCGTATACGGGATATTCTTCTGGCCTGAATCTTGACAAGGAACTTGGTATATTTACCTCCTTTCATTTCCCAGATTCCGGACTTATCTATTGAACGGTTTTGATTTTTATTTTGATCTATTTTGAATGGTGTGACACTCAAAACCAGCAATATATCAAGCATGAGACGCAGTGTTTCATCACCAGATGAAACACTGAGAAGAGAGTTGGAAATACGACTCGCAGCGGAGTATTTTTGACGAACTTCGAGGAGTTTCATCTGGCGATGAAATACTGTTTCGAATGCTTGATATTACTTGTCAAAGAAAATGATTCTAGAAGAAGAAATTAAGGATTTCTCCACGATTTCAACACTCATTAAACAGTAATTTCCTTTGCATTTTCTTTTTGAATTATTAATGCATTTGAGAAAAGGATATCAACTGTCTGTCCGATTTGAAAAATGTACTCAGTAGTTTAGTTTTTAGCCCTAATCCTCTAGCTATAATATTCTCACTAGGTGGTAAAATGCTTCTTTATCCTAAATAGCCCACTCCTTCTCGGAGGCCTTTAGCAAGCTAGGCGACGCAGAACAAGAGGAGGTGGAAAACTTTACAAATAATGGTAAAGTATAATGAATTAAGTTATCTTATCTAAATACAGCTGTAAATAAGGCCCAGCTCAAACGTGGAACTTTTCATGTATCGAACCTAATCCCTTCAATTAAGTACATGTGGGTCGACCAATGAATAGGCCACAAGGGAATTTCGACTGCTGAGCGACTTCGTTTCAAACGTCGAATTTTTCATGTGCCGCGAACCTAATGCATAAAATACTACGATAATGCATAAATTACTATGATTTATTTTCATTGGTAAAGCATTTTAGACCAATGTGCATCGTGAAAATGAGTGGGAGTGCGACAAATTAAGTTCGACGTCTGAGTCAACCGTCGAATTTATGTCAGTTTCACTCTCACCTTCAACTTGATCAGTTTCTCAATGATGGATGTAAGTGGCGATCCGCTCAAGGCAAACTATAAAGTTATTTTAAGTTCGTAGCCTACCTCTAAACGAGTAGTAACAAAGCCATAGATTTGTAGTTTCGTTTAAAAGAGGCCTCCCCGTGAATGTGAGTCATAGTGCTCTTTTTAGAAATTATTAGGCCCGGGTTCAAATCCCGGCGTCAAAGCCACATGTGGGTTTAGTTTGTTGTTGGTTCTCTCCCCATGCTCCAAGAGGTTTTTCTCCAGGTACTCCGGTTTTCCTCTCTCCCACAAACCAACACTCCAAAATTCCAATTCGATCTGGAATGCATGGACGTTTAAGCAAGTTCATAGGAAGTCCTAAATGCTTCGTGGGTAAACAAATTACAATTACAAATTTTACATGCCTTTGGTGGAGTTTCGTCAACTTGCAAGGCTTGTCAGAAAATAAATTTTCTTCAAACAGTACACACCAGTGGAAAACTGCCTGTCTGCCGGAATGGATTTTCCGATTGGTATTTTCTTGTTCATTAACATCGTAACACTATCTAAATGACCCGTTGAAACCCTGCATCTCACCACACATATATCCAATTTCTTATGTTCTCTATATTCTGTCTCAAAAACACAAAACTTATTTCTCTATCCTGAAGACTTGACCTTAAGCAAACTATACTTTTAATGTATAGTGCACATGTATTACTTACTATACCCGTGTTCACGTTTTTTTTGTACAGGCTTACACGTACCTCAAACTCTGGGCGAAGCAATGAAAGTTGAAAATGCGGAAGCTAATTACGAGCAAACGTTTGAGAATGTTTATGGTATGTCAGTTTAGTTGTTAGAACGTTACATAAAAACTAGCAGTGTTGAACGTTTAGGAAGGCGCGTTTAACAGACGGTGGCAGGTATTCAAGTGATCAGCTTCATTAGTTTCTCGACCGAAAGATGTTCAAGCCATAGGAAAACCAAGATTAGGACGCGTTCTCTTTCGTCGAACGCGACAATTCAAAATAAATCATTTTAATAAGATGTTTAGGGTGTTTTCTATTCTTTTATAGGCAAAGGTAAACTTACTGGACTTGCAAAAGGAGCTGCCTATTTACCAGAAAGAAAAGTTAATCCTTCAGTCTAAAAGGAAGTGATGAGACCACAGGCGGCCCAAGCTCAGTGTGAGTTTAATCATTAATACATGCAGTTTCACATTGCGTAATTTAAAATGGCCGTGAATATAAAGAACTTGTAAGGGAATTCAGGTAAAAGATTCAGGTAGATAAATACTCGCTAGAATGTTCAATGAAATACAGCTTACCGTATTTAATTTGCTTGTTTTTGCTTTCTGTGTGGTTATTTTCCCGATCCATTGCGATTTAAGCGATTTCCTTTAACCCCTAGTTTCCACTGTAAGAGAAACGACAAGGCTATACATTCCAGTTCGGGATGCCCGATGCGAGAGGCGAAAAATCCTCAGCTTGAAATGTCCACGCAGCCACAAATCCAACGCCGAGTCCAAGCCAATACGTCCTTGTTTCATTTCATCTCGTTAGCCGAGCAGTCCGGTCACTGCAACCGACGCCAAGCGGCAGTTTGTTTTCCAAAATCCAAGCCAAGGGCGAGTACATTTTCACCATGACACACGACCGTTGAAAACTGGCTGGGTAACCCTGCCTCCTCTACAAACTAAGCCTCACGGGGGTACCACACCGTCACTTGTCATCGGGTTTCGAATCAAAAATTGTCTCTGTATTTTATTGAACATTCTAGAGAGTATTTATCTGCTTGAATCTTTTACCTGAATTCCCATACAAATTTTTATACTCTCGGCCATTTTAAATTACGCAATATGAAACTACATGTATTAGTGATTAAACTCACACACTGAGCTTGGGCCGCCTGTGATGAGACCGTTGTCGTTTCATTGTTTTCTACGAACTTCTGTCATGACCCTGTCATGTGACGAACCCCTCGATAGGGTATCATGCACTTTTACTTATAATAACTTGCTCTGTAAAAATCAGCTTCATTAAGCCAGTGTCAGTGCTAAAAAATAAATAAATGAACAAATGAATCAATCAATAAGTAAAGGCAAAACACTTCTTTCAGCCCATGCCTTAATCTGCTACTCAATTAGTACCCGTTTAGTGACGGATTAAAAATCATCGTGTTCTTTATTTCATAGGTGATACATACAAAATGCTAAAATATCAATACCCATTTTTTGATTAGGTTTCGTGTAATTTACGACCTTTAAATCAGCAGATGGTACTTGAAACTGTTAACGGCTAGCCATGAATTTTGTGAGTTATCGATGCACGCGGGGGTTTCGAAGTAGTTTGCGTTGCAACATAATCGGAAGAGAAAAACCTTTCAGACCTTTAAGATTTGTTGAAATTTACTAACAGATAGACGTACGAAAATAACGTGAGTCATCTACGCGCGCTGTGGCGTGTACAAATCATTCTTTGCAAAGTCTATTCCACCTTGAACAATTATTTTCGCAAAGTAGATTTTCGTCTCATTGTGAATTTAATTGCAGAATCTTGTGCGCTTTCTCTCAGTACCACTGATGAAAACCTTTGCAAACTATGGTGTGAAAATGAAATATAATCGCGCAAAAAATTGACGCGTACTTCTTTGAGCGAAAAATGTGCCGGTAGCCTCGTGTTTCATCTCAGGCTAGGGATGAAGGGAGGGGGTCTTGGGTAGCCGGCGTTGCTGGCAGAATAGCTATTGCGTGAGTGAGAGTTTTGACGGCTGCCATGCTACAGTGATGCTAGAAGCGAGCGCCGAAGGAACGATAAACAAAGTGTCTCCTACCCATTCTCCGCACAGCTTTGCAGCTCTTTTTCCAAAACTTTGCTCGCGCTAACGATCCCGTAGGCCATGCAGGCTAGGTTCTGACGGAAGCACAGCACAACACTGACAACAAAATCACACACTGCAAGACCCTCTTGACTTACGCACGAAGTCAGGTCACGAGGTTATTGACAGCCATGAAAAGCCATAATGGTGTTGTAAGTAAAATATCAAGCTTGAGATGCAGTGTTTCATCATCACCCGATGAAACACTGAGAAGAGAGCTGAAAATACGACGCGCAGCGGAGTATTTTTGACAAACTTCGAGGTGTTTCATCTGGAGATGAAAAACACTGTGTCTAATGCTTGATATTACTTGTCAAACAAAATGATTTTAGAAGGAGAAATTAAGGACGCAAAAAGACAGTCTTTCATGTGATTTCCAAACACTCATTAAACTTTGATTTCCTTTGTATTTTCTTTATGAATTATTAATGAGTTTGAGAATATACAGTAAAAACCCGCGAGAAAGAAACTGGTTTTTAACAACCAGGAGTCTGTAAGAACCTATTAGACTTAAGCCCCCCTTATGCAAGAACCTTATTAGACTAAAACTAAAACAGGTTCTTATTTTCTTAAATCAATAAAAAAAAATTCTATACACTTGGGCAGGAGGGTTAGGGGCTCCCGACTTGGGCAAATAAGATAAGTTAACATTCAGAATCCTCTTTGGAGACACAGGCGTCCAACTGCAATGTAATGGTATGCAGTCGACTTTGTATAAGGAATACACTGAATATACCCCTAAATACTCTTAGCTTCAAGGCTTTATTTTTCTCAGAAAATAAGAACCTAATACACAGCCTAAATTTGTGCTAATTACCATTTCAAGAACCTGTTTAGGCTAACTTGGGAAAATTCGGATCTAAGTCGCGAGTTTTCACTGTAGCTGAAAGAGTGTTGTATGACAGATCCTGTTCTCAGTTGATCTTGTTTAACTCTACATGTATTTAGCTAGGAAACTAAGAGAGTGGGAGGGGGGAGGGGTGAATCCGAGAACCTTTTGCTAGTGGAATCAGGAATCCTGGGCTTTGGAATTCAGAATACAGCACAAGGAAGCCGAAATCCTTCCAAAGATTGGAATCCAGAATCCAAGTTCTACTGACAAGACTGGGAGCCAGTACCTAGAATCCTGAATCCACTTGCAAAACCCAATCTGATTACTTTACGTTTGTTATCATAAAGTTTGAAATTGGAAAACCAATATAAGTTACACAGGGCTCTTTAAGTTCTGGTTCTAAAATCCTTGTATTCTACCTTCGCTTCTACGCCGTGATTTTTCAGTCTTGCTGAAGGGTTAATCTTGAGGCGCTTATTTGAAGGAGGACGCCCATTCGGGCAGTGACGGTATTTTAAAAAGAATAGGTTGATGAGCTCTTGAATAAGAAGTTGATAGTTTCTCAGTGTTGTGGACGAGTGCGTTCATCATATGACGTAATACAAAAATTGAAGACACCGAACAATACCCAACACCACAACATAATAGCTAACCAGCAACACCAACAAACCAGGGGCACCCAACGTCAATTTTCGGAAAATATCTGTTCGGAAGACGATTTGAGATCTAGAATTTTCGGAACAAGTGTTGTAAAATATCTTTCTTGCCTGCCTCTCCTAGGATTTTCGAACATCTAAAAGATGGTATAATTGCCCATTTCTAAAGGATTTTTACCCTAAAAAGGTCACCTAGAATTTTCGGAAGCCTTTTTTCTGGCTGAAATTTTCGAAAAGGTAAATTTTTGTCCCTATAATTTTCGGATCACTAGACTTTAAGCTAGGAAATACGAACAAATGAAAAATTTTTAGGGGTTAAATACTGATGCCTATATCTCCCGTTTGAATACTGAAATACGTTTAACAATGCTATGTTTAAGAGGTTTTGAACTATATTCTCGTTGGGTGCCCCTGACAAACACTCAGAGACAAAACAGAATCATATTTGTCATGTTTGCTTATTGGTTTTGTCTGCTTTTTTAAAGATATTTTCTCAGTCCCTATTGGCTTTTTTCCCTTTCTTTCTACTTCTGCCTCTTAGCCTCTGCTTTGCGAGGCTCTGCGATACACATATTTCTAGTTTAAAATAATCTTCTTGTGTCATTTTGATCACGGTGATGCCACGTACTAGCAGTCGATGGTCCCGCTCGTGTGCGTCCAGCCGGTAAGGTGGAGAGGTGGGCGCATCGAGCCACCCAAGTCAGAAAGTAATAGGAATTTCATCTCTTTTCTTAGGCAGTAGATTTTCAGCCAACGTTGATTTCAGAGAGGCATAGGTTGGAACGAAAGGAACAATTTCCTTTTCAGGTGCGCGAATAGGCCGCACAAAAACCAATCAGCATTGGCCTCGTTTATACACGGGTAACCAAGCTATTAATAAATTATAACTGAAAAACGTTTTTTTGAAAGGATTCCTGAAGATTTATGATTCATTAGATTCTCTCATCTAGCAGGAACTGACAGGCGAAATTGACCTTTTCAGTAACGGTAAGTTTAAACCAGGAAAGTAATTAAGGTCACCTCATATATAGTTATATTGTATGATAAGGTATATATAGGAAATTGATTTTAAAATAAACTATATATAGGGTATAAACTTCCTATCCCAGAACCCAGTACTTTGTTTACAGTTTCGAGTAAAATGTTTAGCCAACAACTGAACGGTTATGTAAATCTTTTGGTTCACTGATGTCTCTGCAAAACACCTTATTTTTCAATTTTAATCTTAGTAACAGTAAGTTGTAATTTAGACAACATATCTTATAAATAAGCAGAGTTACGCAAAACAAAAAGTGGACTATTTAATCCTTTAAGCCCTAAGAGTGATCAGCATCAAATTTCTCCTTGTAATATCAATGCTTCGTAAAACAGAGTGGTCATGAGAATCATGGACATAATCACAGAAGATGAATTTGCTTGATATTTTATCAACTTCTCCCCACTACTTCTGTAGGAAATGAATAGGGACAACAAATGAGAATTCAAATTTTGATCTTAGGGTTTAAAGGGTTAATGACTAAAAATATAGGGGCATAAATATCACAGCGCAACTCTCACAATTTAAGATTTCTACCGACAAAGCCTTTTGTATTTTAAAATTCTTTCAAATCATTTTTAAACTGGCTCTGTCTACTTTGAATTAGGTATATAATCATAAATTGAGCTAACATCAAATGACTGTTTGAAACTGAAAGGAAATATTGTCAGTAGGTAATCGAATGATTTACTGTTTGCTATATTTTAAACGAGTAAAGTTCAAACAACCTGGCCACTGTTACACTTGAATGAAACTTTGTGTCGTTTTGAAATTAACAGGAGCAGGTATTGAAACAGGTGTAACACTGTTTTGAAAGTAATTCAGAGTCACACGTAACTAGAGGGTTTTTTACAGGTCAATAGTTCCGGTTCCCCGATTATGAACTGACCCGGGGAAGCGGGCTGTGGAGGGGGGAGGGGGGCGGGTAACTCCTTATTTCGCCTAAACGGTTCAATTTATGTGGCTGAACAGGGTAGTTGAGGGTAAGTTAAGTCTTTAAACAGGGTATGCAATTTTACTATTAAGCGTCTTTAAATGGGTGTATCTTTGAACCAAAAGCCTTAAACTAAAAAGTGTGAGGCCTGGCAATGATCAGTCCGCATTTGTGGTAACATGCAGGAGCGTAGCCAGCTTTTCGACTAGTTGTAGTCCTGGCTGACTTTCATTTCCACATGTCCTGAAAATTGCACTCATGACTATTGCGCACTGTCCTCATCAACGCTTTGAGCTCTTAAGCTCTTTCAGCTCACCCCAACAACGAATAATTTATTACAAGCAGTAGAGTAATCAAACCAAAAAATTGCAGGCCTGGGCCTAAAGGTCTATGGGCTGGCTACGCCCCTGGCATAGAACACTGATCTTTTGGAAAAGGAAACGAATCAGGGTTATAAATAAGTTCTTTCGATCAGTCTTAAACAGAGTAGCAAAATGAACAAGGTCTGAAGGACTTGGCAGCTCACCTGTCACCGACCTCTAATCAAACGTTCCTCGAGTGCCCTCCCCACCCCGAAACTGACAATTATTGTAAGTAGCTCACAAAGGCCGTCTCAAAGGCCACTGGATATCAACAGTGGGGCCTATAATAAAAATACACGATCTTTTGGAAGTACTTAGTGTAAATTCTTTTTTTATTCTTTGATCGAAGTGATAAAAAAACCAGCAGGAAACCTAATTCGGCCTGGATGACATTTACTTCAGTTTGGGCCACAAAAAGGTTAAGATAACTTAAAAATTGTTTTAATTTTTTTTCCACTCGCAAACCAGATGGATGCTAAGCAGGGAATAATTACTGTGATCTTTTTAATGGCATTGGCTGTAGAAACAGGTAAGTGCAGAAAAACATGATATAATAATTAAAACAAGATGAAGGCCAACCGGTTATGTGTGGTCTGACCGATCAGCACCCACAACAGTGGAGTCATAACAACAGAAAGAAAGTAAGATCTAGTAAGACCATGTACCTACAGTAATTTCATGGGTGACAAATTACTCCTTAATTTTGGCTCGAAATGTCAGTGTACTAATTTATAATTTCACAACCTTTCACATGTGAAATTACAAAATTGCCATGCGGGCAACGTCCTGTAACTGCCAGTGCCAAGATGGCGGCAAAGTCTTAAAATGTTATGAATGAAGATTTCAGGACCAATTTACGCTCTAGTTTTCAGTGCGTGGGCTCTCGATCTGTCAAAAACCTACAAGGTCATACGATTGTGATAGTAATTTGTCATTCATGATATTAAAATAGGTAATTGTGGTTTGCTTGCGGAATTAGGAGAATTTGAACAAAACACTAGTAAGAGTGTAATTATTCCCTAATTTCCTTCGTCACTATTTGATTACACATACTAACTGCATGAATAAATAAATAAAATGATTTGAAGGTAGCACATGGGCAAAGTGGTCCTTAGTCTACCTGATTCCTGGTCCAGCTGGAAATTGGAAATGTTGGTTTTTGAGGAGAGAGAAAAACCGGAGTAACCGGAGAAAAACCTCTTGGAGCAAAGGAGAGAACCAACAACAAACTCAACCTACATACGGCATCGAAGCCAGGATTTGAAACTGGGCCAATTTCGTGGGAGGCGAGTGCTCTCACCATTGCGCCATCCCTTGCTCCCCATAAATAACCATAAAGGTTTGCGACAGTAAGAGAATGAAATTCTCATCCCTTTGTCTGCTTTAAATCTGTTTAAGGTTGCTATCCATCACAAGTTCCAGCGATGCTTGATTGTTTAACCCAAGAAGATATCACCGCACTCACCGAAATACCTGAACAGGGGGATGTAATGGAAACCATAAAGTCAGTTTTAAAACATATCCCTTTCAAAAAATACCTGTAAGTATATGATACATAATGGCACACATGTGTAAGTACGTGCTGCATATATATGCCTTTCACCAGCTAGCTTTTCGTATTTATAAACACCTGTTCACTCTGCGCCAAAGAGTGGCATTTAAAACTATTTTTAATCATTTATCCGATGACCATCCACTTTGAAGGTGAGCTCGGCGCAAACGGACGCAACATTACTCCCAACTGTGTGAGTTGCTGCGTCCGTTTGCACGTAGCTCCTGACAATCCGTTATTTTAAAAATTGCGGTTTTTCTTTTGATTCGTGTTATCAAAAATTGTTTGTTTTATTCTCTCAAGACTGCCCTTTATAAAAAAGATCCTTGAAGGAATTAAAGAAAGCAAGAATCCAATTGACGTTATAATGGAGCTAATCGAAATCGTCCAGGGAGGCAAAGAGGAGAACGAAGAAAATAAAGAGAAGGAAGAGGAAAATAAAGAAACAACGGAGGAGAAAGAAGAAGAAAAAAGCTCCAATGAGGAGGAAAAGCCGAAAGAGGAAGGAGAAAACGAAGATTCGGGATCAGGTGAATCAGACATGGAATCTCAGGAAGACACCGTGAATGAAATTCATCATAAATTTAAGATCAATGGACCTGAAGAATGGTAGCTGACCGTAAAAGGATTTCGGTTACCAAACTTTCTCGCAGGACAAGTCCGGCATTGGAACAATTAACATATTGTGCCCTTTGAAAATGTAATAAAAATACGTTAAAGTGAATTGAGTTGTTGCATATGTGATTCCATCAGTTTTAAAAGTAACCTAAGTGTGAGAATATCTCACGCCGGCACCCCGTTCGTGGATTAATACGACCTCCTGCCAATTTTGGCTGTTCTTGGATTTTTTTTTCATCCAATTATTTTCAAATTGGACAGCATACAGTCCTATAACATATACTACTACTACAACTCGTGATAATAATTATACTACTACATGCGAAATTTCTGCAATTTGATTGGCTTAAAGTAGTGGTATTTCAGCTTACTTTGAAATACCTACAAGTGCAAATTACAAACCTTTTGCGGGTAGCGGTATAAACAAATAATAGCATGATTTGGAAGTGATATTTGGCATAAATATCACTCGTGATATTTCAAAATTGTCTCAAATTGCACTTGCCTAACGGCTCGTGAAATTACGTATTTAATAAATATCACTCGTGGTATTTATGCCTAATATCACTACAAATCATGCTATTATCTATAAGTCTCTAATATAATAATAATACTGGTAAAAAAGTCAAATCTGGCCTGGAGTTATCGTCGATTACTGAGCCGCATGTTCTCATGGAAAAAAAATAAAATTAAAAAAATTAAAAACACCTCGCGCTACGAATAGGACATTTCACTTCGAATCAGTTGTTAAATTCAAGCTTGACTCCGAGGCTGAGCGAAATAAAACAACAGGAATGAATTATTCGTTACCGATAAAAAGCTTTCTTTTTCTCTCTCTTCTTTATGTCCTTCAAACTCGGAGACAAGTATCGATTTTTATAATTCGAAGGGGAGAAAAATACCACAATATTCTTTAAATTCCAGTTTGGTTGGAGCTTCATGTAAATCTGGATTCACTAATATCTTTTATTTACTTTTTCCTTCTAGTCTTTAATGAGCTTCATTTGTCACCATCTATTCCTATTTTAGCGTGAATATCGCCGATTTTTCCATATCCCCATCCTTCGCACGGATTCGCAGCTCCTCTGCCAAAACTCTTTGCTCGCACTAGCGAAAAACCGGCTACGCAGGCTGCCAGAAAGTGGTTACGCAAATAATTAACAGTATTTGTAGCCAACGTTTTCAAGAACTCACTGGGATACACTTGCTAAATCATATGACTAGAAATCATCAGCCATTTCCTCCTCTTAATAATAACAGATTTCTTTTTTTAATTTGTTGATCAGTGTAGCAAACACCGTCTTTGGTCTCAAAATAACTTTGCTTCTATTATCAGAGAAATTCATTTTTGGTTATCGTTTCTTCGATCAATTCTAATGTTTTGCTGCTCGTATTTAACCAAAATGTCAGTGTTTCTTTCTTTCTTTCTTTTTTTTCTTTTCTTTTCTCTTTTTATCACCTCAACCATCATTGCCTGCAAAAATGGTAACGACTTTGGGTCGATAAGCGGCTTTATTGCACTGTTATTGTCCTAACCGATTTTGAAGTTGCGAGTAAATATTGAGTTTTTGGGTTATCATAGCGGTAGAGTATTATATTGGACTGTCCCGAACGTAAATATGGTTGATATTGACTGCTACTTGATAAATGCTTTGTCCCCTGCGATGACGCTGCGGTTGACTATGGAAACAGGTTCTGAGTAGAGGTGATTCTGACAGAACTTACTTCATTATTTCACTACAGAACTATAGTTCAACAGAAATGCTTTTCAAACCCAGCCTCCTGCTTAACATAGCCTGCGAGAGCATCCGGTTTTTTCGGCTTTAGTTTCTAGTTTCACCCGCCGAGAAAAACCGTCACGTTATTTTTCGGAGGGAGAGAAGCGACTACTGGAAATATGTCTGCGGTTCGCAGGCTATGCTAACAATGCTAGCCCTTTAGTCCATTCCAGTCGCGTGCTAGTGCTATCAACTTCAGAAGGATTTGAGTTTATTTTAGGTTTGCACTGCTACAGAAAATCTTAAAGTACACGTCATAGCGTCTTTATTTTTATCTTAATGGTGATGTTATTGACAAAGGTTAAAAACTGCGCTTCGTTGCCTTCCGGTTTTCTTCGTTGTGACGAGAAAAGCGCGTTCTAGCGGTGACTTTGCATGTTCTGTTGTCAGCTTCGTTAATTAATCGCCAATTCTCTAAAATTATTTTAACGATATTTTTTAACGCAATATAGACGTTAATTTGAAAGCGTGATGAATCAGTATAAGATTTCTAGGAAGCCACTTACCTACCCCTCCCCTAACCGAAAGTCTACACTAAATACTTTCTTAGGGCAAAATATTCTGTTAGGGAGGGGTATATGGGTAGTTTCCTGGAACCTTATGCTGATTTTCCATGCTTGGCCATCAGTTTTGTAATGACATAATGCTTCCCCGAGTACTATTACTTTTTAGCTGGGTCAGCATAAGCTGATCTGTTGGAATGAAACGCAAATGACGAAATCTTACAGAGAAAATGTACTTTCTTTTTCAAGATGCAAGTTGAACAAAAGTAAACTGACGATGTGGCTTAAACAAAAGTAAAACAGTTCCACAGTGTATTGAATGTATTCTTTTCCAATCTTTCACCCCTAAATATTTAAGCACGTCATGCTTAAGTTAGGCAAATTATTTCTGTATATCTTCCGTTGGCAAATAAATTCCATATCATCACGTATTTGTGATACTGGATCATGAGAATATAATGACTACAAAAAATGATGAATTTGTAGAGGCCCTTTGTTTTTAAGATATAACCAACAAGCTTCATACGTAAGTCATATCATCTTTTAACAGCCTAGAAGAATCATCTAGCTCACAGCAAGTCTTCAGCTGCTGAATTAAGGTGTTATCGGCGAAATTCGAGGTACGTTGCTTGCAATAGAACTAATTTTTTTGTGATAATACTTTTTCTTTTTGGAATTTTTATAACCTTACAAAAGAATAAAGTACAGTCGCGGTAATTTTTAGACACGCGGTCATTTCATCATTATATTCCAGTTCATGTAGGGCCTGGCCCGAAACCTTTTGAAAAACAACTCCATGTAAAACATGGCTCTTTTGTTTGTACTTTACTTTTAAATGAATATTATTTTCCTTGACTGACTTTTCAAAGTGCCATGCAGCTTACCGGAATTGCTTTTTTGTTATTTGTTTTCTTATAATAATATACGAGCAAAACACGAACTAGCCTACCCTTGTTTTCGAAGCCCGTGAAGGAGCTTGAGAGGAACCACACTTAAAAGTATTCCCTGTTAGTGACTTGAACGCAGAAAAAAAGAGCTTTAAAAAAAGGAACAAAAATAACGTCTGCTGCAAATTTTAAAAAGATAGGAATGACATTAAGAGATCAATAGTCATAAATTTTGAGATTATACTCGACAAACGAAACGAACGTCCCTAAATACAGCTAAATATGCGAGATCCTAAGTTCTGGAAGGCCTATTTCTGGGTTTTCCACCCCCTACAAAAACTATCCAATTATCATGGCAGACAATCGACCACTCTATTGATGCGTTCCAGAAAAAAATTTGTTCTTCTGTGCCCGTTGATAACCAGTGGAACTCTGTTTATTTCATTGATGCTTAGTACAAATCAAGCAGAACATAGGAACTAAAATGCTATTCGCTAGGGCGTTTGGATACGTTATGAAGACAGCTATAAAACTCTGATTTAACTGGTTGACCTATAACTAATTAATGGCTATACCGGCTAGCGAATGCTTCTTTTCCGTTCTTTTGAAAAGATGAACCTCAGAGTGCATTGATATCAAACAAAAATTCTTTGGAAAAATTATTGATATCCTGCTTTAGTTGCAGAAGTAAAGCTAATTTCTTTGCCAATATATGAGCCCCTCAAGTCACTCGTCAAGAAGAATGAATGTTCGGTGATTCCAAAGCAAGCGTGAAAAACTGAACAAAGGGAGCTCTTTTAATGCGAAGTAACTCATTTATGAAAACAATGAAGGTAATAAAAGCTGATCGACAAGAATTGTCTGCGTGCAATATTGTCGTTTAATACAGAACAACAATATTACACTCTGTTGCATAAATCGAGTGCTTATTACCTTTAATTACCTAATACGGCTTATTTCCACTTCAGTGTAGATCATATTTACGTCTTACACTTCAGGCACTTAAAAAACACTCACATCAAAATTGACCCACCAAAATGGTGGAAACAAGTAAACAAAACAAAACAAGACAAGAAAAACAAGTATATATGCATGATTTTCAAACTTAATCATAAGTGCTCATTGGGAAGTGTTGCGTGCAACGGTTCTCCTGCTTACAAAGCATTTCTCACGATGCCTTTTTACCAGTATGTCGGGGAAATGTTCACTACTATGATGATGTTAACAATCAGTTTTCCGGCACCCTCTCTTCCGAATGATTCAGATTAAGGTTTTCCTTACTTCGTGTTTCTCTCAATTACTCAGTTGACTCAGTACAGCCGTCTATTAGTTGACTTGTTGAAGAAGAAAATAACTCCTGTATCGACCACTTAAACCACAATGCATCATCAGTATTCCTTTCATTTACAAATTTTAGACTCCTCGACGAAAAACAACGCCTTCTATCACGTGCGAACCTAAGCCTCTCCTTATGTTAATATATTTTGTTTGTTTTTGTTCGTTTGTTTTGTAATTTAGTTTCCAACATATACATTGGCCTTGGAAACAACAATAAACTCACGGTGTATTGGCCTTCCTATATGCCTTAACAGCTACCAGCTACTCCCTAATGAGAGCCTAATTCCCTTTGCAAATTAATAATGATAAGCGAACGCGTGCTTCAAGGTACTTCCTTAAAGAGCAAGGCTCTTATTTTAAACCTTAAAGGTTTTTTTAACTTTGACTTCACAGCCATCAACATAGGAGAGAACTCTTTAACTCAGTTTTAGCAAGAAAACTGCGGAGTTAGTGGAAAAGTAAACTGTTCTACTATCTCCTATTCAAGCGTAATTTTAAGAAGGCGCCTAGAGTTTTATTATATTTTAGGAAATACAACATCCGAGACAACATCCCAGCTAAGTTTTTTTTTTTCGCTTTTATCCCCAGATAGTCATTCTAGTGCAAGATAGGAAAACAGAGGCCTGTGATGACCGAAAAAGTTTAGATCTATTCAGTCAGTATCGATAAACTGATTTTTTTTCTCCACAGATGCATCTTATTTCAAGTTTGTTATGCTTTGCTTTGGGGGCTATACTTATCAATTCTGCGCCATTTGATCAAAAACTCAAGACTGGCTCACAAGAGGTGAAAGACCTCTCAGAGATATCAGCTTTTCGACAAAACAGCCCGATTCTTTCACTGACTACCTTCCGTGATTTCATCAAAGGTCGCAGCCATGGCTTCTGTTTCAGGCGTTTAGCTCTTTCATTAGGTTAGTTTCATAAGAATATTTTGTATAAAAACTTTTACTTGATCACCTCAGTATCTAGCCTCCCGAGCTCCCCTAAAAACGCCTGCGTGGGAGGCTACTCAGTATCATGTATCATGTATGATTCTTTTTGGAGGCGGAGCTGGGGCTTTCTGGAAGAAAAATGCAGTTAATGGTATTCTGGTCCACTAGGGACCAAGCAGTTTAGATCGTGCTACTAGGGAACACTCGTAGCGAACGTAACTTCGGTCTAATGTAAATAAGTGTGGCAGTATAGATTCTGTTTTATGTTTGCAAATATACCGTCCCCCTCTTTGTGTCCAATGTTATTCACAGAAACTGTTTCTTTACGTTAGCTCCAGACACGCCAAGTGGCTTCAAGGGATGGATCAGGAAGTACCATTCGGGATTCTTGGCAGTAGACCAAAAGTTGTATCACTTCTTCAGATGTAGTCCAAACCAAACTTTAAGGAAACTCAAAAGAGCCAAGCGCTCACCCCAACGCCGAGGACTACCTCCACCCCGGCCATGTATCAATGACACGCTTCCTAATAACGCTGAAGACAACGTACAGGAACGAAATCCTCTTTGCATACAAGAAGAAGAAGAGGAAGAAGACGTGGAATTTGGCAGCACTACCGATGGAAGTGGAGACTAGAAAGAGGAGGAACTTAATCTTGGCCGAGTGGTCAGTGCGTCGGACTAGCAATCCGAAGATTTCCATGCCAAGTCCCGCTCTGATCACTAGCCTTTCACTAGCTGAATTTTTCTCCTGGTCAGGTTCAACTCCTCAGCCGCGCTTGTTAATTGGCCAACTGTCTGACTCATGCCATTTGTAGTTTTGAATCATGTTCTGTTATCGTTGAATTTACTTTTTTCTGAGTCTCTGCTTTCGTCGAGCATCTGTCCTTTACACCCCAGAGTAAACCAAATCAAAGATAACAAAACGTTCGTGTCCATCACTAAGACATTAGAGGATTAGAGCCATGTTCAAGGCAAACGGCAAACGTGATTATAATATATATATACGTGCCAGTTTTCCTTTTACTTGTCTATAACAGTTCTTTACTTCAACAAAAAAAATAATTACCTTCACGTTATTTTCATCCATAAGAATAATTGTTTTTAGACCGTTTTTCTCTGTTCATTCTCTATTTTTGGTAATTCTCAACTTGAGTCCAGTGCGGTTTGCCGTTTGCCGTAAACGTGACTCCAAACCTCTCTATTAACATTGCGATATTGAACCTGCTTTGCACATTTGCACGCGCACGCTTTAGTCTAGCATTAGTTGAGTACGTATAAGTGACTTAGCAGTTTTATCAGGATTTTTCTCAAAATAAAACTTACTTTTCGACGTTGTCTCAAAATCCTTGATACTGAAACTCAGTGACAGCCAGAGTCAAGAGAGAAATCGAGCTAGATTAAGAAATTAGCAGCTGTCAATTAACTTCCATTTTTCTTTCCTTTCTACGCTTCCGTTCTCCGAATATAAGACCCCCGCAAAAATCGAAACGCAAGATCAACATATACTGCATCGGAACATACTGAACGAAAGACGCCCAGCTGTTGGTTTTCACGCGCTTGATTGTCATGTACATCTTGAGCTGGCGAGGTAAAGGACCGTTATCCTCCTGTCAGTATATGTGAATTATTTTGAATTAAACTTTCTGCTGCGACGTCGATCGTGCATAAAGAATAAACAAACTACACAAATTTCCCACCACCGCATATGGGAGTTGAAAAAAAAAGCAAATTTCCTCCTGGCATCAACTTGTATATAGACCCCTCGTTTTTAAGCCATGTAAGCCCCGGGGCTAATATTTTTCCGAATTTTATGGGAGCCGTGCCTCATGTGAAGCATTGAGATACAAAGAAAAGACAAAAAGTCTTTTGTTGTGAATTTCAGTGCCGAAGCAAATATAATTTAATATCACAACTTTTATAGAGTCCAGTAACAATTCTAGTGTCTCCGCGAAATGCAAAGTACAGTGGAGGAGCCAGACCTTCTGATGGGGGAGGGGGGGCGGTCATCCAGACCCCTACATAAGCGGGGAGCGGTCTCAAACAAGTTTTTTTTTTTCGGCCCTTCTGGCCTTAGTTTGGTCTAAAAATAAGGGGGGGCGGGCCGCAAACTTGGGTAATTACCAGTTTTGAAGCATGATAATAGGGTATTTGAGCTGACTCTGGTCGAGTCTTGAGAAGTTTGGCACCTTAAAGCGTGTGTTCCTAAACTTAGGAAGTGTCCACAGCAGGTTACTAAACCGTTTTAAATTGCCATCGCTTGGTGGTGCATTCACTATTCAAAGGACAGGAGACATTACCGTACAAATCAATCAATCTCTTTGGGAAGGAAATGCACATGGTAACAAAACTAAGTGCGTCAAGGCCCTGATACCAATTTTAGCTCAACGTTAGAGCGAAGAGCCCACACCTCTCTGGAAATACTGCTAGTCAAAGAATTTCAATTAATTAACTAACATGATTTAAAGATCATCTTGGGTTTTTGCATCCTCAAAAACGGCTTGCTCCTTCTGAATTCTTTATTGCTCTTATCAAATACAATAAATTTGAGACACTAAGCGCATGCCTCCTAATCTCCTCTCCCAAACAGCGCAAACATATGCCTCCTAATCTCCTCTCCCGAACAGCGATTGTCAGGAGTCAAATACTTCACTCAAAAAACGATTTCAGCAAAGATCTAATTGCTCTTTTTGAGGTGACTGTGTTGCACAGACCACCCAGAAAACTACCACGAATACTCCATACGAAGCGGGAAACAGAACCCGGGAGAGTCTGTCTATTAAGTGAACTGGGACAGTGTCACGTGATGTCTTTTTTCTCCTCTGAACTGCCATGATTGAGCCATTAGCCTCATCTTCTTCTTCGTTTTTAACTGGGTAACGTCCTACTACATCTGTTCCATAACAGTTGTTACGCGACGAATCCTCTGATACATGGTTGTCCAACAAGCCAAGCTGTTAAAAATCGTAACGTTTGGTAATTGAATGAATAAAGGAAGCTTTATTTAATCTAGGGTTTGATGATGTTGGTTAGACCTCTAGCAAAAAATATGCTATTAAGCCGAGGAAAAAAAAACAAAGAAAACAAAACAAATAAATAGAATAATAGAGAAAGAAAGGGAAATCCAAAAACTTATTTACAGTATAAAGCCTAAAATTACGTCACATATAGCTATTTACAATAAAAAGCCCAATTACTATTACTTAATAGAACATAGATATTATATCGAATTAGCTAGAACCTTAGCTGACAATGTGCTGAGGCATCTTAAGATATCAGAAATCTTCTTCCAAGTAACAGCCGCCAAGTACTTTACTGAGTTCTTGCCATAACGAGTCGGTACTTGCAGCTTGTTAACCCCTAAAAAGTCCAACGAGCACTGGGCTCTCAAGTTTTTAATGTTGTCTCTTAACCTAAATAGGTCTCTCAGATATTCAGGTGGATAATTGTTAATTGTCTTAAATACAATAATTAACAATTGAAGAAAAAAAATTCATTAAATAATATATGGTCCACGAAGATTATGTAAGCTAAGATTGAAATATAAATCAGCTAGCGTGAGGGGGTCGCTCTCTCCTTCAACTTTTATTCACGGTAGCGATCTAGTAGATCCATCCATCTAACCAGAAACACCTAACACGTGCCCCTAACGCATTTGTGTTGTTCGGGGGTCAGTTTTAGATTAGATTTTTAGATCAACCGTTTTGGTCTGAAAATAGGTGTGGTTTAAGAAGCCTGAGAAAACAGCCTACATTTCAGGACACCACCAACGGTTTCCCCGTGAAATGACGTATGAGGAACGACAGCAGGAAATTCATACTCATGAAGCCGGTCACTGCTCTCATATGGGTTGTGCTTTTGATTGGTCAAAAATTTTCTTCAACCGATCAGAAGCACTACCCAGATGCAGTGGGTAGTAATACGACATCAGTATAGAATTTCTGCGCTACTTCCTCAGACATTCCCGGGGAAATCATTGGTGGGTGGCGTCGCGAAACGCCGGCTGTTTCCTCAGGTTATTAGCAAATACAACATCTTACTTTTATTCGTCTCTTGATTTCTATGACCCTCTCTTCAACTCATAATAAAACACACGCACTTCCTAAAGGAACTGGAGGATATTACTTGGTCCGGTTGTCCTTGTAAAACCCCACTAAAGTATATTTTTGAAACCATCCTAACGATTGCTTACCTCGCATTTCTCATGATTATCTGGCTTTCCTGTATTCCTGCCCTTGGTATTAAGAAGAATAACATACTCCAGCATGGTGGAAAACACAAAACCAAAGGACACGAACAAGTGGCAATCAATGGCCTTAAAGTAAGACACACGGGGCATTCTACTGTTGACGCTTCCTATTTGCAATAGAAAACAAATAGTCACATTATGAATAGTGGGAGTGGCAGGTGTTTGATGAGAAGGTGAAAAAATTGACGCGCAAGGGAATGCAGTGGGTGCAAGAGAATGCAATGGGCGTGTGAGAATGCAATAGGCGCACAGGAATGCAGTTGTTGTACAAGCGATGCAATGAGAGCACCAGGATACGATAGAGGTACAATAATGCTATGGGCACACCTGAATGCAATGGGTGCACGAGAATGTATTAGGCACGAAAAAGCAATAGGCGTATAAGGATGTAAAGGGCACGCCAGAATGCAATGGGCGCACGAGAATGTAATGGGTGTACGAGAATGCATTGGGCACGAAAAAGCAATAGGCGTACAAGGATGTAAAGGGCACGCCAGAATGCAATGGGCGCACGGGAATGCAATGATTGCACAAGAATGTAATGGGCGCATACGAATACAATGGGCATGCATGAATGCAATGGGAACACGAGAATGCAAAGGACGCACGAGAATTCAGTTGGTAGGCAAGAATGCAATGGGCACGCAAGGATGCGTTTAGTGGAAGGAAATGCGATGAGGGCACAAGAATACCATGGGTGCTCGAGAATGCAATAGGTCCTTGAGAAGGCGATTGGTATACGAAGGGCGCGCTCTTCATGTACCGGTATGTCTTCCCTTCCCTTTCAAACGCCAGAAAGCAGAAAGTGAGTTGGGTATGCGTTACTAACGCAAAAAAACATTTACTGGTACTTAGCTTAACAATGAACAACAACATTGCATCCACAAGTGCATCAAAAGACCCAAATGAGATCTCAACCTCGTTCCCAGCGTTTTACCACCCATCTTAAAGGCCAAGAAAGCACTGGGAGAAAACAGGTTTACTCACAGTACCAGTTTGGCTAAACATAATGTTTACAATCTACGGACGCAAATGTTTTTTTATGAATTGTTGTGAATTAAGAAATCGAGATGTAATGAAAGAGGAATTTCTCCCGAAGGTAATAATAGAACTTTTAAAGTTTGTTGGTGATTCTTCTGGCTTCTTGAGTTTCCAGGGAGCAAAGCGAGTTAGCGATGACAGTTGGAAGATATACTACAGTCGGACCTACCAAGAAAATAAACAATTGTAAGCACAGTTGTTATTCCAAGGGCCACTCGGGCGGGCACAGCATCTTGTGGCAGCCAAAGGGCCATGAATGACAGAATAACGATCAAATAACTTGGGAGGAACACTTGAAGAACCGTATATGACGTACGGCGGTCAAATACAAATGTAGCGTACACGTTTGAGAAACCACCTGCATATAGAATGAGAAGCACATAATCGGTAATTAGTGTGGGCTTTAGACTTCCGGCAGATGGGATAAAAAGTCCCTAGGGGACCCCCTTGCCGTGAACACAAGACAGGATTATTAGAAAAGGTAATTATCCTCTCTTGTTTGACATTAATGGCTGAATTAATGACTGAACAAATGCAGGTACATCTTTGGAAACTAAAGAGTTGCACCCAAGTGACAATCAATGCTAGGCAATAAAATTTTTCAGCGACCAATTCTGGCGACTGGAAGTTTCTTGGGAAATTACTTGAAGAGAGCTAGGGACAAACAGCTACGTCATTTCTGCGTCATCACCGTAGAGCTCCTGACCAATCAGGGCGCGAGAAATCACTCAATGATATTAAGAACGAGGTTACGTACCAGAGGAGAATTTCCCATGCTTGTAACTTAGGTTTGCCCCCTTGTACTCGTACTGAGCCATGGCATCATCATACACCTCAACGACGCACTTGCTTGCTAAGAAGTTTCCCCATTCGTAAACCAACTTGGAATCAGCTAGTGAAACTAATCAAGGCCGAAAATAGTTGTTTAATTGGCGTAAGAGGTAAATGTCAGTTAAAAATCCTAGTGATCACAACACAAAAAAATTAAAGGGAAATCACATCTTTAGTTTGTCGAAAGGAATGTAGGTCCGATTTCATGAGAATTTGCATCATTTTGTTAGCTTTGCTTTTGTTCACTGATTTGTTCCGTTGATAAATTAAAATTGATATCCTGTTTTCCTCAATTGAGCCCCAAACATCTTTTTTTTTCTCCCATCATTATTGGGGTAATTAATTGCATAGTCATTAAAGGAGATACCATACGAGCTGAATCAAACTGACAGGACAGGTCGACGGCATAATTGTATTTGAACCTTTAAACTGTTTGGGTTAACTCATTATTGCTTGAAATTACTGAAATTTTTTGTTCTCAGCTTTAATGGATCAACAGCTTAGTTTTACAATACATACGTATTACAATACATTTTACAATACATACAATACACTTTGCTTTCGTGACAGCTAAGCATTAGATCGTTCCGGCTTTCATAAACTGCCTGATAATGGCCTGTATGAGCCGCCTATGATACTACATCAGCAAAGACATAAGAACAAATACAATTACAAATGACCACTGTAAAAAGTTTCAGCCGCAGGAAGGATAATGATCCATAACTATAATAAAAGGATTGCAGAAACAATCTAGGAATATCAAAGTCAACTCACAGCTCTCTATCACCAAATCACACTTTTGTCTGTCAAGTGGGTACATCTGCAGCTGCATATGGCAGGCAACTTTTAATGCAATCCTAAAAGGAAGAAACAAAGCAGAAAAGGCCTAAGCTGACTGATAAATGATCAACTGAATTCAGAAACGAAAGGGAAATTGAACACGAAAAGAGATTATGCGGTTGTCTTGCAAAGGCTTGCAAATTTAGAATAGAGGCATGAGAAAATAGGTCAGAATATTGTCTTCATGAAAACAAATGAAGCAAATACGACGTGGTTTTGTTTGTCTTTAACCAGATCACACTCAGGAAATTTGCTCCGCTCCAGCCCCCTTCGTCACAATTTAAGCTAGCATGTCTTCTCGACTCAGCAAACGCCGAGCCGCTTTGCAAGAATGTTCAAAATCCTCGTTTCTTGGGTTTTCCCGACATATGGAAAAACCCTCCTAGTTGAGGGAACGGTTAGCTGTCAAACTCTAATTCGACAGAATTTTTAAGAAAGGCGATAAATGTTGCTCGTTGTCTCAGGGGAAAATCCGAAGAAAGCGATTAGAGAAAATTCTCACCTTGACATGTGAGTAACATGGCCGTTAGGCAAAACGAATACCATCTGGTTGTCTTTCATAACCTTGTGAGAAAAAGTTGAGCTGGTGTCACTATTACACGTAAGTCACCTTTCTGGAAAACTACATGATTAACTGCTTCGAAGAAGAATAAGTAAGAGCACGTCTGTAGTTAACCTGGGTATTAATAACTCAGCCCAGGTGTTTGGTGTTTATTTATTTAACAAATCGACCACAATTTTCCATGGTCAACACTCTTATAGACCATAGAAGTGACGTCATAAAATGTTCAAAACTCAAGTGGGACCACGAGCCGCAGGCGAGTGGTTTCACTGCAATAACAATTTTTTTTTTACGAAAAACCAAAAACAAAGCAACGGGCACTGCGTGACATGTTACCTCATTTCCATGGTCTATACTCTCATAGGTCAAAGCTCTCGACCAATCAGCGCACGAGGATTCGCTCAGTTATTGTAAAATTTTATTTCTTTTCACGCTTCGCCAAAAGGTCTGGAACACTAATAGAGTAAGCTCTACTGTAAGGTCCAGAAAACTGGATCAAGTGTTGATGACTAATGCAGGATTTACAGTTTCTGGATATACCTTGATACGAAATTTGGCATAATAAGAAGATTGGATCCAATTATATAACTGAATATAATACTGGTAAATCTCTGGCAAACTTTCTTTATCGTAATTATTTGTGATTCAAGAGTTATGAATTGTGAACATAGAATATAACTCACGTTCTTAATCTCAGATTGCTTGGCATTCAAGAAGATAGTGTCTGGTGTCCATATCTTTTTTATGTCATTACCACTAAATGAGAAGGTTCTGTCCTGGCCTTGAGCCAGCCTTATGTCCCTCCACCACTGGATGTTAACTAAGTCCAAGCCGTATTCCTACAGGGAAGGAATTGATTCATAATTAAAAGAGCTATGTCGGGGTAATATTGCTGTTTTTGGTCAATTCTGTGCTGAAGTCATTACCTAGTGTCTTTACCCATACACAAAAAGAAAAAAAGATCAACTACATTTCATCAGGAGCACTAACCATTATAACTGTTGGCTATATAATTAGCATTAAATCTTGAAAAAGTTGACCCCATGTTTTCAAGTTTCAATACATCTTTACCATCCGTTGCATCAAACGACAGGAAACAGTTTCAATGCCTACAATCTTAGATAACAAAACTGGACCTTCTTGTTTGGAATTAAATTGATATGAAGAATTAAGTTTTAGCTCTTTAAAACGATAACAGATAAGAGTTGATATACGGCCTTGACAGAGATACTTTCATTGGACAGTAAGTTGAAGTCACATCAGTGTCATTATCAGTATGAAGGAGATATTATAATATTGTTACTCCTAACAGTGATCTCATTTGTGAAAAGGAACTGGCTTTTCTTAGCATTACGCAAGGACGAAGGAAACGATTACCCCCGGAAGATAAAAAAGTTAAGGCCAGTCGTTCAATTTCTACTTTTTAGAACTGGCTGACTAAAATCTGAACAAAGATAAACTTTTTCTCAACATTGCAACAAAGAGTTGTGCAGATTTTCTATATCCCCAGTATTGCGGAGCAATTTTAACATCTTTCTTAAAATACGTGTTTAGTATCTTTTAATGTTTTCCCCCTTCTAATATCTCAGAATCTGGTGTGCGATCAGCAGCAACCAAATGGGTTAAGGAATAACGAGACTTGACTGGTTCAACAAGGGTATACAAGGCTTACCAGGCTTACCAGGCTTTTGGTGCAAGGGTACAATGCCATTAATTGACACCTTTTTCAGCTAAAACGGATCTTATATTGCTATCATATGTTTCCATTCAGTTCTTACCATATTTGCCTCGTCGACTTCTCCAAAAGCAAGAATCTCAAAAACAATATTCACTTTAACTGGTTTACCTAAAGATATACATTTAAATAAAGAGAACTAAAGTGAACAAATATAGAAAATTTTAACTTTAAAAGTACCAAGATCCTGAAAAGGGACAAAAAAACTTCACTGATACACAATTCTCGATGGTGGCGATATCTTTTGTGCCTTGAGAAATACATCTTAGTGGCATATTATTTATAGACTACTGGAGCAACTGTTAGACTTAAAATCCTTAAACATACCATTTTGAATCCAAGTGATGTACCACACTAGAAATAGTCCCAGGGCAACTAAGGCCCTCGTCCGCCTTGTAAAAACTCTATGCACTGGGGAAAACTCAACAAACTGGCCACACAAACTAAGCTTGCTTTATGAAAGCCTGGGTCGATAGTATCGAAAAGTGCACATGCAAGCACTTGTGGGATTGTTTAGGGAAAGCGAAAGGCAAGATCAGGGAGACCACAATGCTATACATTATATTCTGCAAACACGAAAGTAAAAGAGAGTTACAATTTATTCTGATGTTTGGTTATACTACCCCTTCACTGATTTCAAGCCAACATGGAAACACACATACAACACAGAGATAGATTCTAATCCTCAGTTGTTTCTTATACAAAACGACAAGTCTTTCAAAACATTCCCTATTGAAAAGGGGAATTCTATGACTTATTTAGAAACATATTCCTAGGAGTTATACACGGGTAAAGCGAAAACATTGCCATGCAATTCCTAGTTTTTGCCCACCCCTCATCCTCTTCCCAAAAACTCCCATAATGCTTGCGTACCTTCAGGCTATCTTCCACGAACACTGCTAAACATTACAACACATTGTGTCACTGAACCCGTATAAACTCGTAGTTTTTGTAATAGAGGATCACATATCAAACAGCAGAGGACATAGAAATAAAACAGAGGAGACCATCATGAAGCCAAGATGGAACAGCTGATCTCCCAGCAGGGTTATACTTCAATCTCCCGGGGCCATGTGACCATGAAGGGTCTTAATTAATGAAAAACACGTAGTTATATCACTGCAGGAAACATGATCTTTAGCTATGGACTTTACTGACGCTTTTTGGACTAGTTTATATTTGATGATTTTAGGCACTTTCACTTTTGGTGAAATTTTTTTACAAAGCAATTAATCAAGTTTTAAGACAAATTCCTATACGATTACCAACACAATATGTCAGCTGGAACTCTGTTTTAGTCTAAATCCAATTACAATTAAGTAAGGGGCTCATTAATCATCAAGCAACCAGTAATGATATGATATTGCCATCAGCCTTCTATACCATAACAACGCTTCGAGGAATCGAAACCACGACAGAATTGATTTTCCAAGATACCGATGCTTCAAAGACTTGGGAACTCCGAACATGTTCAAAGTATCCTGTTGATAAATATATTCAAGCCACATCAGGGGCGGATCCAGAATTTTTTTTAGGAGGGGGTGCACTCGTCTCTTGCTCTACTTCAACACCAATAAACCACCTAGTTTTTTTTTGGCAGAATACCAGTTGTATTAGAAAACCGCAGGTCATCTCTGGGGGTGGGGGGGGGGGTGCGCACCCCCTGCACCCTCCCCCTAGATCCGCCCCTGCACATCTACTTTGACTGCAATACTTTGTAAATGTTAAAAGTCTGAAAAGTGGTGATACACGTAGATGAGGGTTGAACGAAATGTCACATACCTGGCACGTAGGGAGCTATAGAGGGATCGTAGTTTTCCATTATCTTCTTAAAGATGTTGGTAGAATTTTGAATCCATTCTCTGTCTTTTGTTGCATTGCTGATGCGCTCTTTTACAGAAGCTGTAGTATTGCTGCAGTTTTGTGCATCTCCTAGGCATTCTTTGTCATGAATAGATGTTGCATTATCGCTACTGTCCGTCCTATTATCTAGGTGCTCTTTATCTTCTAAAGATGTTCCATTATCTCTTTTTTCCATATCACCACCCCACTCTTTTTCTTTGATAAATGTCTTATTGTCACTTCTTTGTCTGAGGAGAAAAAGCCATATGATTAAGAATCTTCTAGTAGAAAAAACATTTAACTGTAAAACACCGTGGTTGATGTCTTGTAAAGTTGGGCAACCTTTTAGCACTTTAGTGCCCAAGACTAAGGTTCTTAACGAAAAGCGGTCCATGAATATTAATACCAGTCTGCTACTGTTTAAAACGGTTGATCAGAACAGTTTTTTTTCCTCAGGAAACAGAAAATTCAAATAAACTATCGACGTCATTCTTTCTATACAACCATTCAACAACCGTCGCAGAAGCCGACACTCATCGACTAAGACTCGTTAGCCACTTTTGATCACTATTCAAAATGGCAGTTCGTACGGAGAGCAATGCTCAGCTTAAAATCGGTGGTCTATGTATGTATTAGGCACCCGGACATACCGCCGCCGTCACATACATAATCAAAATCAGGCATTCCCTGTTTTTGATTTACGTACCGTAGTTGTTTGGGCTTAAAAACGATATACTTAGGTTAGAATGTTATAACTATTTTAGTAAGTGATTTTGCCCAGTATCTTGACAATTTTTATCCAAAAAAGACGTTTTGGGGCTGCGAAGCAGTGCACCCAAAAGAAATATTACTGTAACCGTAGTACGGTCCACTGATGAATTCTGTTTAAAGCTGCAGCTGTTAAACACGCAGAAGGTTTGGACTTAAATTGATATTATTCCATCAGATATCACATAGTGAAAAGGTCTCGATATATGTTTAAATATTTGGAGGCTTCGAGCTTATGAAGATCTCGTCTTCTTTCTTTGTCTCCAAAGATCAACTGTTCCGTGCATAAAACGCGCACTATTAAAAACAAGTTCTTATGTTATAGTTAAAGAGATGTTAAAACTGAATTTTTAACGATACTTACAAGGCATCACAGGAAGCAATGAAAAACAAGGATATAAAAATAATCTTGACTAATACTTGAACATAGTTCATCTTCATTTTCAAACCTCGACGTAAAAGGGTTTCCAAGGCGGACTAACTTGAAAAGCCATGCCGCTACCTTCCACCTGCGAACTAAATAATTTATTATTTCAACTTTTCTCTTTTTTTCTGCTTTTATACCCCTTGCTGCGATAGCTTTATGTAATAGTATAGACTATTCTTAAATATTGGATTTAAGTCTCATTATGACTTGCCAAGTAATATATTCGCGAAATAACGAATTAAGGAACAGTGATGTTTATTGCTGTTGCCAGTGGTAACCTACATCTCGATTAACTGAAATGTAAGGATTGAAAAACTTAAAGAACGAAATATATCTACTCTAAAAGTCATGACTCGCATAAAAATCTTCAAAAAATAAAGTTGAAGAGCAACACTGTGTTATAGCTAACTGGGAAACACTGGAACCGGCTCTTAATTAACTTTAGTGCATGTTATGATAGAAAATGTGGGGGTTATCTTATAATAGAAAGCTGATGACAAATTTAAATTAATAACCCGTTCAAACAGAGTTGGAAGTTTTCAACGCAACCTGACTTGTTATTTAGGGTTTGTTCAAAGGAAAATAAAAAAACCTTTCTATATGAGTTACATTTAGCTTTAAAAAAAAACTTAAACATGATTCTTTTCTAAGAATATTGCATGGCCATGGTGTCTCTGATTTGAATAAGAAAATATAAAATATCACGGGGCATGCATCAAAGAATTTTGGGCAATTTTTAAAACCAAGTCTTAACGACGTTTATTTTCTCTATTGCATCGAATATAAATGTAAACAACAAAGCAATTTACCAATATTTAGCATTTTTTGCTCGACAGCTGATAAAAAGAATAACAGTCACTAAACGATTCTAAGAATTTTGGATCATCATAGATATAGGTTTCTGCGAAACTGTCCACCTGCCCTTCCCCTAAGCCAACATTTTGCCCTAAGTGATAAGTCTTAATACTGGCCTAGGGGAGGGGTAGGTGGGCAGTTTTCCAGAAACGTACAATGATCCAGAGTTTTTATGGTAGTCAGGCATTTCCTCCCAAATACAATTCGCCCCACCGTGTAAGGGAATCCAAGACAGTATTGGATTCTGGATTCCACACCATGGATTCCGGATTCCAGATACCGGATTCCAGTCTTTGTCGGTGGAACTTGGGCTCTGGATTCCAGATTCCTTGAGCTTATTCTGCATTCTGGATTCCAAAGCTCAGGATTCCAGATTCCACAACCAAAATATTCTTTGATTCCGAATTCCACAAACAAAAAATTTTTGATTCCGGAATCCAGATTTTAGTACATGTAAATCAGGAATACGATCGACTCCCAAAAACGTCTGCATAGACAGGAGGCTAATCATGAAGGTCCTTTTCTCGATATTTCGGCGTCTCGAATTGAGATTTACTGCTATTTTGTCAAAACAAATGTTCAAAGACAAATTTCCATTGTTCTTTAAACCACTCGAGGTAGCTTTAGTTCTTCCAGCATCTATTATAGGTTAGCTTTTTAAAGAGTCAATTTCATAGCCTGAATTTCATCCGATATTACTCCCTCAGTAACAGTTTCTGGCATGAATAGCCTGTTCCAGGCTCCGAGATGGTAGTGGAAAGTCGTTCAGTCGTTTTAATACGTTCCCACTATACTATCTGAGAGCCTAGCACAGGCCAGGCATGAGAGCCCGGGGGGGGGGGGCACTTGGGTATTTTTTGGGTGGGTATGTGCCGCCCGGGACTCCAAATTGGCACCCTATTCTTGAAAAAATTTCCCCTAAAATTGATATCCCGTTCTAGAAATGGGCCAATTTTTTATACCCCGTTCTAGAATTCGCCCTAAAACTGATACCCCGTTCTAGAAATGGGCCAATTTTCTATACTCCGTGGCTAGGGTGCAACAAAGAGTCCAACGGTTTGCTTGTTAACGCATTGAACCGTATTTTTAAAAGCAACCTGTCCTTGAATACTTTCAAATGGCCGCTTACAAAAGTGGAGCTTTCGTGCGTTCGAAATATTATACCCCGTTCTAGAAAACGCCTCTGAAATGGATACCCCGTTCTAAATCAGGAGCTTCAAAATCACGACCCCTTTGGGCGGCACATACCCGTATAGGTAATGTATGGGAGTACCCCCCCGGGCATGAGAGGAGAAAACGACTCGAAGTAATCGTATGAAATTCAGGCTATCAACTTTATTTTCTTTCTTGCAAGTATAGGGGGTTTCACGTTACGTCATCGCCGCCATGCTGGTGGACGGTAAACAAAAGATCGCTCCTTAGCGCGCTTTGTTTGTCCACCAGCATTTGTTCATTTCACCATTGTTATTTGTGTCTCCCGAGATATATGGACAACTATATGACGGCTTGACATGAAGTACTTACCCTTGTTTCGCCCCCTCGACTTTGTAACCAAACCTTCTGTTGTAACACGTGCAAGATCAAGATGGCGGACGGAGAAAACGAGTTCGAGCGACCTCGCAAAGTACCGAGAACGTTAAAAGAAAAGGATTCTGGAAAGCGACTTATCGTGATTCTTGAGAACGCTTCCCTAGAGGCAGTTAAGGTAGGAGAAAATCTGACATGTAGGGGCACAAGTTGTCTGTTTTTGCAAGGATGTGAAAGTGTTGATTTCATTCACGGTGATGTTTTCATGTATGCTTACTCTTCTTTTATTTTAGAATGGAAAAAATTTTGAGTTACTAAACTGTGACAGACACAAAACAATTATGAAGAAGAACAAAAAAGACCCTGCATCTGCTCGTCCAGATATCGCACACCAGGTGAGCCGATTGTGAATTCGAACGTTTTACCACGGGGACGTTCCATTTTTATTCTGTTTTATTCCGAACCCCACCCCACCCCCACCCCCCCGTCCGAAGCACGTAACCCTTTGAAAAAACCTTTCCAACCTCTCCCCATCCCCTCATTTTCTTTGGTCCTTTGAACTCGGCAGATAACTAGTAAGGAGTATCCCATTAATCTGGTCTCAGTGGACTGTAGTTAAAAGACCTGTTTTCACATAGCCTGAGTATCAGGCGTTTCTGGGGAAAAGGGGAAAAATGGAAGCGAAAAAGGGAGAGAGGTGAAAGAGAGAAACGCCTGACACAGATGCTTTTACTGGAGCCTTCCACCCCCACATAGCATGATTCGATACCATCCAATCAAAATCACTTCCGGTCATTGGATTGTGAGCTTCACATGTCAAAAAGCTCGCCTAAAATAAATCTCACTTTACGGTCTGGCCGAGCTCCGGTGCTTGTGTTGCTATGATTTCGCTTTTTTCTGAAACCTCCAATGAGGAGTTTTCGAATACTTGTAATGTAAAACCTGCCGTTTATGAGGAATTATAACAGGTTTTAGGAATTGTGCTAGTGTAAGATCGCCAACGGTCTGTTTGTAAATAAACGTATGTCCAGAAAATTGTAAATTGCTTTTGTTTACAGAGTTAAATTAGGCACTTGTCTGGCAGCTAAAAAGCTGATGTTATCCCTCGTATTCCCGGGTGGTTGAAAGGAGCTGCAAGAATAAATATGAAGGTGCAATGGTCAAACACCTATGCCCAGAAATTATCAAGCAGCAGCAAATTCCACCACTTCAAAGAGAGCTCGAGAAAGCTGTTACAAGTTCAAAAAGAAGTGAGAGCCTATAGCAAAGGTCAATCCCGTTGGCGAAATATGATGGCGCCCGCTTAAGCTTAAGACATTTCAATTGGAAGAGGAAGCGAACGAATTCTAATCACGTACGTTATCGTAACCGCCACAAGCAAAGTCAAGCTTTTCAAAAGCATTAGTGCTGTCGGCTATCCCCGCGGCTATCTCTATTTTCATTTACAGTAACAATACCCTTTTAACGGCAGGATGTTGTAAATCAGAACTTAGATATCTGAAACACTGATATTATCTTCTTTGTCCCGGTCTTGTGAAACCAATACTCGGACATTAAGTTTCGGCAGAAGATGGTATATGAGGCTTTTCCATACTCCGAGTGCATCTTTCCTTTAAACTACGAGGCCTTGAAAACACAATTCTTGCTCGGGTTTTATTTTATTCCAGGAAAGAACTTGAGATCGCCCTCTAGAACCTTTTTGCATTCCTCTCTGCGTCTCTGTCTGTAAAAGTATCACATACCGGTAACATGAAATCAAAACATCTATGAAAAATTTCAGTGACAGTCTCCTTGTCGATCGCTCTTGCGGTCGGTGACGTCAGGGGATATTGTTTGTTATCCAATCACTGCCACATCCAGATTTTGGATGTGTCACACGATTTGCTGAATGGTTTTGTGTCAGGCCTTCCTTTCTCTTCTCCCCCTCCCCCCTCCCCCATCTAAAATCTCTTCTCCCCTAGCCCCGTAGGAAGGCCTGATACTCAGGCTAGTTTTCACAGTACATCTGTGTTACATATAGTGTGCTTATGCGATTATCAGCAGCCATCCCGGCGGGGTAACTCCAGGGACACATACGTGCTTGGTGCAGGATTTGTCAACTGTGACCCTCCACGGGAAAACGTACACTAACGACCTTCCGTTAAACGGGCTAAAACGTTAGCTATCCGTTAGTCATCCGTTAGAAAAATTGATGAAAACCATTAGTAGCGTTGGTAAATCAGTTAGCTGGTGACTCTTGCCTGTCAGAGCGTTAATCATATCCATTAGTGGCGTTGGTTAATCTGTTAGCACCCGATCCTTGCCCGTTAGAGCGTTAGCCGTATCCTTTCCTTGGTCAATCCGTTAGTCTGATGATCTTTACTCGTTAGAAAACTTAGCGACAACTAACATTCGTTTCTGATAATGGAAACTCGAAAGACGCTAAAGAGAGCTTCTGAGAGTTCTGTTTTTGTGCTCTCTTGCACAAAGCATCCGGTGACAAAAGTGTCAGCTTTATTTGTTACAATGATATTTCTGGCAAGATGCACAGAGACAATTGAAACAGCAAAATACTCTGTCTTAAACGTTGAATTTCGTTACAAAAGTGTTTATGATGCGCCATTTATTGATAGTAATTCACAGGCAAGTCATTGTTATAAAAAATTATTGGCATGTGCCGCCGAGTGTGAATTTGTGGCGTCACGAGAAACAAAAATGTGATATCTCTGGTTCCACAAGGCACACAAAGTCGATTGAAAGGGCAAAATACCCTGTCTTCGACGCTCAATTTCGTTACAAAATTGTTCATGATGCACCAATTATTGACGAGTAATTTTTTCACAAGCATAGTTCATAGACTGTTTATTTGGCATGTGCCGCTGAGTGTGAATTTGTGGCGTCACGACAAGCGATGTGATAACTCTGGTTCTACAAGGCGCACAAAGTCGATTGAAACGGCAAAATACTCTGTTTAAAACGCTGAATTTCGTTACGAAAGTGTTCATGATGCGCCAGTTATTGATGAGTAATTGTTTATTTGGCATGTGTTGCCAAGCGTGAATTTGTGGCGTCACGAGAAAAAAGAATGTGGTATCCCTGGTTCTACAAGGTGCACCAAGTCGATTGAAACGGCAAATGAACAAATTTTTTGAATGGAGAATTATAACCCAAGCTGTTCGAATGGCTTCCTACCATAATTATTCTCTTCAACACCCCCCACTGCAGAATTCCGTTCCTTAAGTTAACCCATAAAGCGGTTCGAATACTTTGATATGCTGGCTTCAGTTCATCAGGTTATCAAAGAAATTTGCATAAAGCATGTGAACATGAAGTGTCAATCAACCGGAGATAAATGGTTTTTTTTTTACAATAAATGTAGATAAACGTTGTGTGATCGATACACAGCCGCGTGCTGGAAAAAGTTATTTTGAAGAGAAAAAAATGGAGTTGGATTATGTGACTGGTGCCACCGATAATCTTTGAAAGCGCTATTAAAAGTGTGAACGCATTTCAGCGAACACTTTCCCTGTGGGCCTCTGCTCACAGGGTAGCGCTGGTTTCGTTCATATTTTTGGTCGTCATTGGGTCATCACGCAACACTTCCGCTGCTCTTCATTCCCGGTGGATCAAATTTCAACAAAAATTTGCATAAAGTTGTTTAGTTCGAAATGTCAATGAGCGAGAGTCGACTAATATTATTTTAATTTTCCACCAAAGTCAAAGGTCCACTGATGCATTTTTGGAATAAGATAACTAAGATGGATTGAGATAACCTGCCAGACATTCGCTGTAGTTGGTTAGCGGATTCTCAACAAGAGACGCTTTTGACTGTCGGCCGCAGTTGTTTGTTGATGGTGGTCTGGTGTCGCTTTTTCGCTCAATGACGACTCCGTTTTTCGGCTTGTTTCGTTAGGGACAATTGCCAATGTCACGTAGAAAACAAAGAGGAATGGAAAGTGAATTGTCACAAGCGTAACTGTCGCAAACTATTTTCCTTTTTTTTAGTATTATTTTTTGTCGATGTTTTGGGAGAATTGAGTCATGTCACTTGTCGATTCTACCCCTTGGAAGCCCTGATTGAATGTTATTATCAGTTTTAGCCGTTGCAAAACCACGCTTTCTTTCTTTGATCGACCGTTTAACTAACGACTTCGCTAAAAGGCAAGAGATAATACGTGACCGATTCGATTCATTTCATTCTGATTCAATTTCCGCGGTTCATGTGTTATTTCATTATTATACATCATTCACAACTTATGATCCGTTTATTTTATAGAATTAAGACTTTAGTGGTGATCAGTCACTAGAACTTTAGTATAAACCGTTAGAACGTTAACGAGAACCGTTGGAGCGTTAGAGCGGACCGTTGGACCGTTAGGACGACCCGTTAGAGCGTTAAGACAAACCATTAGAAGGCCAGGGCCGAGCATTAGAACGTTAGTACAAAGCGTTAGAATGACTTCAGAGCCGTTAGCAATCCGTTAAGTATCTGTTAGTTTTCTAACGTTTAATGGAAGGTCATTAGTGTACGTTTTCCCGTGGAGGGTCACAACTTTGTTCGTTAATTTTAAGCTGGGGATGAGGGGATTGGATTGCTCTTAGACTTTCGCAGCGGGATCTTCTGGTGAAGACCCGTGGGATTTGTAGCGCCACCGCCATTTGGCAAATGGAGCTTGAAACGAGTGCCGTTCCCATCTGCAAAAGGACTGGGTATGTTGGTGAACACGTTCTGGCAAAATGGCGACAGAAAAGATGGTAAACAACTTTCATATTTCTCTTTTATCCTGCTCCTTGTAACTGGCCATCCTTTGCTTACATAGCAAGTATATTTTTTGGAAGAAAACTATGATTCCTTCTATAGAACTCTTTTGAAATATTGCACCTTTTGACTTGCAGAGCACACTACTTTGCCCCCAGGGGAGGGGCATTAGTAGCTTTTTGTAAACAATCTTGGTTTTGGGTAGGGGCGGTTTGTAAATGTTGTTGTGCAATCCCGGGGGAGTTCCCTGTGGTCACCCCCTCCGGGATGGCCGCTGATTAGTGCATTACAGTGATCCTACAACGTGAATCCAATCATCTAGATCAAACCTACTACAGAAGTTAGTTGTGGTCATAACTAGTAAACAATACTCATTTCCTTGTAGCAGTAACTAATGCAGTACATCTGCTAGCCTGTGTAAAAGGGGATGGAAACCGAATGTAAACGTTAAAAAAAAATAGCAGTGAAAGATTTTGTGGAGATAACTCTGCTTCTGGGGGAGGACGAGCCTCATTTGAAAATTTATTTTCGCCGTCGGGAAGAGTTAAATGTGCTAGGCTGATTTTAGCTGATTGTTGTGGCTCTGCTGGGTTGCAATTAACCAGAAACGAAAACTTGTCAGAACAGGTCTGCAGACTTTGTGGTTGCAAAATTAGAAACGTAGCTGAACTGTACAGTTTCATCCAGAAAGCTGTAAGCAACACTAATGTCGAGGAAGATGTACATTGAGAGGCTGTGGAATATCGAAACAAAAGACAGCTTCCCACCACTATCACGCCAGAAAGAAGCAATGTAGGAAAGAAACGTCTCGAATCTGATGGTGAACAGCTGACAAAAGGAAGCCCTGGAGAGGTTAATTCTACAAAGACCTTGTTTGCAGAAAGCTGAACAGTGAGTGACTTGAGGGATGCAGATTGGGAATTGCTGGTCTTGAAACATTTTATACACAGATTCCTGAGCAAGTAACACTTACACTCGCGGGACAGGATGCCGATATTTTGCTGAATTATTGTAGTACAGAAGATATTACTGGAAAGCCAAGCACTCAGCTTAGGGCACCGGTACCGGTATCGATTTTGAATCCTAACGGAGAAGTCATCATTCAGAAACTGTTTGACAACATGAGGCAGGCTAACTGAAATCGCCAGTTTGGTTTGCTGAATAAGCTTGTTCTTTTGTCTGATTGCAACCAATCAGAATTTGCGGACACCAGCGTCAGCAGAGGTGAACAAACCGGGATTATTATAGCAGGCGTTCCCTTCCTTCTCTCCCCAATCCCCTGTCCTTTTTTTCCTACCTCCTTCTTTTCTTTCTTACCCCCCCCCCCCCCCCTTTAACGCCTGCTACGCTGGCTATACATCTACAAATTCTCATCAGTTTGGGACATTTCATTTTTTTATCCAAATCCTCCTTACCAGGCAGACTGAGCTCTGCTGCAGTTGTTGTTGTTGTTGTTGATACATGGTGCAGCACCTTGTTTGACAGATTAAGCTGATTTAGCAACAGAACAGGAACGGCAGATAAGGACAGCACGCAGAAATCAAACAACTGGCTTGACCAGTGACTGGGCGGCAAATTGGGCACCGGAGGTCAAGTTTAGTCCTTTTCGGCGCTTTCCCGTGGTCAAATGACGTTCCCGTTCTGTTGCTAAATCAGCCTAATGACAGCAAGGGAGTTGACCAACCTCATTGTGAGGGTTTGCTTCACTGGGTTTACAATAGCTGGTCATTGGCTCGAATCCTGTCAGAGACTCCTGTCCCATGCTTGTGACTTGCTGATTATCGTCAAGAAATTTCTTGATGAAAGATTGCATGACACTGACAAATAACATCTTTCACCTTCATTTACTGAGCTTAAAAAACACCATCTTTCTTTATTTTAATGTACATGTATTTTCCTTGTCCCTTTGTTGCATATTAGCCTATGCATGTTTAGCCTCCCATGCAGATGTTCTCTTATCTCTTCACTACTCAAGGAGAGATTGCATGGGAGGCTAGTGTATGTTGGTCCAGGGATCAAAACTGATGATTTATCTCTTTTTTCAGTGTCTGCTCATGTTAATGGACAGTCCACTGAATAAAGCGGGACTTTTGCAAGTCTACATTCATACCGAGAAAAACGTACTAATAGAGATAAACCCTCACACAAGAATTCCACGCACTTTTGATCGGTTTTGTGGGCTGATGGGTAAGGTTGCATTTTGATTATTATTTATTATTATTATTATTATTATTATTATTATTATTATTTAGTAATGTCAATATTATTTGCCATTTTATGATGTAGGCTAGTTATCTTTTGTCAGTATTAAATTTGAATGATCATCTTACTTTTAAACTGTCAAGAAATATCACTTTTTATTGGTGTAATTTTTGTTGTGTTTCCTCATTATTAAAAAATTTTAAAACTTTATTCATGAAACTTGGTGTTGGTGGCTTGTTGTGTGTTTTTAAGTAGGTCTAAATTTCATAGTTTATTGACATTTGTCCCTGTTCTTTTATTTCAAGTTCAGTTGCTGCATAAGCTTAGCATCCATGCTGCAGATGGACCCCAAAAGCTACTAAAGGTACAACAAAATAACTTCTTTCAGTTAAGAAAACTTTCATTGTAAAAGGCTAGTGAAAAGTAACTTTCGGTTGAAGGTAAGGAATGACTGGAAATATGTCTGCATTCGCAGGTTATCTAGTGAGGGGTTGCAACAAATTACAATCCATGAAATTCCTTAAGTAGTTGTTAAGCTGTTGACCATGATGATTGCAGTAGAAGGCACAGATAGCACCTGACTCGTTGATTATTCTTTTTTGTTCAGGTTATTAAGAATCCAGTGACAGATCACTTACCAACAGGCTGCAAGAAAGTTGGTAGGTCCCTCTGGCTAGTTACAGAGTAAACTGTCGAAGTTAACTTAACATACATGTAGTTTGACTTGTCACCTGAATGCTCCACTTGGAAACAGTCCTAGAAATAAGTGATCAAGGTAAATCTTCCTCCTTGGATAGAAGGTTGGCTGATTTTCCTTGTGTCATAAAGTGCATGAGTTTCTGTGGGACCATTTTTACATAATTGTTTCTTACCATATGCAACTGTAATTATTTCTTATCACATTTTATATACTGCCTTTGATTTCTAGCTCCCCCTCCATCCTCCAACACATACATTTTAATAGCCAAATCATATTTTTACATTTCTATTCAGATCCTACATAAAAGAGGTATATACAATGACTTTTTAGGCCCATGGTCAAACCACTGTTATTTCAAGTTATTTTCAACGTGATTGCTTTGGATTTGAATGCCTTGCTTTGCAGCTGTCTGAAAATAATGTTGTGCTTCTCTTTCAACAAAATTAGTCAAAAGTAAAACTCCAACCTTTTTATCGTAGTTTCAAGTATTAACTCTGTTACTTATTTGCTTTCAGGGACCTCATTCCATTCTGACAACCTCGTGAAATTGAAGGACGTTATTCCAAAGGATGAGCCCATTGTCTTTGTTGTCGGGGCTATGGCTCATGGCTCAGTAAGTCTCTTTACTTATCAGCAATTGTCTTGCAAAGTCCTTTTTGGGTGAAACAGTTGAAATGTCACAATTTTGTCTGCTAAGCACATGGTGTGCTTTTTCACTTCGTTAATGTTTAACAGTTTCTTTGACATATTACAGTTCAAGCTCTCGCAAGCGACCACCTCATAAATTCAAAAAAGTGGTTGTCAATAGAGCTGGTTGCTTAAGAGAACTTCAGAAACTCATTAATAATTTATAAAGAAAAAACAAGAGAAATGAATATTTTCATGTTGACTGAAGTGAGTGGTCATTGCCATGTAGGCTAAGTTGCGCTAGGGAAATGACCTTGATTATTTTTTTTACAAATACAAAACTTCTCTGTGCAAACCATTAGCACATGGTGCAGTGTCATATTGAAGTGTTGATTTATATGATTAAGGCTCTGTGTGGTTGTATACAAGAGCTTGGATCGAAAAGTCCAGTTGGGTAATCCCAAAGGTGGTCATGGTCGCTTACGAGAGCTCAAGATCACAGCTCAAATGGGGTTTCACAAAGGTGGTCATAACTAGAGCTGGTCGCTTATGAGAGTGGTCGCAAGGAGAGCTTTGACTGTATTTAACTTATCTGCTGTACCCATTTTTTTTTCTTTATTACTATGAATTAGAGACTTCAGAATTTAACATTTCTGGTGTATGGGTACGGGTAATTTACCCAAAGCCAAATCTTGTAATACTGCTAAGCATCATGGGCAGGCCTTTCATGGGCAAGGTCTTTCATATTAAAACTGACTATAGGCACTAATGAGGTAACAATAGGGGCCTTTAATTGGCTTTATTCTGTAATAAGATCAGCCAAAAGTAACTCTAGAAATCTCAACAGACAGACTGAAATCTTGCACATTTGCAGGCCGTGACGTAGATTCTTGAAGAGATTTATGCAATGACTTACAGAACAATATTTTTGTCAGTAACGTACTGCTTAGTGACTTCAAATTCTCAGTGGAACTGGAGGAAGCCTTTGAAGTCTTTCGGTGTGTTCTTGCATTTATTACAACATTCTAATAATATTATTCAAACTCCCCGGAAGGCTCGACATTCTTGCTTTCATCTGTTGCAACTGTTAAATAGTTTGGAGGACTCAATTTATGATGTGTACTGTTTGTTTAGTGTGAAACAATTTTTGTACTCTCGTGAGTCGATTATTACAATATGATGTCATTCTTAATATTTTTCCTTTTTCAGATTGATGTTCCTTACGTAGAAGAAACTGTAGCGATCAGTCAGTACCCTTTATCAGGAGCGTTAACGTGCTCCAAAATATGCACAGCGTTTGAGGAAGCGTGGGGAATTTTATGAGTAGCAAACATAGCCGTGTATACAAGCCATCCACGGATGATATGGGAAAGACTCCTTAGTGTTCTTGTGCTTATCGGAACTGAGAAGCACATAATAACGTGAAGGACAATTACACTGATTGCGAGGCTGCACTAAATTTTAGCAAAGTTTTGATAATTCTGTGAGGAGTCTTACATTGTAACAAGAAGTTTCTTGTTCAGTTTGGCAACACTGAGTGATCACTTACCGCGAAACTACTTCCAAGAAGCGACGGCAGCGAAAAAAGGTGTCATTATTAAAATGAATTCATCTTTTCAAACGTGGTCGCGGTTATTCCAACTCGCTCAAAATGCCTCGTTTATATAGGTGAAATTTCTTGAAGCTGAATTCATGGGAAGCGCTACTCAGTAATCTAGAAAGAGGACATGGATTCGTCGTCGTGTGGTCACGTCCAGTGACGGCGAAGAAGTTTCCTTAAAGGTGTAACGCAGGTGCAAAGTTATTGTTTTGCTCTTTTAAGGGGCTGTGACGTCACGGCTGTCTGGTTCATTTTGTCAATACGGAGCTTGAGCAACGACAATGGCGACGTCAACGAGAACGGCAAAAGACAGCAAAAGTTTCATGCAGATCGCGTGATTATCGGTTTAGATTTCCAGAATTTGGAAACAGCGTGATTGGCAGCAAAAGTCTGCACTCATCAGGCGTTTGTGGGGAGGGAAGAAATACGAGTGCGTTTCGACAATGGCGACGTCAACGAGAACGGCGAACACGTGAAAAAACAACAACTGCGGAATTTCCGTCAGGACGCTTTGCATGACTGCGACCACGTGAAAATGCGGAATTTCACGTATTGTGGAGAACGTGAACACAAAACAACGACTTTGCTTTTCTTTTTTTGAACTTCGTTAAACTCTTTTAGAATTCAACTACAGCATTTAACAAATTGAACGAGATGGAATAAGTGCGATGAATTTGCTGTGTTATTTATTCCTTCTTTTTACGTTTTGAGCGGTTTATTTTTATGATTCACTCAATTTGGTGGCAGTTCCCACTGTTTGAATTTTGATAAAAATAGTGACACAGCTCCTTATTTTAAACCGATTGCTTTTTTGACGTTCTCGGTGCCTTTGCGTCTTCGCTTCTGAAAAAAGTCCTTGAACGGTAGTCCAAAGAAAATTTCTTATGGGGGCCCGAGAAAATGAATTTCACATTTCACAAAATTACATCTTTCACTTGAAATTTACAGAGATTTACCTGTGTTTTCACATTTCTTGTGAAATTTGACCATTCATTTTCTCGGACACCCATGAGAAATTTTCTTTGGTGTTATTACAGATGACTAATTACATCTTTAGGCCTTAAGAAATGGAAAAAAGAATGCAATACTCTGTAAGTTATTCTGGTAAAAGGTTTTTGTCCACTGAGAATTAAAATTACTCAATTTCCTAGTGGATTCCGTCGTAACTACTCACGGGCTGTTACTTCATTTAAGTTAAGGACACCTTGATGCTACACCTGGCCGGCGCCCATTCCCTGTGAGTTCGGCCTCACTTTCAAATGGACTTTTCTGAAGCGTTTTTCAGAGAAAAACGTGCTAATGAATGTATTTTAACTGGCAAGCATTCTTGTGAAACTTGAAAACGCTGATACTTAAAAAAAATCCGCGGCATTTTAACATGAAAATGAAAACTCCAGTGAAGAACAAGTCTGTTGGTTTCGATATATTTTAACTAGTTGCATGTACTTTTGATATTAAGCATTTTCACTAAGTGAAAGAAGTTTGTCATTTAATACGCGATTCCCTTTGGGAATCCCCGTACTTGGTATGGAAAGACATCGATTTCGAACATTACTTGTAAGATAAGATAAACTCATCTGTCCAAGAACTACCATAATTCTGAAAAAATGTAACCTCTTAATATCTGAAAATTCAGGTCTCCCGTCACATCAACAAAGACTGCCCTGAACGTGTCTTGATTAAGACGGGCGGAGGAGGCGGGGAGCGATGTAAGGGACTGATCATTATCTTATTTTTACTTGTGAGCTCATATTAAGTATATTGTCCCAACTCCTTTAGTAATCTCATAAATTAAAACCACAGCCCATTCCCTATCTTTTGTCTATGTAAGGGTGGATTTCTACTGAGGGTCTCAATGGGGTGGTGGCATTTACGGTTATCGGCTAAAATTTTGGCTTTTTTACGGCTATCGGCTAATTTTTTTCAGTTACGGTTAACAAAAAAGTTAAAAATTAACTTCTTTTGTTTCAAAAAGTTAAATATTAATTAACCTGTATTTTTTGTATCTTTAAAGCAAAATAAAGGTCTTAGGATCATCTCGGGATATGAAATAAGCTATTCTTTTGAAAAATTTCAACATTTGATAGATCATACTTTTTCTAAAGTATTCCACTTCTAATATTATTTTACACATAAAAATGTCAATAGCCAATTTAAAAATAATCTTTGTGAAAAAGCAAAGCACACACGCGAACGCCTAACTCAAGGCCGGGGCGCGACATTCATTAGAACAGAAATGGCCGTTTTCACACTAAAGACGGATTATTCGTGTGAGACGGGTTATCCGTTTGATGATTCGCTTCAGATAGGTAATGGAATAGTTTTAATTTTGCGTGAACAATCCGCCTGACTTTATCCTTCAACTTCGACGGACAGTTTGAAGACGGGATTATCCGTTGCAGATAGCCTGTGTACAACCGCCCCTTCCCCTCAGAAAAAAAAATCGGAGAGGCGGGTGTCTGTCGGGAAGGGGGCGACTGTACACAGGCTATCTGCAACGGATAATCCGTTTCTAGCTCTAGTGTGAAAACGGTCAATAACAAAATTTCCGTGTCCAGTGTTTTTAATGGTAGCGAAGGACTGTACGGAACCACTGCATGTCAGCCGTTTTGCCTTGTCCGTAGGCCTTATTATTTCGCGCGGCTAATGCGTTTCGGGTCACGTGGTCCGAGCGAGTTCACCACCGAAATGCCTTGACCGAAATTGCGTGGGAAGACGCCGTACAGGGACTCGGCATGGCAATGTTTACCGTAGCGTCAGAGAAAAACAGGGAAATGTTGTTTATCGGCAACTTGTTTTACAAACAGTGAGATCTCCTCGTGTTGTTTCACTAGTGTTTCGAGGGCACGACCTCCTTAATCCCCAGCAAGAAGCCACACTTTCGCTATAGAAAAAAAAAAAAAGTTCTCCGAGAGAGCGGCCGAAATGGAAATGGGTCTTGGTCTTCACCTAAAAGGCGCTTTACCTAACGTGCGTACGGAGCCAAACTAGCCGCGAAATAAAGGCGCAACCATAAGTGAGTTTAGTACCTTCCTTAAAAGTAGCAAATCTAGGGAACAATTTCTTTTACGGTTAACTTTTTTTACCCTATTTACGGCTAACGGTTAAAATTTTTCAATTTTTACGGCTATCGACTAAATTTTTGGCCGTTTTACGCCTATCGGTTAACCCCATTAAGACCCTCTTCTACTGTCAAGTAATTTTTATGTGCCTACGTGTGTAAAATTTTCGCGCGTAAATAAAATAGAGGTGTTGTATGACAGGCCGCGCCTAAACGTAAAGTTGAGCGAAGGTTCAACTTTTACTTTAACGCGCGACCTTCCATACATTGTCTTATTTTACTAACGCTTATTAAATTCGTGCGTAGCTGAGGGCAAAACATTGTTTGAAAATTAAAAGTTCTTCTTGAGCGTTTGAACCTCTCTTCGCAACGTCCGATATTTTTATGTGATGTTATATGGACAAAGAAACCAAGAACACTCCAGAAATCAGCTCCCGGGCCGGCTGTTTTTCCCGCTCCCCTCGCTCCAGGTTCCGGTTGTTCAAACGCTGGATAGTGCTTTCTACCGGATAAATCACTATCCAATGGATAATTATTAGGGAAACCAATTGCTTTACCCACTGGATGGTGATTTATCATTGCAGTGGATAGCGTTATTGTTCTTTTGAACAACTCGGACCAGGGGACGGAAAAGAGGAACGAGGTTGCCTCAAGGCACAAACAACAGAAGAATCTTGCCATGGACAAACCGTGGCGGATTTTTCATTTTTACTGTTATTATAATTATTTTATTCACTTATTTATATTTTAATTACTCGCAAAAATCCTGGGGTTTTTAACCTCCTATACGCACGAAGGTTCCTTGATACCTTATCGTTACTTAAAGCGCTCCATTCCAGTTTCAAAAATCACTTTGATTCTGTTTGGGAGCAAAAGAGAAGCAAACAACAAAACAATACCAACTTCATTTCATTAAAGGTTATCTCTGGTCTCATTAGACTTTCTGTGAGTCTTGCGCTTACTGGAAATGCAGCCAAAACGGATTTGATAAAGTAAACTGGGTACCATGAGGACTTCCTTTACACCGCTAGGTACCTAGATAAAATATAATAGTTTCTAAGAAACGTTGAATCGCTGCGTTGCATCTTATCGTTGCCTGACTTGAGAAAGCGAATTCGCCACCGTAGAGATTTAAAAGCTTGACAGCTCGACCGCTGGTCCTTGTCACAGCAAATGTAAAAAACTGCAGTGTCGTTGGCAGTTATTGTGTGTACATGTGATTTCCTATTTTGTTGTTTGTTTTGTTTTTGTTTTCTTTTCTCTTTTTTGATTGGTTATGTATAATTGAAGAAACCTAGCGCCACGCGAATTTCAAAAGATGTACCAAAAATCGACCCGTAGCCAATCTCTTTTTCTTTAAAACACCAACTTAAAGAGATTTGACCTAAAATTCAATAAAATTGAAATCAAAAATAAAGTTGGTCCTAGGACTTAGTATTTACATACAAAAATTATATCCAACGAAAACTATCAATGAAGTTACACCACCCTCACAAGTACGATGTACAGAAAATTGTCCGGATGGCTAAAATGTTCACTGATCCACTGAGCAGGTGTCTCAAGAGGGGGTTCAATGCCGTGAATAACAACGCGCCATTCATTATCAATCGCACCACTGCCGCTGGTAAATGCTTCAGGAACAAACTCGTTTAACAAATCACCAAGGGTGCGAAGCTCGCCTGCAAGACAGAAACAAGAACGAGTCGTGGCTTGGAACGGTAACAGGTCGTTTCGCCCGGCCGAGGGTAAGTCGATTCGCCCGAGGTTTATAAAGGAATAAAGAGGAACCTCTATTCAGGGGAGACCCTCGGGACCAAGGCAAGTGTCCCCAAAAATTAGTGGAGGTTTGGCCGGGGTTTGTCAAATAAAATATTTACGTTTTTATTCTGCCTCAGCATCTACTGCAGTCATTATTTCAAGTAGCTAGATAATGTATAAAAATCACGATTAACTTATCTCTGCGATGTTGTGTGTTGAATTCCCACAAGTGCAGTACATCAATGTAATTGAGATGGTTCATGTTTTGAAAGCTGTTGCTATTGTGACTGGTGAAGACTTAAACTTACCAACGTTTGTTGTGGTTAGTCACTTTTTGAGTGCTAAGGCGTCCCCTGAATGGAGGTTAAAACCTGGTTTCGGGACCCAGAAGAAAGTGTCCCTTTCCCCTGATTAGAGGTGTCCCTTCAACAGAGGTAACAAATACAAAGATTATGTGAACATTTTTCCGGGACCAAATTTTGTCTCCCCTGAATGGAGGTGTCCGTTGTATAGAGGTGTCCCAAACGAGAGGTTCCACTATAAGCGTGAAAAGACAGTTACTGCACAAGTGGATCAACAACTTTTCCCAGTGAAAACTTCACACAAAATGTATATCAAAGATCTAAGAAGTGATTGTTGCGATCGCTCTGGCACATGTAGAAATCAGTTTTGATGTGTACAGTCTCTCAGTATCTCGAATGTGATTATCGAGATTGTTCAGATCGCTCGACCTTTTTTAGCAATCGCAGCATTAGAATCCAAGCTTGACTAAAACACATACTTGCTTCTACATGCTTTACACAGTTAGCATATTTATTTTCATCTTGCAATCACGAGAATAGTGGCGATAAATTTAAGCTTACTTACCACTCTCAGTAACGGGCCTAAATAACTGCTGGATAAAGGGACTATCAGACTGCAAGGTCAACAAGAAAATTATTAAAAAATATTAAACAAACACAATTTAATAATAAAACTGTAACTAAAAAAGGGAGAAACGAAAACTATGTACCTGTAATATTCTAAAGGGAATAAACTTGAAGTAAGGGTCATCTCCAGTTCTCTCCATAAGACGTCGGTTCACTGCCCAAAACTGTTCAAACTTATCTGCACAACAAGTAAAATACGAAATGATCAGCATTTACGATCAAAGGCCTAGTGATGAGAAAAGAACCAAAAAACATGCCAGTGACAGTCTAGAATTAATCACTCATGTAACAGAAAGATTCAGGTTGAGCTATGTAATTTCCTAATTTTATCTAAATAACAACCAACCACAAATACTACTACAGTCTTTAGATAAAGGTGAATGTAAAGGGTACTTATGTTACTTCAAGAGCTCTAAAAAATCATTATCTGACTAACAAACCTGAGGTCGACCGTGCACTCATTTTACCTCCATCAGTGCTCCATCAGGTTTTACTGGTATTTAAAGCTACAACTGGCGACAAAATTGTTGAGACATTGTACTCATTCAAATAGGGTAACTTCAGACAACAAAACAATCCCCTGCCCCCTCCATTCAAAGTTGGGGTGTTTGTTGTTTACTGTAGGTAGCTCGAATATGGGCACAACATTGCATAGAGGGGATAGGGCAGGAATATTTCCTCCTTTTGAAGTCAGTAAAACGTAAAAAAGCCCAGTTTACGGCAAAGTGTCTCAACTCATTTTGTTGCTGATTGTAGTCAAAGCTACACGGAAAGAAAAAAAAGCCGAAACAAGGCTTTAAGGTCACACCTGGGAATCATCAAACTCGGGAACTCTTGCACAGAAGGCCACACACTAATCCACTATGCAAATCCTAACTTAGTTATTGAATAAAACTTGCCACTGCTCTTTCATCATCATCATCATTAGCAGTGCTCAGCAGGGGTTTCATCTTATACATTATAATTTAATCCAATCAAATTATAATTATCATCAGGCGGCTGATGATAGGAATCCAACCAAATACTTACCATTACTTAATCCTAGCCAAAGTTGTTTGTGGTCTTTCTTTTGCATGGAATTTATTACCTGGGATCTGTGTTTTAAATTGTCAGCCTGAAGCAACAAAACAAACGAAAGAAAAGACATTACAAAGGATAGTGTTTGATGCAAGACCAACCTTTGTGGCCATGTATTCTGTAAAGGCTTCAACAAAAGTTGGTGTGTTTTCTTACTTTATTCAAAAAAATCTTTTAAGCCCCACAATTTTTCTGCAAGACACTTTTGATCAGTTCTGCTTAATTCTGAAGCATTATTATGCATTGTGTGTGGAGGAAATTCAATTAAAGTAACTTGTACTGAGTTCTGAGTTTTTTTAATATTGTGCTTAACAGCTACCTCTTTCACTGCTGACATGAACACAGCTTCAATCGCCTCTTTTGCAGGGCATCTCATAATTTTATCTTCTGGAAATCTCTACAGGAATCAAATGACACATTAATGAAGGTAAAGCAAACTCAGTCAGAAATGCAACATGGATGGTTACAAAAATGGACAAACTAACAAAACCACCAATAATGCAGCTATATCATCAATTGCCTTCAGCCCTTAAAGCCCAAGTATCCACATACAAATTCTCCAAACTGATCTCCATACATTTCCTTAAAGAATTAGTTGGGAGAATTTGATAATAAGAGGAACTTTCTCTTGCCAGTTGGGTGATCATTTTATTAATTCTCATAACTTTATCTCTTGACAGTGTATGGATTTTGTTAGGAGAAAATTGATGTTGGTCACTATTTTGCGACTTTAAGGGTTAACAATAATTATCATATACATGCTACATTTTGCCACCTGAAGGCTGATTACTTCGAGAATTAATTGACTAATTATTGTTTCAGTCTCTCAATTCTCAAAAAACTGCATTGCACACTAATAAAATTGAGCAACTGCTATAAATGCCCATTGTGAAAAAAAACACATCAAGAAAGCAAGAGAAAACAGCAATGCTACCACTGGTTTCCCTGCGAATTGATCAATGTCTGAGGAATGGGTAAAGAAAATTTTTTACACACTGATTGGCAAAAAATTCACTTCATCCAATTAGAAGCACTACCCAAATCTGGGTACTGATGCATCATTAGTATCGAATTTCTGCTCTCATTCCTCAGACATCATTTTGCAGGAGAAGTAGACTGTGGTGGCATTGCAAAATGTCGGCTGTTTCCTCAAGCTTATATTTAGTTTAAATTCATGGCTTGATGTCACTGGATCATGACCCTCCTTTACTTTTGCCAGTAGGGGTGTTGGATGCAAGCCATACATGTTACTGGAACTAATCTTCACAATAATATTTTCTTTCAAAAGTAGGTTGAGTTTGATCGTCCGGGTGAATGTAGTCCTGAATAGGACTGTTGTTGTTGACAGCGACTGACATTTCGACAACCTGTGCGTTAGTCATCTTCAGAGTCAAAGTGAGTTGTATCACGTCAGTTGATGGTATTATACTTTATTATATACATACTGAGAAATACTAACCAAAAAGCTATGTCGTAAATTCTCGTACGCAAATTAGTTCTAGCCAATCAGAGGGGCGAACGATGGTTTTCACACGTGAAAAAAATGATACGTCCAATCAGAATCACGAACGATGTTTTTCCGCATGTGAGAAAAATGATACATCCAATTGGAAGCCACAGAGGTGTGCGAGTTTCGTGCCAAAATTCCTGCCTTTTATTGCAGCGTGCGTAAATACCGTACGCCAGCACTTTCAATGAAGTATTCTCTATCTGGTTATTGATCTGATTGGTCAATTACGTCGTGATGTTATTGGTCGTCTGTCCGTTAAGGCATGATGTTATTGGCTATGAAGACTCGTAATCAGTAATTGGTGCATTTCAATCCGTCTATTGTCGCAGTTAAACAGTCGTCTATTGTTAGTCAAATTGTCAGTTCTCCAGTCGTTCTCACGTAGTCAGTTTTGCTTGATCTCATCGCAACGTAATTGACCAATCAGATCAATAACCAGAGTATAATACCATCAACTGACGTGATACAACTCACTTTGACTCTGAAGATGACTACTGCACAGGTTGTCGAAATGTCAGTCACTGTCAACAACAACAGTCCTGTTCAGGACTACGTTCACCCAGATGATCAAACTCAACCTACTTTTGAAATGACTCCTGGGTTCAAACCTTTCACAATATTTACTTTACTACCTGGAAATGAACAGTGAGGTTCCAGGGCAGGGATGCTGAAGAGCCATGCAGGTCAAAGAGCACTCCAATTGGATAGTGCCTATTGTGGAATAACAATAATTGGCATATTGAATAACAAACAATCAACAAACTACAATACTTTTTTACATACTCTGAGGTAACTTCGAAAATGATAAATTGCATGTTCCCAGGACTGTTACACATAATAAGGGAAGTGCACCAAAGAACTATCCATACAATTCATCAAAAAAGAACCATAACCATATACATAAATTACTGCGTTATTTTACAAAAGATTTCAATCAAGACACAAACAATATAAACAAAGACAAAACAATATGCGAGTTAACAGTGAAGTGCAAACTGACAGAGCCACAACTCTATTAGTTGGGAGGAAAACAATACAAAACTGTAAGAGAGTAATTGCTTCTCTCCTAGTGAGACATCCTCGGAGTCCCAGGGGCAGATAATGGGCTGGCAAAGGTAGTTATACTCTCACAAAATGGGTTGAAAAATTTGGTAATTAATTTAACTAATTTGTCTGTTAAGACTTTTCCTCACCCCCATGATCTGCCCTTGGGTGTCTGAGGATGCCAATGTCAGTAAGATGGTGGCTGTCACAATAATAGCAGAGCTCCTTGCGCGCGCGAGCGGAGCACCATAACTAAGATAAAACTACCCATCCGCGAAATTTTGGTTATGACGTCAGCATACGTCCGTCCGCACGGACTTTCCGGGTAGTGGAAAGTAGTCTGCATGGACTCTTGGGGTAGGAGAAAGTAGAGATTTTTGGCGGGAAATCGCATGGTGCAACGTCGCGCAATTATATCGCGCAACTGGTTTTGAAAAAAGAAATTTTCAAAGCAACTTAGCAAAATGATTTTTCGACAGAGCCTTTATAACTTTTTATTACAACTTACGAAAGCTATTATGTCAACAAACAACAGCAGAGAGATTTTAGCGTGTAGATGACAGGTTTAAAGCAGAGAGCAAAGAGAAGGTGAACAGCAGAGAGCAAGAGTCAACACGCGTAGAACAAGCGAAGACGATCGCCAAAGAGAGCGCGTTAGAAGTAGAAGAAGAAGACAACATTTTAGCGAAGAAAGTCGGCAAGTAGAAAGAGTCAAAGCGAGAAGAAGGAGAGAAAATTACAGTGAAAAACGCCGGCAAGTAGAATGAGACAGAGCTAAAATGAACAGACAAAGGCAACACGAAAGAGAAATACAAAGGCAAAGAGAACGGCAGCAACATAATGACATGATGACAGAAAGTGTTGTGTTAATGTCACTATGGCCCCGCGTTATTAACATTTTGATTTCAAACTGATCTCGGACGCGAAAATTCAGCCAATTATTTAAAAATACAAGCAGGGAAGACAGAGGCTTTTCACTTTTCTCACCATAGTCACGCGTTGATCACGCTCTACGACCGTCCAATTTTTATGCTCTGATTGGTCAAAATTTGACAGGTGAGTGCATGCAGAAAATTTATACAGCATCTTGAACCTTGTTTACTTTGACAGCTGAAGCTGACAGAGTTTGTCAACATGTGATGTTTTTTACTGTCTTTTCCCACTGGATGCTTAAAATGAAATACAGCTGCTATCAACAGTCTTCTTTGATTCATGGTTTGTTTATTGAATTTTTGGTTGGGAAATGCGCCGGTTGTCAAAGTTGGAAATCCGATTTCGGATGCATCGTTTTCATTTTTCACCTTGCTGGATGCGGGGTTGAAAAGTCCCTCAAGCGATTCTGGCCTTACTTGATAGCTTTCAAGAGCTGCATCTCGAATGGTAAGCCGGAGTAATTATTATAGTATACAGTGTATGTTTGTTTTTTTATATCTAATTTCATGAAGTCGAGCACAGTTTATGAGGCTAATTTATGCACGTTTGTATTAAGATCTGAGACAATGATCTGATCTAGTCAGTATATAAGCTTACAGAGCTTTAAAAAGCCTTTAGTCGGTATTTTCTCTCCGCGTATAGAATGAAAAAACGTTCCGAAGAGTATTTAGTTATAATTTTGGCTGTAGAAAGAAAGCTTTGAGCGATTTTCTTGCCTCGAGTTCATCTCTGCAAACAGTAAACACCAGGAAGCCGGCTAAAAGCTTTAGGCTTAAGCGTTAAGACTCAGGATTTTTAGAGACGCCTTTATACTTGTCTTTGTGAATGAAAATTGTTGTCTCTGTAAATGTTTCACCGAATTACATTTCTTTTATTGATTGTTAGTAGTCTCTTGCAATTGCTTTGCTGTTTGTTTTCAGTCGTTCACAGACAACGCTTGCAGGAGTACTCAAAATGTCACGCGTTTGCACATCGTTTTAAAACCATTAAATTAAAAAAATAAGCAATAAATTCTTTATTATGTTGAAGCATAACTCTTTTAATGTTCACTGAAAATTTGGCGCTTGTCAAAAGTGACAACCGGCTGGCCGTATAGGTGATTTTGGAAATTTTTTGAACAGTTTTGCTAAAAGACCACGCGTGCTTCGTACGGCTCTGAATATTGAATGAGTGCAATTTGTCTTAAAAAATTGTGAAATACTGCATTTTGTCTGAGGTCTGTATGATAAAAACAGTGCCTCATATTACTGTTTCACCTCAGATGTGATGCATAAAAAGTATGAAATGTTTGTTTACACGCTCCCAGAGTTGTTGGCAAGATTTTTTTAAGTAGACTTGTCGAACGCAAAAAATTCGGCCTGATTTGTTTTTTCCATGCATTCGTTTTCCAGGCCTAATCTACTGTGATCAAGAGCTATTATGGCTCTTAAATGTGATCGACGATGATTGCTATTTTTTGGGTGTATATATACCGGATATCAATTCGATGAAAGATTTTTTTTCACTCTAAAATCGCTTAGCCTTAGCTTTCCCTAAAAAGTCACAAATGTGCCCTTAAGTTAACTGATTTGTGGATTACAAGTTTATTGTTTGATTTAAATCATAAATTTATTAATGGGAGCTTCGCTTTTAGCCCTGGCTAAATCTATATATTAGTATATACAGTCACTCACCATTTCAGTGGCTGTCCATCATATTCAAACCACATCTCATCTACACTTTCACTGCTTATGGCTCTCTGGAAATGTCTTTGAACTTTGTCAGTTACAAGAGTTAAGTAGCTCAATCTAGGCACCAAAAGCTAAAATATAACACAAAAGTTCAAAATTAATAATTAACTGTTGTTGAGGCTGGTTTGCTACATATTGGGTTCAGTCAACCCCCTTCTCACACTTAGTAAGAATTCATAAACCACAGTAATGAGACAGAGTATGCTATCCCTCCCTCAAGAGTTACATCAGAGGAGAGTGAGTTGAAAAAGGTCTTTGAATTGAGGCCTTATCAGCTAGTCAAAATATACATTGAGTCGTTACAGATATATATAATGTATAAATTAGATAGTAATAACTATCATTCTTTCAAAACAAATATTTCTGCACTTCTGATTGGCTTAAATCCTCCAGATAATTCTTTGTATTTACTAACCAGCTACTGAATACCAAATTTGGAAAATGTTTGCCGACATTGTGAAAAATGAGTCAGATTTATGCATAATTAAAAGCAAAGGGTTAGCATCTCAGCTGTTTTTGCAGAGTGCAAGAAAATGGTAGAGCTGGGGATTTCACAAGTTTTTGTAAAAAGATTGAAAATATAATGTTTGAAAACATAGCATGAATTAAGCAACATTACCATTTGAGAGATGACAACTGCTATTTGAAGACTGCTTATTTCTGCTATAAACTAGACTAAACACCTCTTTACATGTATATCCTAAAACTGCCTAGAGACAAGTAAATGTTATAAAAAAGGGAAGAACTTTACATATGTCAAGGTAAGCATGTTTTAAGTTTGAAATAGTTATTTTGAATGAAATTAAAAGAAAACAATTCTTGGATTCGACTTTTGTATGATAAATTCATGAAGAATTATGGAGATTGCAGAGGGACTTATTTGCCAAGGCCAATAACACCCTCCAAGATCTGCATAATTCTTTAAGCCTATAACCTCATGATTTAGAATTATCCAGTATGCTGCATTGCTCATCTGTATTCAGGGGAAGGGGGTTTGAATTCAAACATACTGACATACAGCTGACTCTCGATAACTTGAACCCTCGCTAAATCGAACCAAAGTCGATTTCGCCTGGATTTCCTTCTTACATTTACTGTAATTTTACCCCCGCTAACTTGAACCCTCGATAACTCAAACTTCCCGCTAACTCAAAGTGATTTTTTTTCACTTCAGATCATTTCTATACAATTTTACCCTCGATAACTTGAACCACGTTATAAACACTTGACAAGTCGGGAAAAAAAACGTGTACTGAAGTCCGAAACATTGAATTTATTTCAAAACAACCGAGTCAATTCTTTGTCTTTACTTTTTTGTCACTACAATCCAAATTCAGTGTCCATCCCTGTATATTTTGTTGCTTAATTGCATTCCCTCCCCATCCATTTGCTTATTTCCTTACTTCCGGTTATTTGCTTCAAACTCCCGGTAACTCGAACTTTTTCCAATTTCCCTTGAAGGTTTGAGTTATCAGGAGTCGACTGTAATTTGCATTTGGTGATCACTTTTGTTAATATAATCTACTTTGTTCATGTGCGCAGTTAGTCTCATTAGTGTTCACGATTGCTCAAAGTAACGACTTCTGTAAAGTAATGGCTACCTGTAAATAATGGCCGCCCCTTAGCCTGTTAATCTTGAACATGCATTATGGGGAGGAGGGAGGGGTATGCACAGAAGAGAAATTCTTGGTCGTAACAGCTGATGTCTAATGTTCAGCCCAGGCAAACTCTTTGTTTTAACGCCACACGTTAGCAATTACGTCTGGCCTTAATCTTTATCAGTTTATGCAACTCGCCGCAGACTTCAGATCTGCAAAGGTTGGCATTACTGGATTACACGTAGTTTCCGCACATTAATTTTGGTATGGGAATCAGGATATAATGCTGAACTGTATAATACCGGGTCAATTATTTGCATGACACTGAATAAGAATTGATCCTTTTGTTTTCACATGCTTTGTGCTGCATTAATATAAAGACGTTGAGAATATTAAAGAAGCTAAGCTGAATAGTTTACTAAATTTCCCTTTTATTTATTATTAACAAAACAAAACTATAGAATTAACCTAACTGTAGCCATTACTTACATAGTAAGGATCTGGTTGTTCTACTTGGACGACTTCATCGGAGCTGAGATTAAAACAAACTGGAAGTCTACCATCCCAAATATATCGTAACACTTCTCTGTCCTCCGCCATATTGAAAAGCGAAACATTCCCAGAAAGCCTTTCGGGTCAAGAGTGTTACGTGACAACATGGCGGCCCTCTTCAAGCACGTTTTTGGAGCAGGGATGACATCTTCGTCGTTGTGTAGGAGTCCAGCGTTCTGCTTTTCTACAAAGTCGCACTTGGTAACGAAGTATAACCTTGCATTTCAAAAGAAAAACTACAAATATGTTCTTGAGGAGAAATTAGCGTTCAGAATTGCTCAAAGTCTTGGAAGGTTAGAAGATGATGTTATCATAGAGACCAATCCCGGCCCAGGGGTTCTTACAAAAGCGCTCTTTGAAGTCGGAGCGACTCATGTTATTGGACTTGAACCAGAAAGAAAATTCCATCCGGCTTTGTGGGATATCCAAGCGGAAAATACCGCTAAGAAAAGGTTTGATCTGCTACATGGAGATTTCAGTAAAATTGACCCTCATGAAGGATCTGATAGAACAGGGGCTTTTTGTTCTCCCCCGGCTATTTCTTCGGAAGATGTTTTGAGCACTGTGGAGTCTAAACCTTGGACATCCGATCAGTTGGCTGCAAGATTTGTGGGTATTGAATCAGCGACAAACCCCACAGTTCTTCCTAGAGTTTTGATTGGACAGTTGAGTAAAATGGTAGCAGGGAAGGGGATCTTCCACAAGGGAAGGTGTGAGCTTGCATTTTTCTATGCTGAAGATAGAGCACAAAAACTCACTGCTGAGTATGGTAGCAAATATTTTAACAGAATTTCCATCATGGTGTCTCTGTTTTGTGATGTTAAAGTTTTACTGCATGAACCTTGTTCAAACTTTTATCCAGTACGTGGAAAAGAAAGAAACAGATTTCTTAATTTAGTGAGTCTTGTACCAAAGAAGATTCCCGCGGTTGATATTTCCAGTGACAATATACATTACCTGAACTACTTTATACGACTTTTGTTGGTCAAACCACAGCGCAGAGTTATTGAGGCTATTGAAAGTATCAGCCCTGGAAGTCACGTTTTGTTAGATGAGTTACAGTGGCCCTATGATACAACTGCAAGAGACTTACGTCCTGAAGATATTGGCAAACTGGCAAGTGCTTTCTTTAAGTGGGAAGGAAAGTCACTTAATTTTTACTATGATTCAGGATGCAATGATCAGTTAGAAGGTTTAAAATTTATTTAAACAATGTGACTTAAAGATGGGATGTTAAAAAGATAGATAACTTAGCCCATGTAAAAATTATATGTAGCTCTTGTCAACTGAGTTGCTAGAGTAAACTGGTTGAGACAAAGACACCTAAAAGCTGATATTTTTATTTCCAGTGCTAAGAGCCAAGTGATAGTATGGAACAGGGCAATTTTGCTCTCAAATTGCACCTGATTGCATAATCCAAGAGGAATATGATCTTATTCAGAGCTTTCTGCTTTGGAAGAATCATTCATGGCCTCCAAAATTTCTAATGTTGTTGTGAATCTAATTACAGGAAGTATTTCATCTGAAATCTGCTCTAGGAAATAACACAATTGGCTGCATAATATATCTTTTTCCAGATAATGTGCTGTGGTGGCAAAGCCTTTTCAGACTTTTTGAATTGCTGTCTGCATAAGGGTTAGCTGAACACCAAATCAACTTCTTTCTGTAGTGAGTCTGTTTTCTTCCTCCAAGTATAACCCATAAAATAAAAAATAATAGCAAATGCCAAAACCTTTTTTACTTTATTTGAACTACAGCAGGTGATTATGATTACGTGCCTTGTGCCATCACACTTCTGTGATAAAAACAGTGATGGTGGAACCCTGATCTCAAGAATGCTTCTTGAAACTCTCTTACCGGTATATTGAGTTTCAAGTTTATTGTTCTGCCACCATACAAAGTAAGAAGTGCTTAAATATTAAAAAGCTAATGACAAGGACGCCCAAGGGAAACCACTAGGCCTATTAGTAAAGAGCTCCCTCAGTTAATCATTACAACAAAGTATTAACAGGTCAAGTTATATACCAATCAAATCAATGGCAGATCATTATAATATGTGAGATAATTGTATTAATTAAACATACACCTGTAGTTAGGCTAAAAAATGCCAAGCGAAAAGAGGAAAAAAATGAAAAGTAGAGGCAAAAAAGAAAATATATATATTTATGATACAGCGTGCAAAGAAAGTACTGTCCGATAGCCCGGGGCTAGTGGATTTTTGCTATCGGGCTAGTGAATTCTGTTTTTAACTTGCCCGACGGGCAAGTGATGTTTTATGAGGAATTTGAATAACAGAAGAACAAAAAGTTTTTGGGGCTAGTTGAAATGACGTCTGGGCTAGTAAATGCTAGCTTCAGCTTGCCCAAATGGCAAGCTGTAAAAATGATTTTCTTTGCACCCTGATGATACGAGGAGTTTTTTCAGACTACAGGAAAAGAAGGTGATAAATGTTGCATTTTGAATTTGACATCCTTCTACATGTTATTATCAGCCATATTTAAGATGCATTGGTAGAGAATGCATGTCAAACAAAGGGTCTGAGGCGAGGATGAAAATGTTGAGTTAGACTCGGAGAAGAGACACCTGAGGCTGGCATACTCCAGGCAAAAATTTTACTCTGGCATTTCGCACTTTTCAATCGATTTCAATGAGTGATTCTGAGAAAAAGAAAGAGCACTTTTATTGCAGTCTAGGAACAAAACCTTACTCAAAGTCCTCCTGTTTTAACTCTTCAAGTCCCAAAAGCGAACAACATCAATTTTTATCCTAACAATATTAGGACATAATCAAGAGAAAAGCTTATGAGAGTTAATAGAATCATTGCCTAAAGGAAAACGCTTTGATCTTTCATCAAATTCCTGAACTAATTCTTTAGGTAATGTATGGAAATCAGTGTGGATAATTTGTATGTGGATATTGGGCTTATAGGGTTACCAGAAAATTTTTCCTGTCCCTTGGCACTTTATTATATTGCGGTTCCACTGAATTATTCTTTAAACATTTGCTACGATCTCTTGCAGCTCCATAGCTTGATTTTAACTCCATTAACCCTTTAAGTCCCGATGGTGACCAACATCAATTTTCTCCTAATGATATCCATACAATGTCAAGAGATTAGGTTATGAGAATTAATAAAATGATCACCTAAGAGAAAATGCTTTGATCTTTTCTCAAATTCTCTCAACTCATTCTTTAACTAAATGTATAGAGATGAGTTTGGAGAATTTGCTCGTGGATATTGGGGCTTAATCATCAGTTGAAATAATAGAAAGCATAACTGCACAAGCTGTAGGAGAGTGTCCCTTGTCCATGTCAGCATGTTGTAGTTAAAATTTCTAAGTTCTCTTATAACTCAGCATTGCACAAGGAGTGTGTTCATTGTTTATAAAATGGCTTGTGTGCTTATGCTTTCTAACTCAGCAAAATGATTGCATGCTGTATTGCACATCATGTATTATCATGCAATAACCTTTCTGCATAGATTTCCCATAACACTGTAAAAAAGGGAAACGTTAGATGTCAGAATTTAAGGGGGTATTCTGTTTGAAAGAATTGTTTTTCGTTTATTTTTGCCCTTTTTCTTAAATACCAAGCCAAGTTTTCATTATTTTAATCAAAAAAATGACTCATGACAATTGAGTTGGAGTCCTTGGTTCGATTTTTTTTAGAACTTTTGGATGATTTTTCAAATGGTGTTTATGTACAAAAATGAGGGGGGTGTTCAACATTTTGGAAAATTGAAAAATATTGGATTTGGGGGTCATTAAAAATTAAAAAATGAAGTGAATAATTAGTAGACAAATACCAGACAGTCCAACACCACAATGATCCCATCAGCAGACTAACTGGTTTATGTGTATACCTTTTCTACCCTAATTTATTTCCTTTCCAAGTCAAGATCATTCCCACCCCCCCCCCAAAAAAAAAACACCAAAACTGCCCCCCTTAGCACTACAGTAGATATTATACAGAAGCAAGCAGTGCTCTTGGCAGCATACATATCACCACCATTATCATAAAATTAACAATGACACCAGCCATCAAATTTTCATGTAAGTTTTGTTGGATTTGGGCCTGCTCTTCTATTTCTTTCTTCATTTTTCGTTGATTTTCACCTTGCTCATTTAACCGCAATTCACATCCGTTGAGTTTTAGCTGCAAAGCCTCCACCCATTGTCCTTTGGAAATATAAAAAAGTAATAAATTAACACTGAGTAAACGATTTATATTTAACTTTGGTACCACAACTAACTACCCTTGACGGCAACTTTCGTGAAAAAGCTTCCCGCCTAAAAAGACGCCCTGTTTTACATGTCATCCTATTTAACTGTATCGGTTAAAATAAGGGAGTGCCTTTCTCTGTAGTCTCCTTCGCAGCCGTTATTAGGGTCGTCACGCAACGCTCGTCCCCACGGAGAGTTGCGTGACGACCCCTATAACGACTGCAAAGGAGACTACCCTCAGTGTACCCTCTCTTGGGACTCAGCCAAGCTGCTCGACGAAACTGACACTGTGACGTCTGACTCGTCGCCAGTCATTTCTCAGTCTAAACGAGAGATGCGCGGTCAAGAGAGCGAAGAACGATGGAAAAAAGGAAAGAGGAAAGACTCTTTCGTTTTCTTCCTTCCCATCATTCCTCGCGCTCCCTTCGGTCACGCAGTCTCGTTGTGTCTCTTTATATTACATCTTACAGATGCACAAGGAAGAAACCAAGTGTTCGCAATAAAGAGTTGTCCTTATTTGGGAGGTAGGGATAATATGAAGTTTACACAGGTATCTTTGGGACTAGGAAATCTGTCCCTAAAGAAAGAGGTGCAGGTCCCTTAACAGATCCCCTACAACGGAAAAAAGATTGCAATCCGAAGGATTTTACCTTCAAATTGTAGACGCCTAAGAGAAGTTACTTAAACTCGTATAAATAATAAGCGACATCAGCAGCCCATGGGCTCCTGGCGATATACCGAAGCAGCTGCCGAAGGCTCAAATTTGGCGTAAAATTGTTACAATACAAGTAAACAACACGTGCAACGCATCACGTGCGGCTACGTGCAGCAGCACAACAAACGCGGGTAGTTCCTCCTAGGGCACCACGTAAGGTTAAAGGTCCCTTAAAATTCTGCTCACTTTTACAATTACTGTATATTTGAAGACGTATAAGCCTCTCGACACAGAGAAGAATAGGTAAAACGCCGAGTTATTTCACTATAAAAAGACGCTCAGTGGTTTTTACCTATATCTACTTGAATGCCTCTGTCTACTTTGGCAACCGCATCTTTCATCTCTTTGATCTTGATATTGTGCTCCTGAAGCATTTTTTGTTGTTTTTCTAAGGCAACCTCAAATAGCTCCAATTTCTTGAATAATTCGTCCATAGACTGTTGCCCGGCTTCAAGCCTCTCTGTTTGCACATCACTGAACCTTTGCTCTAAATGTGTTGTGCATTTTGGTGAAGCTGTAAGTAAAAATTCGCATCATGGATCATCAGTTAGGCTCGTTAGTTCTTAATTTATAAATACAGAATAGGATACGTGCTATGTTTTTTCTAGTGCAATATCAAAATTCAAGCACGGAGAGAATACTCGAAAAGACGATGAACTAATAATAAAAGTACTGAAACACCTCTTTCCACGTAAAGTCCCCACTCGGCAATTTATGTTGTAAAATTGAATTTTCGCCACACATAAGTATCGCTTAAGATTACAACTTGCCAGGGGAATAAACATATTTGAAAGAATTGTTCTGGTTCGCACAGTAAACGGATCGATAAAACTAAATATATACCTTGTACTGTCGTCTCGTGCCACGACTGATTTTTTTCACGCCAAATCTTGAATTTCGCCAACAACTGACCCATATTTTAAAAGACATGAAGGGAGGGTAGATCATAGGATAGTTTCCTGCCTCTCCTATCGAAAGAAAAATCTGCCACCAGATCCAGAGAAGGTTCGCTACTGAAATGCTTCCAAGAAGACTGATTCTCATTCAAATTGTCTCAAATTAGGAATGCATCTTTTCAGTCTGACGCTCGATCAGTGGTGACTGCCTGTCAAATTTGTGGGAGAGCGATGTAGTATTTTTCTCTCTTCCTCTTTTTTGTTTTTTATTTATTCATGTCTCATCTTTTCGTACAAGTAAACAATTATAGTACATTAGATGGAAAGGACAGAAACGGGTGGTGCTGAGGGATCTGTGACGGCCGGATTTAAACAGCCGGCAAAAATTCGCGCGGTGACATCTTGAGTCCGCAAGAATTTGAGGTTATAGTATATAAATGAATTTAAATTTCGTTTTTGATGTTTAAATTAAATTTCCATTTAACCAAGGTTACTTTACTTTATGCTAAAAAAAACTTCCTGTCCAGAAAAAAAAATCATCGCAAAAAGTGAGCCTCCCAATCGGTCCAATTTTCCAAGCCTGATTCTCTGGGAAGTAATGAAAATTTCTGAAAGTGGCGTTTGGCTGCAGGCGGATGGAAAGTTTCTCAGAGCATGCCAGTAAGTTTCGGCCAGCATACACCTAATTGCAATAACGTTGTCATAAGAAAATGAAAAAAGAGAATTAAAAAAAGAACTTATGGAGATCTGGTCTGACGAAGCCGAGCTGAGATCTCATACAGTTGCCAATCATGTTACCTTCTCTCAGCAACTCGTTTGGACTTTGAATTTATAAGAGAATGTATGAAAATAAACAAAATACGTCCTAAATGCCATTTTTTGACAGTAATAGAAATAAAAATGACTTACCTTGTGTTTTTTTGTTTCTTACTGTCTCTTCGACTCTAAAACCATTTGGAAGCTGTTTTATCGACGTTTACAATTTGGAGTTGTACCGAACAGTAAGAGAATTGTTATTACAACTCAAAATAGCAATAGCTAGTTACCTTTATTGATAATAATAAAATTTACATTTTTTTTATTTCATCGAGTTAGTTAGCGTTTTTTTGTCTTCTTTTTTGTACATTGATAGATCGTGTGCGTTTGAATTTCAGAAATTGTTACCTTTACAGTAATTTTCATTTATCCAAGTAATTGATGTGCATAGCGAATGTTGGACAAAGTTTCCTGGATCGGAGCTAGTGCTTAGGCCTAAGGACCAAGCACGGGGTGGGGGGGGGGGAGAACTGAGGCCTATAGACCTCGTGCGGAGCGACGGCAACACGAGTTTTGCCTGATGATCGCTCTGATTCGGATTCATTTGCCCGTTGGTTCTCGTTGAGATTGGCTTAACTAAGACTCTTGCTTTTATCAAAGTACCACGATTGATAATATCTTTTCATTGTACTTGCTTCAAGAAATAGACAGTCATGAAATACCGCTTTATGATGCCAACTAGTTTACTTTAGTATCATGTCCTTCTCTCTGTAATATAGCTCATAGTCTTTGCAGTTAATGGAACAATTATCCAGAAGCTAATAATGTTCTTGGCAGCATACAAATGAGAACCATAATCACAAAGCCCACAAGAAAACCAGCTAGTAAGTTATCTTGAAGTTTTTGGTGAATTTGAAGTTGCTCTTCCACTTCCTTCTTCAGTTCCTCGTAGCTTTCACAGCGCTTCTTCAGCAGTCCCTCATATTCTTTGAGTTTCTTTATCACACTTTTCTCCTGTTTTCCTTTGAATTAAGGGGAAGAAAAAATAAACTAAGTTGAATAGAGAAACTAAACTGGCGGTTAACAGTACAAGTAAAGAGCACATAGTCCTTGTCATCCCTAAGGGATGGGGGTACTCCCTTATATAAGCCACATAGCATATAGATACGTGCCCCCCCTCCCCTTCCCCCCTCTGAAAAATGACGTTTTTTGGTCTGAAAATAGGGTCAGGGTTTGGAGAACTGGGCGGCACACCCCCACCAATAATTCCCGGGAGTCAACACCTCGAGTTGTCTTCCCAAGTGTGAGTGACTGAGCCCATGAGCCTGCTGGTGATTAACAATTACATGAACTTACTTTTCTCTTAATAATGTTCAGAATTCGCCCTGCCGACGTGTTACTGAGGGAGTTTCAAGAGAGCCGTACTCGTCTGCTATATCCAGTAGAATTACAGCCTTAAAAAAATTTCAGTTTTTTAAAACCGTTTGTCAGTTTAGATACTTAGATACAAGTATATTGAGATCGGTTATAGGAAATAAGAACTGTTTTAGAGGTTGTGATTTGATCTTTTTCACCATTGACGCCAGCCTTAACTGCTTGAAAAGTACCTTTCTGCTGTTCCAAAATTTCTCTGATAATCTCTATCTTGGTAATGTTATTCTCCAGTCTCTTTTCATGTTCGTTCAGAATCTGTTCATGGCATTCAAACATCTTCCACAGATCACGTGTCGCAGCCTGGTCTTCCTGTTCATTGGCTGGTGGTCTGACAAGGCGTTCAAACAATGTTTCCGGTTTCAACTGAATCTCTAAAAAAGGAGAGAAATCAATGAATACAGTATATGGAAAGAGCGAGGGATAAATGAATAAATGAATTGCTAAATTCAAATCTAGGCTTGAAATAACACATGGAATGACACAACATGGTGTGACCCTAACGATAATACGGTAACGATAATCAGGCTTTGTCGGCTTTCTTTTCGCAACTGTCAAAGTTGCGTCTCTAACTGCGATGATCTTCTTTCATATAATTCTTCACCGCGCAGTTCACATATATGGTTTTCATATATTCATAACTTCATCATCATCCTTTCACGGGTTTAATATAATACGAACCAATTCATGACCTGCTCCCAGTTCGCTTGTTAGCTTAATTGGTAGAGCGCTGCACTGGTATCGCAGAGGTCAAGGGTTCGAATCCCGTACAAACCTGAAAAAAAATCGGGGCTTTCTTTTCGCAACTGGAAAAGTTTCATCTATAACTGCGATGATCTTCTTTTATATAATATAAGATAATCTTATTTATAACACCTAGAGTTTAGTCCCTGTTTTTATTTATTCGAATTCTTTGACACTCTACAAAACGAACACCTCCCTAAGACAGTTCCTTAAGTACCGGTGGTCTGTAAGCATGAATGAAAGCAATCTCGTTTCTAGGGTTCCTTCCCACTCTTCAAACGGAGCGAGATAGAGAGAGACCCTGGTTGGGTGTGGTCACGTGTCTCCTAGAATCTGCGAGCGGGAGATAACAAATAAACGAATTTGAGGGAGAGGGGGGAATTAAATGGGAGATTTGTCTGTACTGAGCGTAGTGGTCAAGGAGTGAAGTGTAGCCATGAAATTGTGTCTGGCCTTGTCGAAGAAGGTCATGTTTTAATAGTTGACGAAGACTAGGGAAGAGAAAACTTCCCTCTCGCGCAGGGGGAGGAGAGAGTCCTGGGAACGAGCTTCATCCGATGATCTTTCTCACCTGTGGTTTCTATTTGATCTTCTTCTTGTCTTCTTTTATCTTTCATAATTTTATTGATAACATTTTCTATTTCCTGAATCTTGATATCGTGATCCTCGAGAAATTTTCGTTGGTTTTCCATGACGCTTTCCAACTTGTCTAATTTTTGAAATAACTCTTGTCCGTACGAGCTATTGCTTCCATCATCTCTGGTCGGCGAGGTATCCCTGCTTTCCCAGGTTAAGGACCTCTTCTCTTGACGCGAATTCTGTGACGAGGCTGCAAGAATATATCCAAATACAATATTGGTTTTCTACGGTACAATATTAAAACAGCAATTAGGATGTGGAAAGGGGACACCGTTCATGTCTCTTTACTTTTCTCGCTTCCCCCCCTCAAAAAAGATCATAACAAAGGTTTCATGATATGAAGGCGCCTTACAGGCCACAAAATGTCTCGTCGCTCGCGCGCAAAATGAAATCAAGCGAAAAGTATATCATTTTTCCATGGTCTAATAAAAGAATCAATCATAACCTGCGTCATTCCCAAAGCAGAGCAGTGGGAAATGAAGGGCGACATGTTTTATACGTGATGCATTTAATATGCATTTATTTCTTAATTAATGGCTTTGCTGAAAAAGATCATTTCATTCCTGTTCCATTACTATCTCCCGCACTCATGAATTCCATTCAGAGACAATTTTTTCTACACTACAAAATATTAAAAGAAAATCTGCTATCACCTAAAGATAACTAATGCTCAGCTGCTTTCTCCATATTAAAGTTAGTTAAAGTGAATTTTTTTTATTTTTTACTCTTTATCTGAGAATATCACTCGCAGCTGTAAGTCTTACAAAACTGACGCAAGGAAGTAAACGGCACAAGCCGCGCAACAGAGCCACTGATCGACACAGTGTCGCTTACTGACAAATGCTTAAAAAAATATCTGTCGATTATTATGATTTACTGACGAACGTGCCGTAAAGTCTCCAACAGTCAAACATAATCACAAATTTGTGTCAAGTCTTCTTTATTGATAATCATAAGCTCAAGCTGAAAATTCAAATTTGCAGAGATCAGACTCTGTCCTTGTTGTAAAATAAAGGAATCAGTATTTCCGATATATGCTTTAATATCCACAGCAACAATTAGTTGAAGCTTGTCTCTGATGTAGCGCGTTATCACAACTGACACAACCACACAACTGAGCATTTCCCCCCAAAAAGAATTAAGGCAGTTTCTTTACCAAATTTAACATTTCTCAATATTATTAAGCTTGTATATAATTCCTCCCTTAAAGGCGTTGATTCTTAATGACCAGCTATAAACCAAGGCGATAACTGAATCGATTGTTTGAAAATTGCAAATATATCGTTGAGACCTAAAAGATACAACATTTCCAGGGACTTCTCTTTACTTCTTGTTAATTAGATCGCTTGTTATTGACTCACTTCCTGCAAACGTTTTTGGTATTCTCTGAAAGCCTGATGGCTGCTAGCTGTAATCCAACTTCACCTGAATCACGGTATAAACGGCCTTACTATCCATATATTCAGAAGAAGAAAATAATTCAAGCTCGTTTGTAGTTACTTTCAACTCAAGAAAACACTCGCATGATTCAAAGAAGGATATGCTTCAAGTAAAGTTATGCATTAAACTAGTATTGAACACTGTAAACGGTAAATAAAACTAAGTATATTTACCATGCTTGGTCTTCTCGTGCGACAACTCCAGTTTTTCACGCCATTCCTTAAATTTCACCGCCAACTGGCCCATTTTTTTTTCAAAGAAAATTCCAAATCAACGTCGATACGCGCCGATTTACGCCTGAGATCAATGCTAGCGTTGGTGAAAAAACACCGCGTCCTCTGAGAAAATAACTGAACTGAGAAGAAGTGGAAAATGTTTTATTACACAAACAATACAAATTAATTCTTTCGTCTCGACTACTTGCAGTTTGTTTTCTTCTACGGGAACAGCTGTGCAAAACTTCGCTTGTTCATTGGATGAAATTTTACAAAAAGGTTATTATCTCGTTTCCTCTTCATATTCAAACTTCTGCGTCAGAGATTCAGCGACTACTACATCGGTGCTCAATGTGTTACTGAAACTGCAGTGTCACTCACGTATTATTCGGTACTGTGTAATTCACTTTCACTTACCGCTGGAGATTCAGAAAAATTGCATCGCCTTAGATGAAATATTAGTGCCAGCGGCCAGTGAAGCTTACTATCTCAGTTAAACTGCACACAATTCGCTATTTCCGAGTTGCCTAATAAGCCTGCTTCATTAACGCAATGCCTGAAGCACAACCATTTAATAAATACAAAAATGAGTTTACGTGGATTTCCATGAAAACTTTATTTTCACGAAAAGATGAGCGCGTGGAATAACTTTGAAAAAGAAAATATAATTATAGTCTTTCGAAAATGGTTTTGTCTGATTGGCTCCGCTCTGTCGTTTACCGCATAGCGTTGATCGAGCCTGGCTACTCTTGAGTTCTCTTTAATACTGGCGACGTCTCTAATGGAGACTGATGCAAATGGAAAATATGGCAGTATGCTAGTACATCTTCTCATCTACAACTCTTGATTTTTGGTTTGCAACCACGTGACAGGGTGCCATTAAGCTTTCATGGTAAGAGACTGAATATGTCACTGAATAAACACCTACATGTACTGCATGTTTGCTGGCCTATATTCCTTAGCTGCCGAGCCATTTAATTGTTTATTTATTTATTTGTTTATTTACATACTTTATTGGCCAAGAACACACTAAGTGGAGTGTACAGACACATACATGATCAATAAGATATGATAAAATTTTTTATAAAAAGATGAAATGCCCAAGAGCGGCACACTTGACCCATGCGAGGTGCCTACCCAAAGGAATGAGAGAATTTGGAGCTCAGACAAGGAGAAAAGAAAAGAAAAATCAATAAGACAAAATAAAATGAAGCAATATTTTAAGGCATCCTCGAAGACCCAGTCGTCGGCATCAGTCAATCGGGTCGGGACAAACAGCGCAACGTCATCTGCCAATAGTTTGTTTGAAAATAAGACAGTAACGCTTGGGGAATTTAACGGATTCTTTATCCTAAAACAAATAAATAAGCGTTAAATATGCTCTGTTCTGTTCTGTTGTAAACGATGTCCACGGCGTCAGTCATGGCGGCCGGACGTGTCTTTCATAGCTCCGCCATTATTGGCAAAAAATTTTTTCTCTTTGTGGAAATCAGCACTTTGGCGCGTTTTGCTCTTGATGTCTACATATTAAATTGTAACAATACAAGACTAGTATTTAACTCGGAAACCTAACGGTTTATTCAGATGCTAGGCATTTCCTTGCCTGTAATGTATTTTTGGTTGTACAAATATTATATTGCATGTAACTGACCGTTAGACTAAAACTACCTCATGTAACTATAATTATTCTGAAGCGAAATGCAAATAAAGCTTGTTTTTGTTTGTTGTTGTTGCTGTAAAGCACTCACGAAGTAAGGAGAAACACAACTACGTCTTGTGCTTCCCCCTACACTTCTTTCGCTCTACCCGCTTCCTACGCATTGCGTGCTTTACAACAGAACAGAGCACAGTCAAGGCTTCTTTATTTCGCTAAATAAATTCTATTTACTATATGAAGAGCACTTCCAAGCAATACGGAATTACATTTAATGAATTCGAATTATTCTCAAACTAATTAACTACAAAACTTGTCCACGCAATAAGTTCAAGTTTATAACATTAAACTAAGCGAAACTTTCTAAAATACGCATATAGAAAAATATATAGATGTATTCTGCAGAGTATGCAAAATCCTCACTGAGATATGCAAAGTTCACAATCTCAAATCAGGTGTTTATATTTCAAGTTTGTAATTCAAATATGTAATACTATTTTGTTTTAAAAATACGAGTAAATGTCAGGAATAAATTAGATAATATCTTCTTTCACTAGGTATAAGTTTCCTGCATCTTTCGGAAATCCGGGGCGAGTTAGCCTGAGAAAACAGACAACATTTCGCGACACCACTGACGGTTTCCCCGCGAAATGACGTCTGAGAAACCAGCGCAGAAATTCCATACTGATGACGTGTCACTACCCATATCTGGGTAGTGCTTCTGATTGGTCGTGCCGCTTGTGAAACTTCTCAGACGTCATTTCGCGGGCAAACCGTCGGTGGCATCGCAAAATGGAGCTAGGAGCGAGTACAAAAGTTTCAGTTTATATGAAATGGATATTGAGCAATATGAAATGCTTCCGTCAAAAAAACTTCCAAATACACTGTGACAAGTGCAGCTCTTAGCCGTGCTAAACAGTATCAACATTCTCACAACATTTTTGAGAGTTCGTTGAGTCATATTGAAGACTGTGCATCAAACGATCACAAAATCCTCTCAAGTTCATTATTATCAAAGAAAAAGCAGTCACTTCCCCAGAGCCCGCGATACCCTAATCCAGCACTCCTTGGGGCTGACAAAAGAGATCGCAGGCTCTTGAACGAGTTGAAAGGAAAAGTAGATACATTGAGCAAAAGAACGAGAGAGCATAAGAAAGTGGCTCATACGGCTTCCAGAATGAAAGAAATGTTGTCACAATATTGCAATAATGTAAATTGTAGATTGTAAATCGTAAATATCTTATTATCCACTCCCCTCAGGGCTTTTCAGGGACAATGTACAACACTGTTTGGGGGACTTTGCCAGACTGCTTGATATTGCGAGGAGTTTGCTTTCTTCGTCATCAACGTGCGTGCCACAACAATATAGAGAGGGGATGCCAAACGATCACAATATTGGGTAACTGTTGTGAGAATGTTGAGACATCAGATCAAGAAATATATAAAATTACCATTATTATTTTGCGCTTTCAAAAGAAAACGCGTTGGTGTTAGTCCAAGGTTGGTTTACACAAAGTACAACCTTGTTGCAAGCGATGAGTTTGCGATAAAAGATGCGAATACCGAGTAAGAGTGGCACTCCCTAATAAGCACCGCATTTAGACGCAAAATATTTATAAGCACCGCCCATACTGAATGATTTGATATGGTCGATCCACTAATTATGTTAAATTGATATCGGGGGGTCTTTTAAAAGTTCCGTTGTTATATTCTTAAAATATTATCAGTTGCTAACAACTCAGAAAAACAGGAAAAAAACGATCGGAAGTACTTTGAACAGAGCGTCTGGGAGCAGATAAAACCTACCCTAAGGGCATCGCCTGCAACAAAAAGGTTATTCCGTGTAAATAAGTCTTTAATAAACGATTTCATTTTCATTATAAATTTACCATACCCTTAAGTGCCTCTTTCTCTCAAGTTCCTCGAAGTTTCTTGTTCAAATGTTTAACTTTAAAAATGCGTCTCTTCGATATAAAACTGCTAAATTTTTCTGTTCCATTTTTGTCAGTGTAGAATGAATGAGTGTTTTTTGTATTAGATTATTATAAACAAACTGAGAGTTTAAATAGCAAGACCAGGTTGATAAAAAAGATCATAATTTAAAAAGGCTGGTTTTGTGTCCGTGTCATCCAGTTTAAATAATTTGTTTTTGGAGAAGCCGGCATTGTTGTAAAGAAATAAGTTAACACCTGATTACAATCCTTTCCCTCTCCACCGAAACTACCCACCGTGTCTCAGTCGTAAATCAAGGCTACATAAAATTCTTGGTATTCTACACTTAACACACGGGTAAAAATTATAATGTTCCTAGGCAAAACAATAAATGAAAGGTTTTTACAAACGTCGAGCTAGTCACCCAGGGAGGTTGGATGGTATACGCGTTCTTCGGACTTGCTTTCTCTTCTTGTCACTTGCGACGCTACCTCCACCAAGTTGGCTGCTGTGACACACGTTGCCAACATACGACACATCCACATATTTTCCTCTCTCTTTCTGGATGACAAATCGCACTTTCACATTGCACTCTGGTCGCTTGCATTCTGCACCTCCTCTGAAGAAAACCGCTGAGTGGATTTTGCGCGAGTTTTCTGATCTCACGTGATTATTTTTGAAGCGTAAACTGCACCATGGATTGCTTTCTTTAACTTTTTCAAGGAAGATTCTTGTCCAGTCGCCACTCAACAGTCGGCCACCGCTTGGGAAAGTATTAATTGGAATCCTTTCCCAGTCTTCTCGGGTTAATTTGAACCTTGCTGTTGTGCCATCGATATTCACACGAAAGTACTTTTCTTCATTTCCTTCTTCGTCATCGTCGGATGAATCTGAATCAACCTTCAAAGAATATCAAACCGGTTACTAGTTTTGTAAAAATTAAACCAATTACGAATCAAAACTGAAGGCAGACCTCTGTAACAGGCATCGTTTTGGTAAAAGATTATCACAGGAGTTTACGGAATTTTGACCATTACTACAGAGGATATTTAAACATCCTGGGAAAAATTTCCTAATTTTCGCCCCATAAAAGGTAATCCAAGAAAGTCTTGGACTACGGATTCTTTGACCTGCATTCCGGACATTAAAGTCTAGGATTCCGGATTCCGCTATCCGGATTACACTTCGTGGCATAATTAGAGAGGTGAAAAAATTAGGCAGGATACCCAAAAATTGTATCAAATTTGTATTGAGCGCTTTTGCATGTCATCAAATCACGTCGGCCATATTGATGTATCCAAAACAGATATAACGGCGGCGATATTTCGGTTGATTTTTAACCTTTCACTTTCAGAGTGAATGTTGGTAACCTGTAAAGTGGTTCTGAGTCTGTGAGCGAAATCCTATGGTCTGACCATTCAAATAAAACCTCTTCAGCAATACTTTCAGATGGTAATATTTATTTGGTATGTAGTTCTAACTTTTGAGTCTGTGGATGAAATCCTATGGTGTTACCATTCAAATGAAACCTCTTAAGCAGTACTTTCACATGGTACCATTTATTGAATATGTAGTTCTAACTTTTGAGTCTGTGGATCAGAACCTGTGGTGTGACCAATCAAATGAAACTTCTTCAGCAGTACTTTCACATCATGGGTACTATATATTTAGTATGTAGTTCTAACTTTTGAGTCTGTGGATGAAATCCTATGGTGTTACCATTCAAATGAAACCTCTTCAGCAGTACTTTCACATGGTAGTATTTATTTAGTATGTAGTTCTAACTTTTGAGTCTGTGGATGAAATCCCATGGTGTTACCATTCAAATGGAACCTCTTCAGCAGTACTTTCACATGGTAGTATTTACTTCGTATGTAGTTCTAACTTTTGAGTCTGTGGATGAAATCCTTTGATGTTACCATTCAAACGAAACCCGTTTGGCAGCGCTTCTACATGGTGCTTTTAGTTTTTCAGCATCTTACATAATGAATTTGGAAATTTGTTTTGTTGAATTTAGATTTTGGCCAGTTTAGGGTTAAAAGGTCTCAACCATTTCCGTAGGAGTTGATCTTTTTTTTTGATTTGGGTAAAATAAGATTCATTGTTTTCTTTTAAGAAACTGCAATTATAGCCACTGAATACGTGAGTGAAAACCCTTTGCCTACAACATCACTATCGCGATGATGGTCAGTAGAGACAATGATACCATTAAAATGATAAATATGAAAAATCATACATAGGAACTGCTGGGGTGAGGAATTAAATGAAAGAAGATCATCGCAGTTAAAGACGCAGCTCTTCCAAGGGCGAAAAACAAAGCCTCAAAAAAATTTCAGCCTTTCCTTCCGCAACTGCAAAAGTTGGGTCTTGAACTGCGATAATCTTCTTTCATGTAATGATCTTATCTCTTTGTTAGCACTTGCTAGTCACGATTTGTTAGCCATTCGCCCGGCTTGTCTGCAGTCCCTACCCACTCCCGCCCTTAAGGAGTCGGCGATTTATTGTCAAATTCTCGTAACCTCTGCTCTGCTTTGTGACAACAAACTCAGATCACGCTGTACTTAACTCTCTGTGATCTGTGTAGCCTGCACCGGGCTAGCTTTCTATTCTGGGAGATATCGCGAGAAGTCATGCGCGAAAGGCTCGCGAAATGAGAAGCGCGAGAGAGGGGCAGTGAAGAAAGGATGAGAAAGATTACCATACAAATAAATTAACTTGTTTGAATTTACCTTTGCGTTTGAACCCCAGATCCCGCCATCCAAGTTGCCAGGCACTTTGGAAGGTACCATGATGACTGATGGCCGCTGGCTTTGCAGGTCATATACTGGCAGATGAGCGGATGAAGCTGATACTTGCAGGTGACAGGAACATTGACAGCAAGGCTTTGCCTGGAGTCCCATCTCATAAGGTGTCAAGGCTCTGTGAGTACCACTGTATGAAGCTAATCCTTGGTATGGTGAAAGCCCTGAATTGGAGGCCATATAGTCATATGGCACTGTACCGTAAATACTCGATGGATACGACGACAATCCCTCGGCTGCACCATTTTGTTGAAGAAATGTTCCTTTATGGGAATCAATGTTGTTGCTACTGTAAATCTGCTGGGTACTCTTTTGAGTATCGGGAACACTTTCTGCGGCACTCACAGGATAATACTGCCCTTCATGTCCATTGATCTCATAAATTGGAACCACGGTGAACGCGTTTCCTATCTTTATTTCCGGTGTAGATGTATCCATGGAAACAGCCGTATGGCTTGCAGTAGTGTTAGTAACGGTCAACTGCTCAGGAAACATGTTGCTTGATTGGGTGGTTGATACGTTGTCGTAAGGTGCCAAGCCGTTGGTTGTTGTTCTCACGGGCAAACTCTTGTCGCCTTTTGCAGTGCTGTTGTATTCACTCTCCTTTACATGAATAGTGTTGTTGTTTATAGCAAACCGTTCGGCAAAGGCGCCAACTTCTCTCTCCTGACGCTGGTTGAGATTCCTGACTTCATTGCATTCGCCTTCGTCAGAATCAACAGGCTCTAGTTTTGGGCAAACAGTTGTGATGTCGTGGAGTGAATACATCATCGTTTACGGTCTTCTGTAAGGTTAGGGTTTATAAGGGCCGAAACATGTTAGTGAGATCTTCACTGCAGCTTAAACACCAACAAGCCCTCCGGTGCCAGCTCTAAAATAAAAATTAATAATGAATTAATAAGCTCCTTTCAACTTAAAAAGCTATGAATCTGGAGGTAGAGGGATCTGACAATCACAGGGAGAATTCAAATTGTCAAAACCTTTATCATCCCTGTCTTCTTATATTTTATTCAACTAAACTAAACATATCGCATTCATTGGATAAAGAATTTGTGAAAGAGGCAAACAAAATTATCTTTGATTTAATGTGGAAAGGGAAGGACAAAGTTAAACGCTTTGCACTTAGTAGTGACATCGAAGATGGAGGACTTAAAGCCCCACATTTAAATAGATTAGCATTCGATTCTTTCGCCGCATTTCTGCCTTAACTAATTTTTCATGTAAATAAAGGAAACATGTACTGGGGTCTGTGTATTACTAAGTACTGTTGTGTGTGTGCTGTATATATGTTTGGTTTCGCTTTCTTTAGTTTTCTTTTGTATTTTTTCGTGTTCATAATTAGAGTGTATAAAACATTGTCAGTAATACACGAACTCATTGTAAAACAAAATAAAAAATAGTTAAAAAACAAAAAGTTAAATAAACAAAGTACATGTCAAAAAAAAAGAAGAAAACTTTAAATTCTGCTCGAGTTGCATATGTGTATCCTCACTTGCTCGGGGAAAAATGGCAATAATTTTTGGGGCTTAATTCACAGGACTTCGAGTCAGATCCGCGGGTTTATCCCTCGTACTCACTTCAATGCTACATTCTATGATTGATTACTAATTTTTCTAGCCTGTAGTCATATTTTTAACGTCGGTAGATGAAATTCTCTAAATAAAAAAAACAAATAATAAATATTATTAACATTCATAGACTGCCATCACTGAGGATTTATTATCATTTTCCATTGACAAGAAACGAGAAACTATGTGGAGGGGGGACTTTCCAGTTACAAGTCACCAAGAGTTAACAAAATTTTGTATTATACAAAAATTAAGGCAAAATGCAAAGAGTTTCTTCATTGGGTGTCAAGAGTGTCTCTAAAATGTTGAAATAGTTCAGTGCAAACCTTGTGGCACCCGGGTGAAAAAATGCGATACGTTGTGGCATGTCTCCACTCTAGAATGTGACCAACAAATGTCCGTTCAAAAGAAGGATTTTGGTAAACTTTCAAAAATCGTCAGTGCAACGACAAATTTGACTGAGTAACTTAACAAGAATTTAACAGATGATGGATGTGGAAAGTTATATAGCTGTATTGTGTTCCAACAACAAAAAGATGAAATACTGATCGAGCTATTTTTAGCAACCAGACAATCTTCATGATCACAGTTTCAAAGTCGGTTCCTCCAATACGTAGTTGTTGAAATATTCAGGACCCACTGTATATTGCCAAGCTTCCCTTTTTCCTTTTTATTTGCAATCATAAGTTATATTGCAATTACGAAAAGACAGTCAGAGAGATTTAGTACAGAGATAAAATTTTTTTAACGAAAAGTTTCAGGTTACATCCATACCTTGTTCCATGGATACTAGATACCTTACGAGTCCTAATATTTCTCAGTAAATTCTAGATTTCGATTTCGCTTCCCGCCGCGCTAAAGATTTCTCATTTTCAAAAGTTTGTGATATTAATAATGAGTAAAGGAAAAACTATGCTACTTAAGGACAATAGTCACGAAGCAATTTTAGACAATATCACTGAGTAGATTATAAAGGTGACTAAAATATCTAAAACCCACTTCAAAAGGCTCGCATGAGAAGAAATACTGGAAGGAAAGCAATAAACGGACAGGGCTGTGGGATATCTTGAAGGACGTTTCACGTGCTGTTTCGTTCCTAATATAAGTTTTTATATTTAGTACATTGTATGACCGTGTGATGCAGATTCAGGAGCACTCAACGACTGTTTTCTGTGAATATCTGTTTGAAGAAGCAAATATTGCCAAGAATTTTCTATTACTTGAGTACTGCTAAAAATTTCTAGATGAACGTTCCACTCATGTACAATTTTCGAAGCTTATCTAATAAATTCCCTACGATTTTCTAAAGTTTAATTTTCACATTTCACTTCCTAGTTAGGCTATTTTTCGTGGAGAAAAGGAAACCTAAAATTTTCGGACTCAAAAATGCAATGGAGAGAGAAATCAGAAAATGTCTCACTTTCGTAATACTTCAAATTGCATCTAAAATTTTCGGGAAAACACTACTCAAGCCCTTGTAATTTCGAAACTGACTCAAGTTCCCCTAGGATGACCGAACAGATACAGATTTTATAGCGCTACTTAGAATGCATCAGTCTCGACATCTGAAAGTACTCTGGATAGCCTAAATAGTAATTTCAATGTATTTAGGAGGAAACCGTCGTTGGGTGCCCCGGCAGAATACTCGAGAATAATCTTCGCAGTGTGGCCGTGATGAAACGATGAAGTCTGATCTGGAGAAAATTTCGGACGGCCACGGTGTATCGCCAAAAATTGCGTAACCTGTGTCCCCTGTAACAAATGACATTAATAAAGGAAAGCAGGGTTTGCCGCAAAATTTTACAACACGAGAGTCTTTCAGAGCCATTCAAACTTGCACGTGACAAAAGGGTATATTGGTTTATAAATTTCTCCAAAGGAAATCGCCAAGTTTAAGCCAAGTATCTCCTATTCAGCTGCAAGCCGGATAGCGATAGAAATGTTCGTACATTCACTAAAATAGAGCGCATGGAGAGGAATACGCTTTAGAAATCGATACTGTTTTAAAAACCACATATTTTCACGTCATTGAGCTTTGTGTGCTTTGTGTGCTTTGTGCAAATCGCATTTAACGATGACCTCAGGAGTGACAGTCTATATTATGTTTCAAACAAGTGTTCGATAAAATGCGTTGAAAGTAATGGTTTCCGCTTAGTCATAGTTTGTTACCAGGATTATACGATAAAACGTGATGGGGCATATAATTCTGGCCAACTATGATGAAAAATGACACACTCGTTGGCTGTCAAGTCTCAACTAAGACCGTATAACACAAAGTGATCTTAGAGTAAAACCCATTAGGACAAAATCAAAGCATCTTTCAAGTCACAATTGTCAAATGTTTCGATACAATACTCCTAAAAAGACCGATTTAAAGCAGTCTACAGTCTTAGACGTAGACACAAAGGAAAACTAGCGACTGTTAGAAATTGGCTATTCTTAGAAATCTTCTCACTCTTGGATATTACACAAGGCGGAATTTAAACCTTGTGGTCAGAGCCTTGTGGTCAAGGTCTGCAGTTGCCACTACAGGAAAATGGTTATGTCATATAATTCGCATAACTTCCGATGCATTTCCCTTCAAACGGAAGAAAATACTTGCTTTTGAAATATTTAGTATTCAATGCATGGTCACTAGGCCATCAATAATACGACTCTACAAAACTCAAGCCTTAAATCCTTTATAGTTAAAACTAAAACATTACTTGATTCAATGACGCCTCAACCCGTTTTATCAAAACGAGATCACACAACGACAACGCTGACCGAGCGCCAGTCTTGGGGAAAGTAGTAATTTGCGCGAGACAAGAAATTAGGAATTTAAATCAAGTTTAATTCTTCAGCGAACATTAGAATTGCACGCGTAAATAAACAAACATAGTGTGTCCTACGTATGTCATTACGAAATAGGTCACGAAAGAAAATTAAACGATGCTAGCAAAATTAGAGCAACTACCAATACAACTTCGAAATTGACTGCAATTAGAGAGAAGAAATCCAACGATACGGCGAAAATATAATTAAGAAATAACAAGAGCCCTTTGTCAACATGATCATTATTCATCTTCAACGTGGAAATTATTCACAATACATTATAATACGAACAATTTGCATGAAAATATATTTCACATGTATGCTAACACTATCTTACGACCCATTCAGAAACGATAATTTGCTACAGCAGAATAGAAAAGTTGATTTTAAGAAGTATGATTAGACTACTGGGTTTGTTTGAACGCGCTCTACAGGAATGTGATTCCGTGACCCTCAAAGAGCTGGGAGTCAAACAAGAGCAACTAGTGTCAAGTCGTTCGACTGATTTAACCTTCCTGTCGTAATATCATCTGATTCTGAGGTCTTTAAAATCTACAAACCATATTTTAAAGCTGAAATTGTTTGAAAGCAAGCATGTGAATACATTGTGTTTTAACGAGGTTACCAAACTCTCGGCGTTTTTAGGCATATTTGGACTTAACTTTGCCTCAGTATTTGCTCTGTAATCGCTATATTCAACTACGTAATAGATGAATAACTATCAAGATCTCAGTTTGATTATATGCCGCTTAACCAACTTTTAGGGCCTTCAAACCATAACACTGACGCAATTAAACGTGATTGCTCGATACAAAAGTCTTAGAAGGCGAAAACAGAACGTAGAAAAGCCAGAAACGTACCTTGAAATCAAAGGCGTGTGAAGCACCCGTCCACAAAGTGAGCATGCTATTTTATGCATGATGTGACACATTATATCACACTATAAAGCTGCATATCTTGACAGGTTTGTGGGAGGGGGGGAGGCTGATCAAGAAGCTTACCGGTAATACAGGTTTGTGCTTGTATTAAAACGAAGACAATTTCATTAGGTCTCTGTCTAATTTTCTTCGTTTTTAAAAATGTTTACTAATTTCTTGGGCGTGAAAATCGAACGGTAAACGATGCGAAAGGAACTTAATACCCCAACGAGAAGCCTTTTGAAACACATGTCAATTCACACGTAGGCTTAGCGCGTAGCGTTTCGCTTCAGAGGGCAGGGGGTCATTAGAGACGCTTTTTTAGAAGTCGGTCCTCACGTATGCGTGTGTGAAAGCCAATCTTAATACAGAAGTCAAGCAAACCGACGTTTAACTCGGCGCAAAGAAGAGTGAATAGCGTTTCATCGTAAAAGAGGTTCATATGTAATGAGATGAGCGTCGAGTTCCTTGTCCGGATGGGGGGCCGTATTCGACTGAGCTATGGTTTTTGTTTTTGAATTGAAATCTGCGAATATATTCCGTCAAGGGAGCCGCCAGTGATAAACGTGAAAAGAATCAGACATAGATCAAAGTACCTCGGCAGCCCACATTTCAAATTACCTGTCACTGCACTGGCCCACTCCCCTTGAAAGTGAAATGGTCCACCCCTTACTAGCGGATGGATTTAAAATTCAGTAGATGAAAAATGCGGAACGGTCATTAAGAAAACAGTCTAAAGAATTCTTTTACAGTAATGAGGGCAAATATTTCGATTTCCTGTTGCATTTAATAACTCCATAAGATATAGAGCAGCGAAACTGCGTAATATTAGTGGCTCAATTTCGAGAGCAAGCTGTATCACAATGCTTAAATCTAAGTTAAACAACAGAAGTAAAGTATTCGATTTCTATCCGCAGCGTCATCATGTCGCCAAAACTGGAACTTAAACATATCGACAGCTGATTAGTCGTGTTATAGAAGATAGAATCGTTGTGCTTATAAAGAAGACAAACCGCTTAAAAGATATTCAATTGGGAATCTAAAGCGGCTTCTTACCGCACTCTGTCAAACTGACCTGAATGTCGGCTCTTGTCTTAAATGTGGCCAGTCGAATACAAATACAATATCAAATCGCTAACCTTCCTAAACTGTGTAGACGTTCTAGCAGGAAAGAAAGGTTGCCCGATCTTAACAGATTATATAAAACTGGCTATAAACACTGACCACTGTATAGAAGACCAAGGACTGCATACTACACTTTGCATTTATCGAGTAACACTATGTATAAACTATGAGTTCATAGTTTGATTCTAATTCAGTGTATCAAACAATGGCTGCTTTTGCTTGAAACGACGTATTACCAATTACATTAGGCTTATGACACGTATGGTGAGATGAAAGGAAATCGTGTGATTGACTGTATATACTCACTGTTCAAGGCTTTCTACCGTTCCTGGAATGTCCGACCACAACACTTGAAAACCAGAACTCAAGTGTCTGAAATGCTGCCTGCGGTGGGTCCCCCGGGGACCTGGCGCTGATATTCAAGATCCCAAGGGAGATATTGGGCACTCCTACCCTAACCCCTAAATTCAGGGCCGCGGAGCAGTTTTTAAAGTGCGGGGGGCGGCGACCAACTCTTTTGAAGCGGTGGGGGGGAGGGGAGGGGCAAATTTGGCTGTTCTCTCTTTCTGGCTGTTTAGAACTTTTAGCTTAATGAACCTTTCTTGAGTCATTGTTGAGCGGAGTCATGTTGCCGAAAGTACCTTTCTCCTGCTGAGCCTGAATGCACATGCTGGATCCACCACTAGAAGTTTGCAGATCATGGTATCACACTGTAGGTTCCTGTAATCCCTTTATTTTGTCTATTGTGTCATCGAAATGCGTCAGAGACCACATCATCAGCCGATACAATTCGTTTAAAAAAACTGTAGTTGGTGGAGTAGTCTTCAGATAACCTTAATCAAAAAAGAGTCTATTCCGCATCGTTGCAAATGCTACATAGCCTCGGCCGGTTTGAAAACGCAGAAGCCTAGGACTAAGTGCAGTTTTGTAGGCGTTTTGAGCCTTACTACGCATCAGACTGATCGGATCGAAACAGACCAACAAAAAAAATAGATGTTGGAAGATCCTTATTCCAACAAAGATACAATTTAAATCTTATGAAACTGTATCTTATAGTGGAACCTCGATAAGGAAGTGCTCGGTCTAACGAAATTGTCTTTTTTTTTACTCCAGTAACAGTAAAATATAAAGCAATATGAAAAAGAACCTCGATATAAGTTAACGAGCCTCATTATAACGAACATATTTTGCCAGTCCCTTGGCCCTTCGTTATATCGAGGTTCCGCTGTACTTAATTTTATTTATTTATTTTTCAAAAAGTGGGGGGAGGGCCTCTGGCCCAGCCCCTCCCCGCGCGCGGGCCCTGAAATCTATTTGACTTTTGAGGGATTGAAAAAAAAAACTTACACTTCTACAAGCGATACTTGGACGTAAGTAATAAGGCTTCTAACGCTGCATGTAGAGGTGAATTAGGTAGATTTCCATAATAGTTGATATTAATGAAAAAATTCTTACTCACTACATTATGTATCTTTTTGAGAAGGATGAAGACTCTACTGTCCAACAAGCATTACTTGTATCTATGAGTCTTTATTCTAATGGCAATAATAGTTTTTATAGTAATATTATGGAATTATCCAAATCTTATAACCTACCGGATTTTGTTCCCAGCAATTTAGAGAAAATCAAAATATCAAGATTTATAACATAAAAAAAGCGCGTGCTCTGATTGGTCAATTACCCATTTCCTATTTGTCCATGGGTGAATAATGACGAAAGCTAGCGCGCGCTCAAAGCCGTACGCGGCCACTCTATTTTCTCTCTTAGTTTTCGAAGGTTTTGATGTGATACTGAAAGAAAGTTTAAACACGTCAAAGGTTTCGTAAGCCACATTGAGACGGGGGACTCAATTCAGGAAAACGTTTTTTTGAAAGCATTGAATGATTTGCGCGCGCCCATGGCGCGAACAGATGACAACACTTACGTTATTCCCCTACTATCTTTCAGCAAAATTAAAAGTTTTTCTCTCTTGATTATATAAAACAAACTGTAAACGGCTCAGCGTATACTATTGAGTTATAGTTGCACTTGGGAGGATTGCTAATTGTACCCAAGAAGCTGGAGTCGCACTCGGCTATCACCTTGAGAGATTCTTACGCTTCTTTCGTGCCTGGCAATCTCCCGCGTGCAACCATTTAACAAATCGACTACAATTTTCCAAGGTCAAGGTCTACACACTTTTATAAAATAACTAAGATAGTATGAGAGCATCATTACTCATTCCTTCATTACTTGTAAACTGCACGTTAAGCAGTCTGGCAAAATCCCCCAACCAGTGTTGTAAATTATCCCTGAAAAGCCCTGAGGGGAGTGGATAATATGATATTTACATTCACATTACACAGTACGCGCGTTCTGATTGGTTAAAAACCTATGGTTTATTGTGCTGGTAAACTCATAGGAAACTGAAACATTTTCCGTTTTACGTAAAGTCATTTTATAAAAGCAATAGACCACACTTTCTATGGGTTTACCGGCGTGATAACCAACACGGGACGTTAGGAGAACACGAGAAAAGCTTGTAAATCACTCGCCGAAGATGGAAGTAGCGTAACATGTCACGCGTGATTTTTCGAGAAACTTCACAGGAAACTAAAAATAAATGTAGTCTATGAGAGTATAGACTATAGCAATGACGTCGAAAAATGTTCAAAATTCAAGTGGAACCACGAGCCACAGCTGAGTGGTTTCACAGCAAAGCTTTGAACATTTTATGGCGTCATTTCTTTGGTCTACAAGAGTGTAGAGTGTGGAAAATTGTGGTCGATTTTTTTTTACAATAACATTTATTTCTGGTTTCCTGCGAAGTTTCTCGGAAAATCACGCGTGACATGTTACGTCATTTCCATCTTCGGCGAGTGATTTACAAGCTTTTCTCGTGTTCTCTCAACATCCCGCGTGGGTTATCACACCTGTAATCCGATAGAAAGTGAAGTCTATTGCTGTTATAAAATAACTTTGAGTAAAACGGAAAATGTTTCAGTTTTGTATGAGTTTACCGGCACCTCATTAGTGCACGTTTGCCGTTTGCCATTTGTTAAATAAAGATATTATGAAACAGAAGTATATAGTATATAGCATTTAGTTAATTATACAAGGAAATTAGAGTTTTATGATACGTTTAAACTTCAAGTTATTTAAACCTACTCGTAAAACAATCGATAGAAAGGCTTTGGTAAAATTCCGCTCGAGCAATCATAAACCAAACTCCCCGGGACAAAAGATTATCCCCAGTTTGCGATTTCAATAAAGTTGAAGATGAAATTCACTTTCCCCGCTATTGCCCACAATTTTTAAAACTTACTCTGAGACAGAATTGTTTCCCCGACATATAACGGTGTAAGATTTTTTTCCCAGCATCATGATACGCCATGAGGGCAGGAGCCGATTAGTACTAATCGTCTCCTGATGAGGGATATTTTTTTCAGGGCAGGATATTTTTTTCCCCAGGTATTTCCTTGCACGATTTTTTTCCCTCGAAAACAGTCTGCAGGATAATGTTTTTAAACAAATCACCCATACCACCCCCGCCTCCACCCCCCCACACCCAAGTCAAATGGTCAGCCCCTAAATAGAAAGAGACCGAAACTTTTCCTTCGCAGCTTGAAAAATTCTAAAGGGAATGAATTGACCTTGGCCAGCTTTGACTTGCAACATATTTGTAAGAGAGTCGTCTGGTAGCTAGGCCCAGCGGGTTTTGTTCCCACCTATTCAGTGCAATTAAAACATTCCCGACGTTACTTTCAAAAGAGTGTAGTGGACTCGGCGAATCATTGATTCTGCCTTTTTTTCATTCCCGTCATATTTTTAAGAAAGGGTTTCTTTTAAAAAATTCCTCTACATGACAGCGGTATATCTCGCTCTTATATCTTTAGTTTGCTATTCCTCAAAACGTATTTTACAGCGTCTTTAATTGTACCCGGCAGCTTTCAGTAATTTTATTTGCCTTGCGTTTAATCTAGAAAATACGGTAACTTTCTTAACGAAACAACCTGTGAAGGTAAATAAAGTGACTCACTACTTGACTGAATTTGAAGGGAGTGCCATACGAGGATTCGCTTTTTGATGTAACAGTACAGAATGGAGAAATCAATTCGAGGTTGA